CGATGCACGCTGACGGCCGGCTCGTGTCGTTGCCTGGGCATAGAGGCTCTGCGAAGGCGCATACTGCTGGGCTTGCTGCGGCACCTGGCCCTGTACAAGACCCATCTGATGACCATAGCCTGGTGGTTGCGTCGGGTACGGCGGCGGAGCGCCCTGCTGCTGCTGATACATACCGTTGTACATGGGTGGAGCCTGCGCAGTGGGGGCAGGAGGCGTGTGGTATTGGTTCATCTGCATGTTATATGCTGACTGAGCATGGGCAGCTTGGGCGGCCCTTTGCTTGCTAGCAGCTTCAGCCTGCTGTTGCTGCTGAACACCAGGGGCAACGGTCTTGTTGGGTGCTGAGTACTTCAAGTTCATGGGCGGCATGAAAGGACCAGTGAACTTCTGCTGGGTAATGAACGGGTGCAATTTGGCTTGCTGGGGCGACCATCGCTCGAGTGGGTTGGTCGTGAGCAGACCCCGAACAAAGTCAATAAATGCCACCCGGTTGTTGAGCTCTGTAGGGTGAAGGTGGTTAGAATCAACATATTACAACATTCAATATTAAGCTCGGCCTTACCTCGTTCAATCTCGGCTTGTTTCATGTTCTTCCTCGGCATGGGGTAGCTTCGAATAATCTCCTCCAGAGTGGTTGCTGAGAAGTATTTCTTGCTGGGCTGCTCCTTGGTGTTGTGCTCCCTCGAATACTGCTCCAGGCCCTTCAGACGATACGTCTTGCGGCCATACTCATCCTGAGTCTTCTCAAAGAACTCGCTCGATTGCTTGCCCATCTCCAACATCCAGGTCGGAGGGAGGCCCAGCATTTCGACGATGCGGCAGACCTGATTGTACTCAGAAGAGCCAGGGAACAGTGGCAAGCCGAGGAAAAGTTCGACGACGATACATCCCAGTGACCACATGTCGATCGCGGATGAGTAGCTAGAAATAGGTTAGAATAATTCTTGACGGGTTGAGAGTTTCGATAACATACGGCAAACCAAGCAACACTTCTGGCGATCGGTAGAACCGTGATTGAATGTAGGTATAAACCGTTTGGCGCTCATCACATGCAGAGCCAAAATCGATAACCTTGATGATGGGGCTCTCGAGGCTGTCAAGAGATGCGGGTCAGTAAGTCTTCCAAAAGGACCGGAATGAATCAAGATGCACTGACTTTTTCAGAAGAATGTTCTCTGGCTTCAAGTCGCAATGAATCAGGTGAGCCTTGTTCAAAAGACTCAACGCATTCAGAAGCTGCTGCGCGAAGACTCGGACGAGCGTAGTGCTCAGGCCTCGGAACTGATTTTGCTTGATCAGCTCGTAAAGGTTGACACTGAGAAGCTCGAAGGCGAGACACAGATGTTGACGATGAATGAAAGTGTCCTTCAGACGGAGGAGGTGATGGTCATCGTTCTTGTCGTACTTGCTGTTCAGCTGCAGGTAAAGGAAACATATGAGCAGGAAATTCAAATCTAGGTGGTCCAAATTATGTATAGCTTACCAGATCCAACACAGAGACTTCCATCATACTCTGATTGAAGTACGCGGTCTTGTTTTTGATGACCTTGACAGCCACCACTTCTTGCGTCTTCAGGTTTTGGCACTTCACTACCTGACCAAAAGTACCTTGGCCCAACACATCGAGAATGAGATACCGATTCCTGGAAGTGGAGTGTTAGATCAAATAAGCAGGAAAAACATTGCGATATCCGTAGAAACATACTTGTGACCGGCCTCCTCACTACCCAGGATGTCGTTGACATAGAGGATATAATCGCTATCCTCGTTATCATAACCATCGTTTTTGACACCCTTGCTCGGCTTGGTCAACACGCGACGTGGGTTCCTCGAGGACTCGTAGTTGAAGTTCGGGTTGCAGATGCGATACGTCGACGGAAGATGGGTGGTCAGCGCTTGGAGGGGCTGCAAGAGACAAGCGGTTAGCACAGACTTCAGGGATGGGAATCAAGGCTTTCTTACGCTGATGAAGCCACCTTCGGGATTAGCACGTCGATATGCGGGCTGAGCGTGAACTCGCGGCTGTAACTCTTGAACCGACTTGATCTTCTGGAACTTGGGGACTGGACCGCGACCCGGGACTTGCGATGGCATAGGGCCCGATCGCGGCGACCGCGTTCCTGGTCCGTAGGTAGGACTCATGTGTGCAGAAGCGGAGGGCGGATAGAACTGGTCCGGGCTGAGATCGGTTGCCTGAAGAGGGGGAGGGCGAGGAGGACGGTTGACCGCTGTAGAAGGACAAGCAGATGAATTAGCAAAACCATACCAGACAATCTGACACGATCGCGATCGCATTGGCAAAAAAAGTCACTCACATGGAGGTGATTGGTATCCCTGAGGAGGGGAAGAGTAGTCTGCAGCTCTAGCGGGCGACTGTCGAGTCTGTCCCGGGGCCGAAGGGGAGCCGAATGGACCTTGATGTTTCCCGGGGCTAGTCGGGTATGACATCGGCGGCGACAGGACATTCATCGGAGAATACCTGCGCGCTGCGGACGACTCCTCGGCCTGATTGAGGAATTGAGAGGACGCGCGACTGTGATGAGTCGGCCTCGATGGGTACTTAGCCCGGTTGTATGGGTCCGCATCCTCCATGGTGGTATCCGCATCGGTGACATAATCCCGAGTACGTGGCGTGGCAGTTGGAGACGACGCCATGGAGACGGGTTTGGAGCTGGGGTGGGCAGAGGGAGGTTTCGAGGAGGTGCCAGGAGTTTGAAAGGTCTCGTATGTGTATCCGACGGGCGGCTGTGTCTGGGCTGGCGGCTGACCGTACTTGGTGCCCAGCTGCTGGGGATGAGACGCCAACCCACTATTGAACTGCGCCGGCTGCCCCATCAGGGGATCCTGGTAAGGTTGCCAACCAGAGGGGTCCATCGTCGAACCTCGTCAAGGCCGGAGCAGGGATTCCAGGGATCGAAAAAGAAAGGAAAGCGAGAATTGAGCTTCGTCACCAGCACCGTCCACCGTGCACTGCACACTTGCGATTCCTTTGGGGGGAACGTGCGTGCGCTGCCAGTGGGCGGGGGGACAACACACGCGAGAAGCGCGATCGCAGGAGGGACGAGGGGGGGGGATTGAGGAGGGTTAAGGAGAGCAACCTGCGGCAATTCGAAGGATTGTGGAGGAGATCAAAAGAAGAAGGATGACTAGTTGGGAGTTGTGTGGTACGGCATCATCTAGGAAAAAGGTGAATTCGTTGGTAATCGTAGTAGTGGGGGGAGCCAGTTGACGTTCGGGAAGGGCGTTTTCCTGGGGGTGGGCGGTCGCAAAGGGCGATGGAGATGCCACCGACGTATGGAGTAGTCCAAACGGAGTCACGATAGGATTGAGGGGGCCGAAAATGGGGAAAGATGTTGGTGCAACCCGAGAAGGGGCGGCAAGACGGAAATCTAAGCAAACGAGGATGAAGAAGGCCACATCCACGAGAGTCTTAGATTGGTCGCCGTCGGGAGAGGAGAGATGGAATGAGGTTGGGGGAAACGAGGGAGAAGAGAGAGAGAGAGGGAGGGCAGTAATGAAGCGGGTTGAACTTTGCCCTGAGGATCGACAAGCACCGTGAACATGAAATTGTCCAACCCTTTACACAGCTACCCAAATCCAGTAAACAGGAGTCGAAACCTTGGTTTTCATTAGACCAATCGGGGCCTTTACTAGACTGTATAATATGACCTGTGCGATTTGAGAAGCCTGAGGGATTTACATAGAACATTGACTACAGTAGTATAGATTGGGGATAAACACATGGTGTACTCCGTAGTTGGGCATAGTTTGTCAAATCTAGTTGACGATCAGTATACCGAGTAAGAATTACGGAATATGTTAAGAACAGAAGCCTATAGTTACCATTCATCGTATCCTATGGTTCAAGCACCAGTCTGCAGTGGACTCGGTGATCTCATCACTTCAAGTGGCCCTTCTCTCGGGCGGATGCTCGTCTCCTTGGCGACGTCTGGTCCAACGATCGTCGCGTCATTGCATACCCAACTGGGTCAGCACTGTGAATGCCTGATCCTGCCCGTCTGTCAATCTGAGCTGATTCTATTTACCGCTTGAGATGCTGGCGAACTTCCTTTTTGTGGCAAGTGCAGGTGCGACACGCTAAAATTGGTGAACTATCGCTACGTAGGTCATAGCAAATAGGCCTGTTCTGGACGGTCTGGCGTCGATGTGGATGTGGTTGTCTCCAAGTGGAGGGCAGTCGAGGCCCAATCCGGGGATTTAGTGGCAGTTGGGCCAACTAGATCTATATGCTTCAGCTTCCTCCTTTCTAGAACTTCATTCTAAAATATGGTTTAAGTTGTCTTTCTTGTTTGCTTAGACATCAATTTTTGAAAATATGTGTCGGGGTTTGAAACCTAAGGAAATATGCCTCAGGCCTCTTCAGGGCATGATTTGATCTGTTGAACATGTTCTCGTTCACAAAGATTTAAAAAGGTCGCTAACCGGGACCATATCCCTACCTAATTATCGCAATATCCTAGTGGACAGACAGTAAATAAGAATCCGATCTCTAACAGGGTTGTTCCTATACCTGATCAAGTAATGTAATGGGTTAAGTTAGCTGGTCCACTCTTGACACCACTGTATTCAATTCGAGTTATCCAAGCACCCGGATGACAAGAGGAGGTAAAAATCAAATGATGAAGGGCAAGAAAGATTTCACACTACTGCTAGATGTCGGATTTGAACCCAACAATACGACCAAGTTTCTCGCTTCAAGATCATTCACAGCGGCCAGTAGTGTATAGTCTGGTAGAAGATCTGGTGGATCCTCGATGTGCGGCTCCAGAAGGCGGTCAGCCATTTTGCCGGTGGTTGCCTCATCGCGATAACGGATTGTCCAAGGCTGCGATTGCCATTGTTCTACACGAGTGCCTCACGCTCGAGGGAGTCAACCATGTTTGCCTGGGCCCCGACCTGATTGCCTATCTCATCGCTCTTATTTAACTGACCCCATCCACTCTCTTTCCTCCCTTCCCTCAAGTCCTCCGACTCTCAAGATGGCTTCGCCAAATTCAACCAACGCTGCCGCGGAGGCAAGCCGTCTGCAGGAGCTAAATGCAGACGTGCGCAACCAGGACGACCTCGAACGAGACATCACTCGTCAGGTAAATTTTATCTCACTTTTCAAGTCGTATCAAGTTCCAGCTTTACTCACACCTTGAACAGGCCGACAAGTTCCTCGCCGAGAAGGCCGAGGAAAACGATACGAAGAGACTGGACAAGGCGCTGAGCGACAAAGAGTAAGGTCCAGCCATCTCTGTTTGCTGCTGTGTGTGAGAGCAAGGATGCTGATTTTCATCTCAGCAAGGTCGATCGGCAGATTCGACAGGCCAAAGACCGCCTGGCCAAGCACGTCGGAGCCGTCTCCCGCCACCGGGTCGAGAACGAACTCCGAAACCTCGAGGCGCGCCGCTCGGGACTGGTCAACGACATCAAGGACATCCAGAAACGGATTGACGACCGGCGTGAGGCCCAGGAGAATGCGGAGGGTAGTCATGGACCCGGCCGGCTGCCGAACGAGACCCGCAACGAGTACCTCCTGCGAACGGGAAAGATCACCCCGTTCGAGCTTATGAGCAAGCCTGGCGCAGATGGCTCCCTCGCAACTCTTCAGGATGCCCTCGTCGACGCCGAAGACCAGCAGCAGGAGGAGGAAGAGCGCAAGAAGGCTCATCACGACCCCAATGCCTCTCACCGAAACCTTCTCCGTCCCGAGCTCGACTTCGACGAGACCAGCGAGAGCGCGGAGAGTCGCAGCAGCAAGCGGAGGAAGCTGGAAAGCCCTGCAGCGAAGAGAGGTCCCACGGCCCCGCGGGCTCGCTCACCTACCTCGCCCGAAGCCGACTCCGAGGCCAGCTACGTCGCCTCGGAGGGCAGCGTGTCATCCGAGGATGAAGAGTTCATGCCAGACACCGTGCCGGAGCCGAAAACGCGAAAGCGCAAGCAGGGCAAGGCCGAGTCTGAACTTGAAGACCTTAGTGGTGTCGACGACGGCAACGAGAAGATCTACCAGGCTCGCCTTCAGAAGTGGATCAGTCGACGCAGTGCCGCTCGCAATCGTGCCCAGGACACCCCCATCAAGGAGGAAGAAGATGAGGTCGAGAATGAATGGCTAAAGCCGCATCCCACAGAGCCGGACCTGGATCTCCAGAACGGTCTGTCCGTACCGGGCGATATCGCCAAATACCTCTTCTCCTACCAGCGAACCGGCGTTCAGTGGCTCTGGGAGTTGCACCAGCAGTCGGTTGGGGGAATTATTGGCGATGAGATGGGACTCGGCAAGACGATTCAAGCTATCTCATATCTTGCATCATTGCATCACAGCAACATGTACACCAAGCCCGCGATCGTTGTTTGCCCTGCGACCCTCATGAAACAGTGGGTCAATGAGTTCCACCGCTGGTGGCCCCCCTTCCGAGTTTCGATTCTACACTCTTCCGGCAGTGGTATGATGAATGTGGGGCGGGAGAGCAGCCGCGAGACGGCCCTGATGTCCGAGTTGATGGGGAGCTCCCACTCTCGACATTTGTCTGCCGGCCAAAAGGCAGCAAAGAAGATCATCAAGCGTGTTATGGAAGAAGGACACGTCCTGGTGACCACTTACTCCGGTCTGCAGTCCTATGCGGATGCTCTCGTCGATGTCGAGTGGGGGTGTGCCATTCTTGATGAAGGCCACAAGATCCGCAATCCCGATGCTGGCATCACCTTCAGTTGTAAGGAGCTTCGAACTCCTCACCGCATCATCCTGTCGGGAACTCCCATGCAGAACAGTTTGACTGACCTGTGGTCTCTGTTCGACTTTGTCTTCCCCATGCGCCTCGGCACTCTTGTGACCTTTAAGAGTCAATTCGAAATCCCCATTCGCCAAGGTGGATACGCGTCGGCCACCAACCTGCAGGTTCAAACTGCCGCAAAGTGTGCCGCGACCTTGAAGGATGCTATCAGCCCATACCTTCTTCAGCGGTACAAGGCGGATGTCACATCCGACCTTCCTCAGAAGACTGAACAAGTCATCTTCTGCAAGCTGACCCGGGAGCAGCGAAACGTCTACAAACGGTTCCTTGGCTCAGATGACATGGTGTCTATCATTCGTGGAAGAAGGAACTCTCTATTCGGGATTGATATCCTTCGAAAGATTTGCAATCACCCGGACTTGGTGGACCGCCAATTGCACGCGCATGAACCCGACTACGGCAATAGTGACCGCTCTGGCAAGATGCAGGTTTTGAAGGGGCTTTTGGAGGTGTGGAAGGACACCGGGCACAAAACCCTGCTGTTCGCTCAGACTCGACAGATGCTGGACATCATTCAGAAGTTCGTCGGGTCATTGGGTGGATTCAATTTTCGTCGCATGGACGGTAATACTCCGATCAAGGACCGTCAAACCATGGTCGACGAGTTCAACAAGGATCCCAATCTCCACGTTTTCCTGCTGACCACCCGCGTGGGTGGTATCGGAGTGAACTTGACCGGTGCCGATCGAGTCATCATCTACGATCCTGACTGGAATCCTTCAACTGACATGCAAGCCCGCGAACGAGCATGGCGACTCGGTCAAAAGCGTGATGTGACAATCTTCCGCCTCATGATGAAGGGCACCATCGAAGAGAAGATCTATCACCGCCAGATCTTCAAGCAGTTCTTGACCAACAAGATCACTCGTGATCCACAACAGCGCGAAGGCTTCCAGGCAAGCGATCTGTATGATCTGTTCTCGCTGGCAGAAGAGAACGACAAGGAACTGGAGACTACGAAGCTGTTCAAGAACGCAGACGTCACCTACCAGGAGGAAGACTCAACCACACCGCCTCTCAAGAAACGTGGCCAGGGCGGCAAGTCCAAGTCGCAGACTCCCAATCCCGACGGTGAAGATATTAGTACGGTTCAAGGCGTTGCCAACGTTGAAGAATTCACCAACGATGCCGAGAACCAGGACGGGAAGAAATCTGCCGAAGATCGCATCATGCACGGCATCTTTGCCCGCTCTGGCGTCCACGCTGCACTCGAGCATGATCATATCGTCAATGGCAAGAGGACCGTTCGGGCTGATCAGAAAATGATTGAAGAGGAAGCTCGCCGCGTGGCCGCTGAAGCTGCTCGCGAGCTGCGCCGCGCCGAAGAAGTTGCCCGCAGTACGCCTATCGGCCTGCCTACCTGGACGGGATCCTTCGGCATTGCCGGCCGTACCGACGTCGGCGGTTCCAGCTCATCATCCCGACCTGCCGCTCGAGGCCCTTCATCGTCATCTCTACTCTCCAATCTCAATCCCGGTGCGTCTGCGGCGATTTCTCGTACCCCGACTCCACAAGGCACGGGAACTCCGAACCGGATGCCGCGAGGCAAGGACTTTTTGCCACTGATCCGTGACTTTTTGCTTTCTCGTCGCGGGCCGGTTTTCACACAGGTTATTGTTGATCAATTCAATCACTACTGCACGAATCCGCAGCGTGTGGCTGAGTTTCAGGAGATGCTGAAGACGGTGGCTCGTCTGGACCGAGATCGCGGAGGACGTGGTCGGTGGACCTTGAAGCCGGAGTTCGCGAAGAAATCGGCGGATGAGAAGTGAGGTAAGGTCCGTCAGAGTTTCACCATATTATCACTTGCTGGAGGCAAACAGAAGAATGATGGCAGCTGCTGTACTCGTGGCAGCAGTTATGGTGAAGATGGCGATGTGTACGATAAAAGTGGAGGTTATGATGCAATGAGAATATGACCTTATGACAGAGAAGTCACTCGTAATGTGACCAAAAATTTAATTCTTATCCTCTTGACTCTATCTCGGTCTCGCATAGATCCTTAAACTGATGTAGTGATGTACTCAGCAATTATCCAGCCATCGTAGTACTGTAAGATACCTGATTCTGATCCATACCGAGAACGTACCTACAGTCCAGTGGTACAGTAACAGGGGTTTCGTGATAGATCACTGACAAGATCAAATCGAGTTGATAGATGTCTCTAATTACAACGGCTGCAAGGTTCCCATGTATCAGAGCAAGTACAGTTCCTTCAAATCACACCCTGATGGACTCTCTTCCATTCGATATATCGCTCTTTCCCTGAAACACCATCCCTCAAGCACCGTTCAAACTCCTCCTGAGCTCCTGGCTGACCAGGTCGGAGTTTCAACCTATACGGCCATTTCTCGATAATACTATGTTTTTCCTTCATCGCCGCGCCCACAGCATCACCAGCCTCGCGCGCCTTGAGTTTTTCCAGGTATCTATCATCAGCATGAGTATCAGTTCAATTCACATGAAATTAGACGAAATTTTAAAAAAAAACATTGACTCTTACCTCTCAAAAACATGTTCATATCTTGCGACGAGTTCTTGGGCATATTGAACTTTCATAAGTACAGGATCATACCTCGAATCTGGTTTTTTGTTTAGAGGGAGGTATTTGCGTGAATCTCTTAATGCTCGGCTGTCTGGAGCCAAGCCTTGCAATCTATCTTCAAGAGTCATGACCTCCTCAACGGCGTTCATGAAGAGGGTTATCAAGGTTGCATGTGGGTTCTGATTGGGAGTCTGGAGTAGAGGAACCATATAAAATAGTGTGCGGTGGATTCCTAACCAGCCTCCATCGGAAATGTTTGATACCTTCAGAATCTAATTAGTGCCTTTCTCTCAATGAAGCCTTGGGCTGAAGAATTGAAGTTTCTTGGACTGGTCCAGTTGGTGTACACAAGTAGGTCGGGATAAAGAAATGTCTTGGTTGGTCACGTACATCAATTCGACTGAAGGAATCTTCATCAAGATGATCAGGAAGGTCGGCCGCATCAAGATGGAGAAGTTTAAAGGAAACCTTTAACTCAAAAATTCTATCCAAGAAAGAATGGAGCAGCCCGCGAAGATAATAGAATAATTTGCCGTAAGTATCAGCAGTTGCAGCTCCGCTTGTTGTACTAAAAACCTCTCCTAGAGACCATCCGTGGAGAGGATCTGCATTATCCCTCATAGGCCAGGTATCATCCGTCTGGAAGAAAGTTCTATTTTATAGTCAGTATCGTTTCGAAATGTCAATTTTCTCTTCGAACGCACGGGTTTGGCTTCTTGAACTCATGACGAGGAAATCCGAACGGAAGCAAGAGTCCGTCCTGGCGAAACTTGTGGAATGGGATTCGTTGAGAGGACGGGAGATAGATCATGTGTCGATCGCGATAGTCTCTTCTTGAGTGGGCTAGGGTATTCTCAGCTCGGACTTTAGATGCCTTCTTTGCTGTTAAGCCGGCTGGCTTGTCGAAGAATGATAAGAGGCGAGTCCATGATGTTTGCTCGAGAACAATTCTCAGCGAACGACTTCCAAATGTCCATGTCTTCCCCAAAATGGTGTTGGGTGACTTATTCTTGACCTTTTCATAAACATCTTGGATCAAAGGCCGGATTTGATTGTTCAGGATGTCAATATCGGATTCGCGGACAAGCGCAGAGTACCAAAGATGAATGATGCAATCGATAGCCTGATCGGAGTTCTGGACAACCAATGCAACGAGAAGTAAAATCAGGTTACGAGCCACGATGTCAAAATCTCTGTCATTCAGTGTGATTTCGAGAGACTGGTTATAGCTGTTCGGAAGGTGAGCTACTGTCTTTACAACATTGCGAAGGTCTCCTGAAGCTGTGATTAAAGGTACATCAGCTCTGAAAAAGCTTTAAAACGAAAGAATTATTGAATACAGACCTGCAAATAAAAGTCGAAGATCTCCAGTATATGCCTCCCCTTCATTCGATGCCAGTTTAAGAATGTCGAAAGCAGGGACGTTACCCCAAAGGTATTTCGTCCCTCCAAAGATGTTTGGAGGGCCATCTCCCACGAATGCAGGTTTTCTTTTCTCGAGTATCCAGGCCGGCTGCCATGTTTCCTTACCCAAAGGCGACCTACATTCAGGCTTATGGAGAGGCCAATGGGACCTTTGGCACGTTGGACCACAGTACTAGAAGAACTTTTGTTAGAGAAGACTTGATATAACGAGGATAAAGATGTTTTTGAGTGAGTAAACTGACAGCCACAAGATGACAGTTTTTGCAAGTATATCTACCTTCCTTCTTGCAAACTGTCTGTTCGGAGGTCCAATTGGTACATAAGGAACTGAAGGTAGACATGATGCTTCGTTAGGGTTTGAGGTCGAACAAGTGTAGATACGATTTATTCAAGGCAAAGCCGCTGCCTTGAGATATGCTGAGCAGTTTGTAATACGCGATGGATAGGCTGGTTGAAGATGAAGTGAATCAGAGGTATAAAATAGGGGTGTAGAGGAAAGATATCATTATATGCGAGAGCTTGACACTGCCCCCGATCGCAAGGCGGATTCGCAAAGCCAACATTGTATGCATGCATGCCTAAGTGTTGGTTGGATCATAATTCATCAATTTGGTGCACAAAAGGACGAGGAATTTAATCACGTAGCCAAACATCGTCGTATCATCCTCTGGCTCTGCGTGGCGGATCTTACGTACCGGTTTGAAAGATAATATTTTGCACATTTCGAAGATCATATTAGAAAACCTCGAAGAGCGGCCAGTAGAGCCTGAAAAAAACACGAAGAGTACTTATGTTATGACATTTTCTAGATGCGAGTCAGTTCATGGACCTAGTTCAAGTGTTGGGTGGCTAAGTCGCCAGGGTTCCCCGCTATTGTATCAAGTGGCCTCTCAAGCTGTGCCAGTTTGTTGGTTGGAGTTAGGCAACATCTTCTTATCAGGTTGTACTTTCAAGCGTATTTCACCTCAACTATAAAGGACCATCTCTCATTTCGAGTCTAGTGAGCATGTGGACTGCGCATGGTTGATAGGTGATGGGATCACCCATCCGGTGACTTTATCTGCCCAGGTATTACCGGGCCTAGCCCAGATCGAAGAATAGAACAATCTCAATAAAACAACCAAGTAAACAAGTCGTTAAACTAATTTTGAGCGCATCCAGGGGTATTCAGTTGCATGATGTAATTCAAATAAGATCGGAGCTTAGCCGTGGAGATCGACCAAGCGACCATATTCTACTTCTACCTGGACAACGAATCACCATCACGCCCGACTTTGTACTCGAGGCAGACCCAGCCACCTTCCCATGGATACACATGCATACAAAACACTCATGTCTCACCATTTCCACTCCATACAGTATCCTTCCCTGATTCCCGATTTTTGCCTAAGGCGACCCAACATCATATAAGTGGGAGGTTGTGAGAATTTCCACCTTGACTCCGCTGATCTGCATGATTCCGGGGCGTACATTTTACCCCCTATTTGCCACTTCCAGTGCCACAATGAAGATCAATGACTTATGTACTGTACCGACAGGCTGAATCACGATGTCCGACAAGGATCACGGCTACGGGAAGCCCGGTATAATGACTCCATATAGCTGGACGGTGGATAAATAAGAGCGTCACGACCCCGTCATTTTATTCGACTTACATCTTCTTTGTTTCTTTATTCTTTGACTTTATACATCAGTCTTGATCCCACTAATTACTACACCACTCCTTATTCTCTCCATTTTCCCCTCTTCGAACTTATTGCTTCAACATAACCACACCAAACTTAACAAAAACCCAAAATGAATCTCCTCCATATCCTCCCATTCCTCCTCCCCCTCACAACCGCCGCCCCAGTTCAAAACCCCTTCAACCTAGTCACATCCAGCTCCAACACCGCCCACAACAACCTCTTCCTCTCCACCCAATCGACAGGCCCACTAGACAGCAACCCGGTCTTCCGCGACCCCTCCAACGCCGCGACATTCTTCCTCACAAACACAACCGTCCACTACGACGCGCCAAACAAGGCCCCCTGGGCACTGTCACTGGTAAACGGGAAAGTTGTCCAGGGAAATGTGGAGGTTAGCGTGAGTCCGAGTACGGCTAGTGCGGTTAGTACTGGGTTTAGTATTGCCGAGGATGGGGCTTTGACTGTTGCTAGTGAGAGGTGGGGTGGGTGGTTGGGTAAGTTATAGATCCTATTTTCTTGGATTTGGTGTACAGCTTTTTTTGGAGGGGATGATGGCTAATTTGGGGTTGTTTTGTTGTTTAGTATGTGCCGGGCAGGGGACTTCGTTACTGGAGTTGTTCTATCAGGATACTACAGCGGGGAGTGGAGTGCCTGATGGGTGTGATCAGGTCCAGTTGAATGCTGTTTCCAAGAGCTAGGAGATGGCACTCAGAGCTGGACTTGGACGTGGTTGAGGATGATTTCCACCACCTCTTATTAATTCACTGGGCTGGGTTAGAGAAGATGGCGGTGTTCACTTGTTCAATCATTGTACCGTTACGACTTGAATGCCTGGTTAGAGTAATAATCGTGATTTTTATGCGTTAGACAGCAGTCGATTTAATCAATCATCCATGAATCCGAGTTTGAAATACGCATACACTGGCAAATTTGGAGAACGAAGAACGTAAAGATAGACAAAGTGAACATTACGAGTCTATGTTGTCCCTTTAAATTCCGAACGCATGTAAACGCCGCCAAGTACAAACGCCGAATGCGTTTTTAGAAAAATCTTGCGGGAATAAAAAGAGATGAATAGTCAAAGAAAAATGAAGAAAAATGAATATCTGTAAGAACGGTAACGGAGATCCAGCTCTATAGAAAACAAAATGATATCAAGAAGCAAAAAGATCCTTTCCGTAAAACCGAAAACGATATCCAGCAATCAACTCCATCCTCGAAAAAACATGATCATACGCATAGAAACAAACGAATCACCACCGAACCAGACCCGTATGCAGAAAAGAAAAGAAAGGAAAAAGAAGTTTCGTATCCACAGACAAAACTTGAGAGCAGACATCCCCATCATCAACCTCATTTCTCATCAACCACCTAAAATCATCAACCACAACCACTCATCAACCACAACCATTCATCGACCAATCTCTCATCTCACCAAGCTCCTCACCTCTTCCATCCATCAGTATTCATATCCCGCAACCTGCTCCCCAAAATCCCCACGCTGCCACTCGCACTCCCGGGCCATCGGATATCTCTCCGCCGCCCTCGCCTGGCACCGACGCAAGTACCGCAGCCGCAACCCCAACCGCCGGCAGTCCCAGTCCACCCGCTCGCGAACCCGCAGCGCATTGCGGTACTCCGTCTCAATCTCGTACGAGTCCAGGGCATGGAAGAGGAAGTCGTCCTGGAGAGAGGACAAGTACCGCTCCGCGGCTGCGGGCCGCTGCCCCTGGTGGTCGATCTGCGGAAGCGGGAAGTTCATGATGGTTCCTGCTTCCGGGAACGGCTCCAGGGGGCGGGGGATGATTGGGGGTGGTGGGTTCTGCACGGAGGGGGGTTGTACGGGACGAGGAGTAGCAGGGGAGGGAGATGACGAGGGGGAGGAAGGGGGAGGGGGAGGGGGGGAGACATCGCTAAGCGAGTCGTAGGTGCTGTCGTAGGTGCTGCTGCTGACGCCGCTGCTGCTCTTGTGTCCCGAGTTGGCTGCGGACTGCTCCGCTGCAGGCTGGGGGGTGACCTGCCGCGGTTGGGCCAGGGGAGGACGGGGGAGGGAGACTACCGAGCCGTCTTCGGGGTGAGAGGAGGCTGCCCACGATGGCTTTCGGGGTGTCTCGACGGGCTCGCGCTTGATGCGCTTGGTGGGAGGGTAGTAGGCTGCCTCGGGCTTGGGGTGGTGCTCGTCGAGCACGACGGCGGGCCTACTGGTTGTGTGGGTGGGTGTGCGAGTGACAGGGCCCAACCCCGTCGTGGTGCGCTTTCTCAAGTTGGGCTTTGTGGAGAGAGGCAAGGGGGGAGGGACGGGGTTGATGAAGCTTGGGGGTCCTGTCGTCCATCCGAACGGCATGCCAGCTGTTGAAGCCATGGTAGACATGGCGACCATGTGCGGGGCGGGAGGCATGGGCCACTGGGGAGTTGGAGTGGTCATGGCAGTAGGCATTGGAGGCATTGCTGGCATGTCAGTAAAGTCCTCCGTCGAGGGAAGAGGCTCGTCCATTAAGGGTGGGAAGGCCGCACCAAAAGGAAGATGGTTGGCGGAGGGACGATACTCGGATGGACGACGGTGCAGGATGGGGAAAGATGAGGATCCCATGTCGAATGAGTGGTTGTCGTTGTCATTCAGCAGGTTGGTGAAGTAGCCCGGCGGATATAGCTGGCCAGGGGCCATTGACTGTTCACCATTTTGGTCATTGTTGACCAGGATGGGCATGACGATGGGGTCCTCATAGTAGAGAACGGAATTAAGGTGAGAAGGGGTGTTTGGGTGTAGACTAATGACGAGTATTAGCATGATGTCTTGAGGGTGAAGTGAGAGGATGAGTAGGTCTTACTTGTCGGAGATATCGGCGTGATAGGACATGGTGAAGGATGGTATTGGATGTTGGAAGGTGTGTAGGATGTTGGAAGTTGTGTAGGGGAACAGCTGTTCCAGCCAGACTCAAGCAGGTTTGCGAAGATCGAAGAATGGAAGTGTTGAAGAAGGAAGAGTTGTCGAAAGCGGAAGATTTGGAGAAAGGAGAAAGGGAGAGTGGACGGTGATGAGGGAGACTTTCATATTTGATGGGCAAACAAGCTCAAGGCAGACATGAAGCTATTCGCTGCCTTGGGATGGCAGAGGCTACGACAATGTGATTGTTCTTCTCTTTTGTGCTATTGATTTCCGTTTTGGGATGAAGTTGAAGCGTTGCCTGCAGTAGGCAGGAACCTTTCTTTCATCAGGCTACACCTCTTTAGATACTGTAGGTCTATTGCCTTCACCAGTCAACAATCATGAATCGTGATGGAAACAAGCAAACAAAGGGAGCCTGAATATATTGCATTCGTGATATTCTGGCTATCAAAATCAAACCCAGCAAACATCCGTAAATTTCAAAGCAATAGAGAATATCACCCATTCATTCCCATTTTGGGCAGATATTTCACCATCAAGGCTCCCCTCCTACTTGTCGAGCTTTCCGTTCTCTGCCTCCAGCTTCTTGATGTCCTCTTCCAGAGACCCGTTGTCCTGCTCCCACATCTTCGAGAGCCGGGCATCCTCCCGTTGCGCCTCGAGAGCAGCCTTCTTTCGCAACAGCCACAGTCGACGACCAAGCCATCGGGACTCCCAGTCGACAACTTCTCGGACGGCGAGAAGGTCCCGGAACACCCGTTCAACTGCATTGGCATCGTCCATATCACTGATCGAGGGGGTGGAATACAAATCCCGGGGCACTCTCAACGGCCGAGTTCCGCCATGATTGATCTTTGGTAGCGGAAATCCCATCATCGTGGCAACATCGGGCTTCGCTTCAGTGAACTCGAGGGGATCCGCTTCGGCCGGGCTGGGCTTGACAGCCGGGGCTTTCTTTTTCTTGGCCGGTTCAGACTCTGTGGTTGCGACAGGGGTCTTTCTCTTGCGTCCCCGTGTTGGTTTTGTTGCCTTTGGAGGCTCTGGAGGTGTGGGATTCGGGGTGGCTGTGTTCTGCGCTTCATCTGCAGTGGAAGTCGTGGGCAGAGGGCCAGAGAGAGGGACAAAGAGCTCATTATCCACAGCTTCTCCACCAGTATCCACTGGGGATTGTGGGCTGCTTTGATCATAGTCCTCTGCCTTTATCATATTGGAGAATGAGCGAGTGACCACCATGGCTTCGGCAGAGGGCGTGTTCTCTTGAGTAGGGTCTGGAGATAGTTGATCGGATTCGGCGAAGCTCGACATCATATTGAGGTGACCTTGTTTTGTATGGAAGAGCTAAAGTTTGTCAGAGGATAAGACCGCAAAGTGAGATGCAAAAGCATGAGAGTATATTAGATGAAATTTGTCTCACCAACCGGTGCGAGATATTATCCAGAAGATAAAGGATTAGTGAACGGAATGATGAGCGGAAAATTGTGAAAGGATAGTGAGAAGATGTGTGAGGGAAATGCAGCCCAGGGAAATAGAAACCAGTGAGAGGCACACTTCAAACCTGATATGGGCGTGTTTGGGTATTCAGAGAAGCGTGTATCTCTTCTGGAGGTAATCCAGCACTCAATATCTCCTTTGCTGAATTTTTCTATGTGCTTGGTGAAAGATGATTTAATTTAGAATACCCAGGTTTCAGCAATGCTTGCCCAGAACAGATCGAGTATTAGCGACAGTGTCTGTTTATGAGTGACGAGTCTACTAGATCAGTAATCTGCATTAGTAATTTCTATACAAAGTATAGCATATGAAAGTGTTTGAAAGCATCATATTGCTTAAATGCCCAGGTTATTTCTTCGCTTAGCCTGGTGTGAGAACATTTTTCAATGCGTGCGCTGAAAACTGCTTATCAGATTAAATTCGAGTGATGGAGGATAGTCATCACTTTATGACTATAACATATTCTAGCTTGGATGAATATAATTTTTGTTGTCTCATTGATGCAGTCTATTGAGCCGCGGTAACCAGTAGGCTGGCTGGCAAGATCTATGAAGGTACTTGTGATTGTAGAATTCAAGGCGTCCAAAGCGACATGAAAAGACATGGAGACATCAATCAATGATGTGGTTGCGTACTCTAAGGTAGGGGAATAAAACACTAGATAGTATGTGTTAGCCACAAGCAATGGCTTTGCACTCGATGCTAAAGAGAGAGTTTTGATCGTTTTTGGCTCAGCATGCTTTCTATTGGTCGAATGTCAGTTCCCTGTTAGCCCAGCATTCCGGCCAGAGTTGCCCCTATTTAGTAGTCCCTTGTTAGAGCAGGCAAATGAGAATAACATCGGTCCCAAGATAATTGCAATCACCAGTTATCGAGGAGTCGAGGACTATGCATAGCATTGTAGCCAGTAATCTAGTAGTGAGTCTAGTGACTTTAACTTATAAGTTATCAGGGTCCCAAGCAACAAAGATTAGGGTAGATAGTGGTTGGCCCGTGCGGAACCGGAGAGGATTCATCCTAGGGTGGATCTCCCGAACGAGTAATGAGTAAATATTGACACTTGCCACTGATAAAACATTAACATGATCAAGAAACCTGAAGTGTGGCTCGTGGGTATTGTGTATGGCCTGATTTTGACTCTGATCTGTGATCTCATGTGCATGTACATCTGTAGCACATGCTTCAGCTACGATTGAACTAGTGAATGTACTAGAGGATCTCGCCTATTTATAGCGGCTTGTCTCAGTTGTCCCTTACCCGTTTGGGTTTAGCCCCCCAATACACCTCAAACACCCTACGATTCTCTTTGCCTCTGGTCCTCCTACGCTGCCACTCTACGGCTCGACCACTTCTGCTCAATCCTCTTTCTTATTCTCTCGCTTCATCTACCGTCGCTCGTTTAGCAAGCATCACTCGCTCCCCCTTTTCACCATCGTGGTTGCGATTTTCGGACCCGCTACCCTCCACAAAACCCACATATTCCGGTGATCGATCTGCAACCTCAGGGTCCAGACAGGTCAACAGACCAGCCAATTTTTCTCGGCTCTCCACGTTGGGTCGGTCGCCTTTCTCCTCTAGTCAACGCTCGCTGAGTCCCCTTACGCAAGTTAAAGAGGCTCTTGTCTTCTTCTCTTGAACACCACCGACGACCCTGTCAACTCTTGCCAGCGACTCCACCCGGCTAAGGCAAGGGGGTTGTTGATTCGGCTTTTTTCTCCGACCAGGGGCCTGTCGTCGTCCCTGTTCTTCCTGATCGACTCTTACACCTCCACAACATCCCGATCGACAGGATTGAATCATCATCATGCGGTCCTTTTTGAGTGTGCTTTACACGGTGTTGTTACTGGGTGTGATCGCCTCGGCTTGGCCGTGGGATGGGCTGCTGGCCGAGCGGGGTGACACCCTGGGTAGGCGAGCAGGTACTTTATCCCCCTCAGCCATCCTGGAAGATGTAAACTGACTCTCAGAATCAGATTCGACCACCACCGACGCTGCGACCACCGGTTCGGGCACTACCGATACTGCAACCGCAGCCTCCACCTCGTCTGACTCTTCCGCCTCCGAAACCTCCACTGGAACCAACACAAACACCAACACCAACACCGATGCTACCACAACGGGGACTGGAACTTCAACTGGTACGGGTACCAGCACTGGCACCAACACGAAGAGCAATACCAAGACCAAGACTACCGCCACCTCTTCGATCTCAATTGATCCTGCTGCGGGTGCTGGAGGTATCTCGATGATCACCCCGGCCGCTACATCCACCACCTACTTCAAGGTCGGGTACAACGCAACCTTTGTGTGGAACTATACCTCGCTCTCGGTCACTCCTTCTGCCGTCGATGTCGTGGCCTCTTGCAGCTTGAACAGTCAGACCTACACCCTCACCCAGAACATGACTGTGGACCCCACCGGTACCTTTGTTTGGGACACGAACAATTATCAGGCGTCCCAGACGATCTCCCTGTTGACTGCGACCTACACTCTGTTTGTGTTTGATGCAGACAAGTCTCTCGATGACACTGCCGAGCCGGGCTACCTGAGTGGATCGATTGGGTACAGCTTCGGAATGTACCGCAGGGAGTCCTACACTCCGCTGAATGGTGAGTCTTTCAACAACCAGCTGACCAACACCACAACGTACCCTAACATATTTCTAGAATTCAAATGTGCTACCTGCAGCGGCGCCATCTCCGACATCCAACGTCAAGGTCTGAAATTCGCCGTGGGCATGGCCCTCATCACCATCCTCTCCTTCACCTGGTTCGTCGGCGGGGCTGGTCTTCTCTATACTTGACGAGCCACTCTCTTCGACACCAAGTGTGGCACTAAACATTCTCATGGATATATTTTGACACCGGGGCGTTTCATTGTTTTGAAAAGCGAATTGGGATTACGATAATAGCAAGAAAACTGGCGTTTGTTGATACTGCGGACATAAAGAACAGGAATATTTTTTATTGTTGTTTTTCTTCTTCTCTGGGCTTTTGGGCTGTGTTCTTTGTTTTCATTTCATCAACTCTCTCCATATTTGTGCATCTCATACGTTTATGAGACAGGGTCTGCGGATTGCCGTCCCGTGGCCTTTCTTCATTGTATTTTCGGATTTGGACTTATCTACATGCTTTAATTGATTGCATTTATCGGCACGCTTCTTCACCCACGCATCTTCCTCCTTTGTTAGAGTGTCTCGGGAGATTTCCACGGGGTCAGTAGGACGGACGGTGCATACACAGGACAAAGATACAATGGAACTACGTCAGGGGCGCTGCTAGACCTTCACAAATAATGTTGTCTTTCCTTTACCTCCTGTGGTCTCATCTCCACACCTTTTAGTTTGACTTTGTCTCTCTGGCAAGCTCTTGGACTTGTAGACACTCGTAGTCGAGATTAAAATCGTTCCTGCTACAGAACCAAGACCTTGATACAACCGACAGCTCCTTAGGCTAGCTATCGTGAGACATACATACAGTTCTTTGTAATGCATGCAATTTTTACACTATTTTCTTCCATGCAGGTCATGTAAGGAGGGTCATTATCACGTACAGCCAAACAGGGCGATCTGTGAACCTGCTCTGCATAGCATCAGCATCGTAGTAAGATGGAGGCTCTGCTGGAAGTCGGTGCAAAACATCAATCGACTACGTACATTGAAAGACAAGATGCAGCAAGCTACATCCATGGTAATCAGCAGCCTACCTCCATTGGTACAATCAAAACACCCTGATGAAAATGATAAAAAAATTCGTTTTAAACATCCATATATTGTTCCTAAAGCCCCAATAGCTAGAACCCAAGCCCATCGAACTACTCACTTCATCCCAGAGCATCATTTCACATGTCCATCATCTCCATTCTTCTCAAAAAAGCCATCACAATTCAATTCACTGGCGCGCCATGTCTCAATCCCGTCCCAAGCCCAAAAAGCAACCAACAACCTGGAAAGAACCAGTCAAACCCAAGCCCCAAGTCGGCTGGATCTGGCCCAAAGACCCACGACCAGGTAATCCAACCCGGTGGTCCCGCTTCAAGCGCTTCTCAGATGTCCTCACCGGCAAAGGGCCGGATATCTACGTGGGCACCATCGGAAAACGACCACCTCCAATGAAAGACAACGATAACCCCGGCAGAGCGGTATCAAGCACCAATTGGGCAAGATGGGATATCGAGCCGGAAGAGGATGACACTCCGTTCCCCTGGGCCCATCGCCCAAAGAACGTGAAGTATGACTACAACACGCGCAAGTACAAGTTTCCCGATGAGAAGACGTGGAGTGCGGTCGAGTATGCGGATTACGAGTGGGAGTGTGGGAAGAATCGGAGGAAGAAGAAGGTTACTCCGAGCACGCCGATTCGGTTTTGGGATCGGCATGGGAGAGTACATTGGTGTCATGGGCAGGGGCAGGATGAGTGGCGTGGTAGTGGTCGCCGGAGTGGGTGTGGTGGGCCGAGTGGGTGTGGAGGGGGTCATGGTGGAGGGTGCCATGGACATTGTCATTGTGGACTTCATGAGCATGACTCCGCGTTGGGGAGCTATGAACATTTGCATGGGCATCCATATCCTGTTCGCAGTCATTGTCCTGATTGTTGATGTGGAGATCGCTTTGGGTGCAAGGTGTGATGCGTGTTTTTTTTTTTTTTTATATTGAGTATTGCTTTTGTTTCACGAAACTGTTTGGGATAGGTGCTTGTGAGATTTATAGATATGTTCAGGCACAGCTAGAATGCAATGCATCGAATGCGAAAACTCGTGGCTCCTGCTGTGAAGGCTGAGTAGATTGGACTCGGCGAATAGTTGGCAATTGGGCAGAGTTGTTGGTAAGCTTGTTGCACTTGACACAAGTAGTCTGTTTGAGATCGTCATATGAAGAGATCATGTCCTGGTAAAATGAATCAGTGTCTGGTTTACCCCCATCCTCGTTGTCTCCGGCCAGTACAGTACATACCAGCAAGAAGGCGAGATCCCACTTTCGTGACCGTGAGTTTAGGCACTCCACGATGGAATTTTCCATCTTCGTTGGGACTCGGCCTGGCGGAGCTTTGCTCGAAACGTGCCACTCGGCCACTCCCGGAGCATCGTTGTCACTCAAACCCTCAATGTGGAAGATAATTCCGGCTTTCAAAAGCGCGATCGCCAGCGATAGCGCTCCTTGCCCTTTGATCACACGAACCCCAGGCACATTTCGTTGGATGAAGCTCTCCACGATAGCTTCCCAGCCGCGCTCTGAGGACTGTATCTTGGTCCGCTCAGTCACTTCTTCCTCACGTAGACGCTCCTCTTCTTTGCTCCTCTCAGCTTGGAGAAGTTCCTCAAGAAGAACATCATAGTCCCGTTCCCACATTCCCGTTGGCTGCAAGATTTGACCATCAGACTCCTTGATGCGGGATTCGACATGTGCCCAGACAGGCTTCAGCTCTGGGCCCTGCCACGTAGACTTGAAGCTCTGGATATTGGCGAGCTGAGTGCGCGCAGCTTGGTCAAGTCCATCGCGCAAATGGACTGGCGAGTCTGCATATGAGATACCTGATGGCCCTCTTTGGTTTGAGAGGCTGGATAACGGCTCTAAGAGCTTGCTGGGCACCACGTGGCGCAATTCATGAATCTGGCTCTATCAGTACGATGTTTCACCTCACTGGCCCTCCGAGGACGATGAGAAACCGTGGCCGGATTACTTTGAAAGATTCATGGCAGCACAGAATCGCTGAATACTCACCTTTCGTTCAAGTTCCTGGAGTTTTGCTAATGAGGAGACGAGCTGGATCTCAGACTCCCAGTTGACGGGTGGGGCACCACCATTAGCGGCTTGAGGCGCCTCCTGGGTGCCCGGGGCTTGATTCTCAACCTTGATAGTGGTTGTTTCGGTCATTGGAACAGGTGCTGCGGGTGCAGCAGATGCAGGCACAGCAGACATCGCGGAAGGTCGAAAGTGGGATTGATGCCGAGGTGCCGCCAGGCAGGCTCCGTTGCTTCACGGATAGAGCCTATCTCGACGTCCAAGTTCTCGGCAGAACTGTAGTTCTTGAAATTTGAAGATCCGGCCAGTCGGATCAGGGAGCGATGAGCCGGGTCAATAATGCACCTGCTGAGTTGAGTGCCTGTTTTGAGAGTTTTGAGGTAAGTGGCTAGGCTGGGTATGACGTCGGCCCGCGAGGAGTTGGAGGAGCTGAACAAAATGATTGAAAAATCTAAATGGAGATCAGTCTATTATCCGGGCACTCAATCTCCGTTGGCCAAGAATTTCGTTTGTCGCAATGCTTCCTTAAGGGCGAAGGAGACACGGAAGAGGAAAACAGCCACACTCCCTCCACAGCCACAGATCAGGTGGCTGGTGCGTGATTATGTAATCTAATCGGCCGCTCCGCCCCGCCGTCTTGACCTTCACAGTTCGCTTCTGTTGGGAGAACCAAGAATGTCTTTTCCATTGTACAAGTATTTTGGCGACATTTAATGAGCTAATCAACTAAGAGAAATCCCGGAACTTCAACATTTCGTCTCTTCTGGACAGTATATAAGTACCTTGTGTATGAGATTTATGCTTGGTCATTGGCTTGTGAATATGTTATACTTCTGACAAGAATATATTTTCTAGGGAGCTACATTCTGCTCTCCTGCAACCACGAGACCGTCGCACAATCCGTGGAGAACTTTGTGAAGTATGTGTCGAGACCATGCTATCGAACCCCAACCTTTCCTGTCTTCGAGACCCAAATGCTGGCGCATGTCGTCGGTGCCTAGAACATGGAAAGAAATGTCTAAAGGTAAATAATGTGGAGTAAACATGTTCAGTGCCGTACTAAGAACTTGAACACTCTTAGATTCCAGAGAAATATGATTCAGAAATTCAGAAGCTTCTCGACACAATTCCCGAGAACGACATGAGCTCGTCAAGAAACTTCTGATGCGCATATGGGTCCAAAAATAGATAGCCCGGCAAGTTAGATTAAATGTAAGCGAGAATTGGTAGAATTTGCCAGAGACTGGAGTCTAACAATGATAGGCAGATGACTGGATTTCTCTGGAAAACCCATTGCACAGGGTACATGGGGTTCGCCAAGCGACCAGAATTGCGGTTTTTTCTTGTTGGCAAACCTGTGATGTAGAGCTGGGGGAATTTGGATTTAGATTTTCATTATTGATGGACTTGTGATTTCAACGAATGTTTTGAGAACATCAGATGGATGTCTCCAGCTTCGTTACATATCTTGTAATGTTCTCTTCCTCTAGTGAAGGAGTTGGGGATTGCTGCCTATTAAAGATATCGGGGGACAACTATGTAAACTATCCACAGTCTTGAATAAGAAACTATTATTTTATTTGAAAACTTCCAAAACCGCGTCTTGTTTTTTTTTATTTCCAGAAAAGCTAAGCGGTTCCCCAGCCAAGGACGAAGTGCTTATAACTTCCTAAATCAGATGTGTGATTCCCAAATAGGCATGTCAGCCTCGGGAAAAAGATTAATCCTGCCACAGAATTGCCAAGAAGGTAGGCGTAACCGCTTGCTAAACGGTTCCTCGCTCGGTGATCGTCCGATGATATCCCAGTTCCTGTGCCTGGCTTGCCTTTTCGGCACTGGCGTCTCTCCCGAAGCCATCCCCATTCTCCACGTAGAGACTGATTGCCTAGCCTCCGCATCAACGGCGCTCTCCATATTCCCCAGACGCCATAGCTGGACCCGCCTCGGACCCTGGCGACGCGACGGCTTGACAACGATTGGACCACAAGTGTCATCATTGTCGGCAACAATGCGACTCGGCTCCATCACAGCCGGAACTGACCGCTCAAGCGAGATGGAATCTGACCATGTCACACATATAAAAGTATTATATGGACCCTCGATTGTGGCTTGACTGATTTTCACAGCTACCTCCATCCTCTAAACCAAACCTTCTGCGAAAGCTTTCACCATGCGTTCTTGGTATGGAAGGGGAAAATCCCTTCAAGTGGCCGTTACAGCGTGCTGTTTGATGGCTTTTATATTGTTTGGATATGATCAGGGTGTATTCAGTGGTATTGTGACAAATGAAGACTGGAGGAAGCAATTTGGCTATCCCAATGATTCGGAAGAGGGCATTATTGTCAGCTGTTATAATCTTGGCTGTCTGCTAGGATGCTTGAGTAAGTTACTCGGGACTCATCTACCGATACATCTGATCTAACCTGGAAGTCCAGTCAATTTCTTCATCGGTGAATATCTTGGTCGCCGAAAGACAATTTGGCTGGCGATGGGAGTAGTGATAGTCGGCGCAGTACTGCAAACATCTGCCTTTACCGTGCCTCATTTGATCATCGGACGATTGGTCACTGGTGCAGGCACAGGCCTGAAGACCTCGACAGTGCCAATGTAAGTTGACGTGACAGGATGCCAATCGCGGTATTGTTGAATTAACGATACTAATAACAAACGTCATAGGTATCAAGCGGAAATGTGTGATGGCAAGACTCGAGGCCGCCTCATTTCCTCCGAAGTTCTCTTCACTGCTGTTGGCATCGTCGTGGCATATTGGTTTGACTATGGCATGTCATTCGTCGGAGGTCCAATTGCGTGGCGACTCCCAATTGCTATGCAGATGGTCTTTGCTATCTTCGTTATCATTCTCGTCTTCGGTCTTCCAGAATCTCCTCGCTGGCTCATGAATCATAACCAAGAAAAGGAAGCCATGGAAGTGCTGTGTGCGCTTTATGATAAGGAGGAAAATGAGGAGTATATTGTCAATGAACGCCGGGCTATTCTGTCTGCCATTGAATTGGAAAATAATGCCAACAAGAAGTCTGTTTGGAAGATGTTCCGCAATGACGAGGTCAAAACGGGTCAACGTGTTCTCCTTGCTTGGGGAATGCAACTGATGAACCAAGTCGGTGGTATTAATCTGGTCGTTTACTACGTGCCTAGTAAGTGTGCACCACGAACAGTGAAGGGACGACACTAACCTTATGAACCTTAGCCGTGTTAAAAAACAATGTTGGGTTGACTGGTCAGCTTCCCCAGATCCTAGGTGGATGCATCCAAATCATGTTCATGTTGGGATCTCTTCTGCCCGCATTCATGCTGGACCGTATGGGTCGCCGTCGGACCATGATGATCGGCTCGTTCGGCCTGGGCATCTGCATGCTTATGGTAGCGGCACTCTTGTCCCAAGTCGACAAGCCGAACGGGGAAAATTACGCCTCCGCCTCCGTTTCATTCTTCTTCCTCTACATGCTCATCCACGGCATGTCCATCAACTCGGTGCCCTGGGTGTATGTACCGGAGATTCTTCCTCTGGATGCTCGCAGCAAAGGAACGGCTATCGGTGTTAGCTCCAATTGGCTCTGGAATTTCACCGTGGTCATGATCACTCCTGTGATTATCAACCGCATTCAGTGGAAAGCATACTTGATATTCATGATCACCAACTTCATCTTCATCCCAGTCGTCTACATCTTCTACCCCGAAACTAGCAATCTGCGTCTGGAAGATATTGACCTGATCTTTTCTCGGGGCGGAGATCCTGTCCAGCAGGCGCGATTGATGGCAGCTGAGATCAAGACCCACGGATATCTCCGATCAGAGGAAATGGGCCATGAAAAGGATGCTGATATTGTCAAGGTGGAGCACGTTTGACCACAACGAAGATTGAGGCATCACGCCCCTCTGGAATAGATACGTCTACAAGCAATGTTTTCATCGATAACTGCCTCAAACAAGCCAGTATCGTTCATCAGAAGTATCGATTAGAAAGATTCGCTCCCAAAACGATTTCAATTCACTGAACACCTTCCTCCGTCACTCCATACAATCGCTTAAAGAATCACACAGCCTTGTAGTCAATGGGCCTTGGCCGCCTTGGGAGGGTACTTCTTTCCCTCCCTCTCCACCTGAGGAGTGCAAGCGCAGCGCTCGCTCTCCGGAATCGAGTCCATCACGGAGGGGATGTGGTTTCCGCAGCCCCACCAGGTGACCTTGCCTGCCAGATCATTAGTTGATTCCTCCTTTCGACCCCCCACTTTATGACTCCCAACTTACTGCAGGTGGCGCAGTGAGCTTTCATACACATGCTGGGCGAGTTGATACAGTTTTTTTGGTAGAAAAGGTGTTGTGGATGATGGAGGAGGCAGATAAACCCAGTTGTTTTTGGTTATTTGGGTTGGTGATGGCAAGATGGCGGGAGGCGTGCGGGTGGGCTTTATACACTTTTCCCGCAGTGTCATGCCTTAGTCATAGCCCGTCCATCTGGACAGGGGACGCCGATGAATGAAGCCCGAAAGCCCGAGATGCTATCGGCGTTCATATTTTGCCCATTCTAAATCGGCTATAGATATCATTTTACAAAAAAAAGGAGACAGTAATGATCAAAGACAGGACTACTGCTTCTTTACTGTATGATAAGCTCACGTAGATCTGTGGCTTCACTGTTCGTCAGCCGCCATACTCAAGCGAACTTGTGCTGTGGTGGGGCACAACACGGGGCGCATGCCGAATTTGGGCTTTGACCTTGTTCTTGCAATGCAACGGCGATTCAAGTCTACGGGGCGATAAGATTCAACGCAGGGCTCTGTAATCTATGATGACTGTCATAGCAATCGCTGGTGGTAGAGGTGGCGTGGGAAAGACCTTCATGGAAAGATTGTCTCAGGAATCGAACATTCGTGTTATCGTCTTGTCGCGTACCGTAGGTCTCGTCTCTCGGGGAAAGCTACCAGCGATAACTGACCCTATGGCGCCGAACAAAGGTATCTGGACCTCAAGAAAATGTTCAACTCGTCCAGATTGACTACAACGACATCCCCACCATGACCGTGGAGCTGGAACGCCACAATGTGCACACCATTATATCTGCGATCGGCTTGGTCTCCAATGAGACTAGTCAGTCACAGCTAAATCTGATTGAAGCAGCAGAAAAGTCCAAATCAACAAAGCGTTTCATTCCAAGTGAATACTCGTTCATTCAGACACCCGAGTAAGCCGCCTTACTATCTCTGTCCTTTGCGCTCACTAAAATTCTCGCAAAGGCTGTTGTCTGTGGACCCGAGTATCCAATGGTGGCTCGACGCGGCGGATCGCTTGAAATCAAGCTCGCTGAAGTATACCCGCGTAATTCCGGGGTTTTTCATGGACTATTGGGGCATGCCACATGCGAAAACAAATCTCCACCCATATATCTTTGGCATTGATATCGCTGGCGGTGTAGCCGCCATTCCCGGCGATGGCAATGATGTCATTTGTATGACATACACGTACGACCTGGCGAACTATATGGTGAAGATGCTTGAACTCGAGGAATGGCCAGAGTTCAGTGTGTTTGTGGGTGACGAAGTGACCTACAACGAGATTTTGGCCATGGTAGAGGGGATCAGAGGTAAGATGAAGGCGAGTTTACTGACAAGATGCATTGGCTAAACTGCTATGAACCAGGGAATAAATTCCAGACTACCTACGACAGTGTTGAGCAGATCAATGCGGGCAGTGTGACTGTCCCACCCATGCCTAGCACTATTGGATCACCGGAGGAATTGAAGGCAATTACCGCACTGGTCAGTCAGCTTACAGTGACTGGAGTGTTTGATTTGCCCAGAGAGAGCCGTATGAGTGATCGGTTCCCGGAAGTGCAACCTGTAAAACTCAAACAATTCCTGGAGAAGTGTTGGGTAGGAAAGTAAACATAGGATCAGATACTAGTTGGAGATGTCTCTGTGCTACGAAAGAATTGGTCCTCTGGGTACATTTTCGAAGACTGTGCTTATAATGATGAATATCGCAGAAACCCCCTTCCTATACTCGAGGGACGTGTCAATGTGAAGAAATATCCTTTTCCCAAGATAACCGAAACCGATCTTTAGTCATAGCATCGTGGGCCAGGCCATCTCACGCCGACACAGACAGGACGTCCGGGAATGAGGTTCGTGCAGCTGGCATTGATATCCGGATTCCAGCAGAGGAATTGATTAATCGTAAAGGAGCCATACTGTAAGATAACATCCCAGCAGGTATCGCCACTTTGGACAGTATAATGCATATTGCCTAGTCTCTGTCAGTGGGAATTGCTCAGAGTCATTCTCCCTTAACTCGGGCTGATGAAAGACACATACAATAAGGTGTCTCACCCGCGACACCAGGGCTCACATTTTCCACGGCAGCGGAAAGCCCCAAGGATGCAAGTCCCAAAGTGCAAACTAAAATTCGAGTGCACAAGGAAGGCATGCTTGTCAGAATGTGCGGTTGATGCTGAAACGAAAGACTCGAGTTGCTCGCGAAGCAAAAGTTAATGAAGGGATTGAACAATGGAGCTTGATCGAGTTTCACCGGAGCACATCGTGGGTATTTATGTTTCTGAGAGCATGTAAAATAAAAGCATTGTCCCGGCGGGAGTATGCAGCAAATCGGCGGCTGATGTCCTGTATGACCATTCGAGATCATATCCGTCGTGGGTATCGATGAGGGGGAAACCTTATACTACCGTGGTGCACTTTCAGGTACAAGGACAGGTTGCATTGATCTATCGTCAATGTTGCTGCAACCCTATCTAATATTATTACTTCGAGAGATGGAGAAACCCCTGCAAAGAAATAGACGGATCTTAAAGTTGACGTACTGAATGGAGTCAGATGAACCAATCAAAACCCCCATCTCAACTCTTGTCTGGAGATTAGTCGATGGATTTCTCTCAGATAGATCGATCTGCTATTCTTGTCGCCGTCACTGTTACATTGGTTACTAGCAGTGATACCTCCATGAGAGAAACTGTTACGTTCTGCTTGGGTTGATGCGTTTGTTTGGTGGGACGAGATGCTGGACCACAATCACGGATACTGGGTAGACTCTTCTTCCCTTAAGGAGTGGCCTGTGTAACAATTTCATGTACAACTGCAGAATGAAAGCTACGACCAAGGGGAGGTGGAAACGGTGGTAGTCGCAGTCTCAGCCCGTACCGTGACTAGATTATTGCGTAGAGTGACACGCAAAGACCGGAGTGGTAACCTTGATAACCTCATTGATAACCTCATTGATAACCTCATTGATAACCTCAGAACAGTGACGAGATGCAAGATTTGGGGTAGCAGAGTCGGCAGAGATGAAACGACCTTTCGCTGGGAACTCGTGCTCAATTTCTTAGTAGCCGGGGAGGATCTAAAAGCTTGGCCAATTAGCCTCCACAGCGCTCAATAGCTTAGAAGATAACAGGTGCCAGACGTAGTCTGATCTACCTTCCTAGATCGGCTGATGAACCTAGACATATCTACTTGTCACGAGACTCTTTCATCGGCCTAGATTAATCTAGTATTCGCAAGCATGAGCTTCAACGGAGAGAGCAAATTTGCGGCATGAGCAGGTTTCGAAACAACTTTTCCCAAGCTTGGGCTCGCGTGCTTAATTTGATGGACTTAGAGACACAGAGTATCCTGCTTTTGCTTCCTTAAAGTTTGCGATCAATTGTGAAGTTTACTGTTATCCCGAAACTTATTGATAGAATGTACTCGAGAGCCGATTTTAGCCGAGATGTGTGGTATTCCAGTGTCCACAATAGACAGTGGAAAATGGAACAGGAAAGGTCATGATTCGTGGAATGAGATAGAATTAAGACAAATCCAAGCTCTCCTGTATTTAAAACTTTATTCTAGATCGCAGTGCATATTCAGCAACTAGATGGAGGCCATGTCTTGCGAGTGTTCATCGTGCGGAGGGACAGTTGGGCCGATCCACATAGACCTCGGCAAGGTAAATCTGAGGGACTTAGGGACGACCAAGTCCAGGCTCTGACCTGCCAACTAAAAAGTGGATCAGAGTTCGGAATGAAGCCGACGGAGAATAATATACGCTGATGATCGACAGCCCTTGCGAGCTGCTTTTCCCTTCGGGATGATGACAGTCATGGTGTTTGGTGACCTCAACTCTGGTCCGGGGCGCGGGTGAACGGCGACCGAGTGCGGTAGTCGTTTGATATTTCCTTTCCCTCGAATCAGAGGCAACAGCGACCGTTTAATCGTGACGCGTTACGTTTGGATATGGATGTGATCGAACACCATACATAAGCTAAATTGACTGTTTCCGATGCCCTTTGTGAGAAGAGGAATACGATAGTTAGAGAAAGACCTGGCGATTCGGGGGTTTATGAATTATCAAAACTTGTTGCTTCAAGCGCTCTGTTCTGGCATTTCAAGCTGTCTGCTATTTGATTTTTCCAACGAAAGAGAATTTTCATGCAAGGCCGCCTCATGATTGTGTCTATCATCGGGTAACTCCGGGATACGAGCTGTGACTTGTTGACAGCTCAAACCAGGGATAGACCTTATGCAGCGATTAGAAACAGAGCCTCCGCTCAAAACGTCCGACTCGGACGAATCAGACTTCCTTTTCCTTTTTCGACGAACAATATCGCGTAATTTCACATATAACGGTCGAACAGCCGGCGCGGCCGCGCATAGATGTGCCACAGCGGTTTCTGCACAGGTCCAGTAGAACACACCAGCATTAAGGTAAGTCGGATCATGAATTGCCTCGACGTTTCTTAGAGTTGGTACTCGGGCGGATGCGATGCCTATAACACTGAAGAAATGATTAATGCTTTGTCTCGAGACGTCTGTCAGGCTCTGTCTTACAGAATACCACATCCAAAAAGAGCATACAACCCAATTTTTTGTGCTATTGAGGCGCGAAGTGTTCGGAGCAATGGTAGTGGCAGGATGAGAACTGCAAGTTCCGTGGCAATGTTCACTCCTGCACTTGCATAGGCCACTCCTGCGATGCTGAGGCACCTCGCATCCTCCCTTTTTAAATCCCATATTGCGTGGATCGGTACGCACTGCCATATATCCATCGGGACGAGAATGATGACAGCCACCGTTGTGAACACCATTGTGCCTATCACACAGTATCGGAAAAGTGGGATCTCGGGGAAAATTCGAAGATAGAGGAACAGGATCGACATCTTGATGAAATAAATGACGACTAGCCAGAAGATCTGCGAGAGATAGTCTGAGATGGGATCAGATATCGATTGACAGCTTTCAAGAGATGGGACAAGTATACTCACACCAGATAATCAGGTGAGTGGCCTGGGACACCGATGAGAAGTTAATATCGTATAAGTGGTATCCCATTCCTTCGTTCACACCTTATCATCAATGTTAGCAGCACAAAATAGACCTGGAGATTCAAGGACATACACAAATTACTGAAGACAAGCAATGGTATCATAAGCACCTATACCGAAATGTGAGTACCCATCGCATTTAAGATTGATGGTAGCATTGAAACATACCCCGGAAATGATGTGACTCCAATCATCCCACCAAAATCTGCGTAATGTATACGCCCTTGAAATTATGCGTAGAACCACGATTAGGAGACCAGCTACCCCACTCGCGATGATCGCTGCTCTTAAAGAGCCATGGTGGTTGTCGTGAGGCCGGTCACATTCTTGAGCCCACGACTGCGCTGCGACTATACATTGTTAGTTTCTAACACCTTGCGATAAAGACGCGTGGAGAGAGACAGACCGATTGTCTCTGCGATTTCACATTTTGACATTAAGCAGAGGGAGATATGAGTGTTTATGTTCTTGTTCGTGCATCGGCACTTGAGATCCGATAATTCGCAGTCGCCTAACAGGAGACTCTCTGATACGCATTCCGTCTAGGGACCTCAATGTTAGTGTTGAATTGCAGTCCCGTAAACAGAGACTCTAGACTCACTACACATGATGGCAAGCTGTCAGAGGCTAGAACACCATCAATCCCAGACGTGACAGCTGGTCGCACGCATAACCACAGGAGAAACAGTGGCAGGATAGCACACTTCATCCTGTTAAAGAATGACGATGTGGAGGGCTTTCCTCACACTCATCGCAGTGAGGACTCGAAGGACGGTGTAGGAGAATAGGAGAAAAGCGCATCACAAGTCTCAAACGTACTGGAAGGCTCAGTTACTTGTATTTCTACCATCTATTGCCGGAAATGTAACCACGGCATTCGGTCTCCAACGAATCGTACCTCCGCACCTCAAACAAGCAAACCAAGGTACTATTGAGGCGCCATGGGGTCATTCCGGTCTAGAGTGCACATTATTTCCGCATCGATTCAGGGTGCTTGAGTTCAACGACGTAATGTCAAACTCTATTCATGGGGGAAACCGTTCGCATTCAACGAGCCAAGAAACTCACCACGAGGAAGTCTTGAAATATAAGTGGGGCCTGTCTGAACGCTCATTGGTCAGACTCCTCTACTTTTCATTGGATGAAGGTATTGACAAAAGAAGTAATATTGTTGCCAGATATTCAAGGCAATAATGTCTGTTCTTATCAGCTTATCAGTCGGGAGAATTGACCTTCCGTCGGCACGGGGAGACAAACAATTAACATTCAATCAATTACGATGCCCTCCCGAGTCTTCTCCGAGCCGAGGTCGGGATCAACGTGATTATTATCGGGACAATCAGTGCTCCCGTACAAGCCCGAAGTATTTAATGCCCCAAAATGTTCACATGCAAACAGACTGTAAATTTTTTAGACAGTGCAGATCATATACAAGGTGTACTTGCTCTAATTTCACCCATTTCTTCTCCATTCAAGTGATCAAGTTTCTTGCCAAAAATCATGGCTGCTCAGGTCCCAAGTTCAATGAAGGCCCTAGTGGCAGACCGTTCTATTGTTACTCGACTTTCAAATTATTCATGCGGCCACTCATCTGGCGATGGCGTCAAGATACAAACAACCCCTGTTCCCGAAATTCTCGACAACGAAATTCTCGTTCGCGTACGATCCGTCGCTCTCAATCCAACCGACTTCAAACATATTGACGTCGTGGCTCCCCGAGGAGCTATCATCGGCTGTGATTATTCGGGCACGGTTGCCATGGTAGGCGCCAAGGCCCCTGGATACTGGCAGGTCGGAGATAGAGTAGCCGGCTTCATTCATGGAGGACTGTACACCGACCGGGGCTCTTTCGCAGAGTATCTCAAGATTCCTGGAGATCTTGCTTGGAAGGTGCCACCCTCTGTGACCGATGAGGAAGCAGCCACATTTGGAGTGTCCGCTGTTACCGCGATGCTGGCTTTGAATGCTCGTCTTGGGGTTCCATGGCTTGACTCAGGCAAGAGTGAAGGACGGACAGATACCCCGATCTTCATCTATTCAGGCTCAACAGCTGCCGGGCTGTACTCCATTCAACTTGCCAAACTCGCAGGCCTGAAAGTTGTGACAACAGCATCACCAAAGTCCTATGACCTTGTCAAGGAGTATGGCGCTGACGACGTGTTTGATTATCGGTCTCCAACTGCCGTTCAAGATATCATTCGAGCATACCCCAACGTTGACAGGGCATTGGATTGTTTCTCAGAAGGCAAATCGACAGAATTCTGCGCCGATGTGGTCCGAAGAAGCCGGGGGTGGGTTGTGACACTGTTGGATTCTGGAAAGAAGGAGATGAACGGAGTGAGGATCGACTTTATGTTGGGGTACACGGTTTTCAATGCCGAATTCCAATGGCTACCTCCACTGGGACCTAAGTTCCCCAAAGTGCCATCCGACAACGAAGCTTTACGCCGGTTCTATGCGGCATTACCTGAGATTGCCCTGAAATTGAAGACGCCCCCTTTGAAGAAGATCGACGGGGGTCTAGAGAACCTAACAACAGGTCTCAATATGCTTCGTCAAGGGAAGGTATCTGGTGGTAAGCTGGTTGCGACCATTTTTTGATGTTGTTTTGCTTGTTCACTCTCTGTCACTTGTCGCTGTCCTTGAGCCCTACTCTATTTTGTTTCTAATTATTAGACCGACCCATTTAATGATCTTATTTCTTCAAAACTATACTGAATGATCTTTCTATTCTTGCAACTTATCGACCGACCAAAATTGATGTGACGGCGCTGTAAAACAACTGTAACCTCGTGCTATTCAAGGTGAAAACAGAAGCTATCGATATAGAATTTACAACATATAATGTGGACTACAGCACTCCATCTTAAAATTACAAGAAGTAGCGGAGGTAGTAAATGCTGCATCAGACAAGAGTGATAAGAAAATTCATGATATTGCATAGGTGTAGCCTGGATTTTAAGGCTGGATGAGACAAGAATTTTGCGACGCATAGTTCTGTGAACGTGGCGAAAGAGTGCGTAATTTGTTTACAGAGAGAAAAGTGTTTGATTGTTTGTCATCCAGATAGCAATATTCACGCCCAGCTAATGTTACTGTTTTGGCATATCGGAACTGGACCTGTCTTCCATCGAGGAGTTGCCTCCTCATCTGCCAACTTTGCAACTGGTTTGAGAATCTCCATTTGCCCCCAAGGCGTGTCCTTAAAGCTTGCCATAAATGGAGACTCTCGTGCCAAATATTCTGGGAAAACCCGTTTCCAGCCATCAACTACCTGGAGCAATATCTCAGAGACAAATTGATCTGGCGACGAGCGCTCAAACTTAAAATCGTCAAGGGTCTTCTGCGCCACGTCCATTGGGTAAAGTCCAACTTCAGGGGAGAGAAGAATTGTATCACCTGCAACCAGTGAGCTCACAACATGGTACGACCCTCCTTTCAACACACGGTCTCGAATAGCCAGCATCGTTGCCAAAGCACCAACGACCCCGGTCATCATATCTGAGACGGGGAGAGGCGGAAGAACACTGGTTCCCTCTTCATATACCCAAAATCTGCCCATCACATATGACGCTCCAGAGGCAGCATCTCCGATCTGCTGCCATCCAGGTCTCTCCGCGAACGGCCCATGAGCTCCATAACAGTTTTCATCTACATAGACGATACCCTTGTTGCGCTTCGCAGCAGTTTCGAGCAAGCTTTGTAATCCAAGCCCCTTCCTGTCAAGAGACCCATATCGGAACCCTTGGATAAAGACGTCCACGTCATTCAGAAGTTCCCTGAGGGTGTTCATATCGTTCTCTTTGCTGATATCGAGATCGACAGTGCGTTTTCCCGCGTTAAGAGTCAGTTGGAGCACCTGCAATTGAAGTCAGAATCTTGAGACAATGTCGGAATTTGAGCTCTTTGCTTACGTTCAAGTCCACTAGCCTGCTACAATTGACGCGAATCACATCGGCACCAAACGAGGCGAGAGTCACACCAATAGTCGGGCCTGCGATGATGCGCACCATTTCGAGAACTTTGATTCCAGCCAGAGGGCGGCGATCGGAACTCTTCAGCAGAGGAATAGGAGGTGTCGGGTGGGCATAAGACTCGTGGGTATAATTCACCAGTGGATCAGCAGCCAGACGCTTGCCCATCTCAGTTTTCCTCCATCCTTCAGGTGAATAACAGATACTCCCACACAGTCCATGCCTCACATTGTGCATCTCCAACTCATCTGCGCTCCATTTCTCAACATGGTCCTTGATATAATTGTACCCTTCTGCGAGAGACTGCAACGGAGTCTCCATATCAACCCCCATTGATCTGAGGGTCTTGCACGCATCAAGTGATCCATGAAGTTGATACCACACTCGAGGGTCCTTTGTAGGATAAAGCGCTGTTGCTCGCCCAGCCAATGGGCCAACCCCAAATCCTTGCTCGAAATCCCTCGCGAAAATCTTTGATAGAGAGCGATTTCGGGCTAGAGTGGAAATATCCGAGCCTTCCACGTACGTGGTAAAGGTCGACCCTAGCCAAATGCCAGCGTGGTCTGTATTGACTGTTACACTGCTTCGGTTCGCGGGCTTTCCATCACGAAGTTCAAGCAATTCATTGCCGACCAATCCACACATTGCGTGTAGTGCAGCAGATACGAGAGGCGCTTTCATGGGTCCAGGGATCATAGGGCTCGGTCGGCCTTCGAATTTGACCGTGTCCCATAGACCCGCGTCTTTGGTGAATCCTGGTGTCCTTGTTGCAAGCAATTCGAAGATTCGTCTAGCGTCCTCGGAAGCTGGGAGCACATTCTTGTCGATGAATGTCCCCGGGCCATAGACATCGTCTCCCGGCACAGTCTCATGTCTGGTGTGGGTCATTGTTGAAGGCATGAAAAGCGAAATACCGAGCTTTCCCGGTCGCTAGGTGTCTAAGGCTTTTTCATAACCTCTTTTTGAGAATGGTGCCGGGCGTGAACTTTATATGACAAGATTGTACCCCTGTAATGCATCATGAACCCCAGCCATGGGACACTGTCACTCAGCGTCCACCCGTGTCAGTGGCACTGTGGAAACATGTCAACGTGCTAGGCCGCGCAAGTAGCCGGGTAGCCGGCTTGTAGTCTTGTACAACGGACGATGATCACTGCGCGGTGCGGAGCTCGTATAATTAATCTAACTTATTTCCTCGGGTGCAACGAAGAGCCGTAGCCTTGCCCTAGCATGTCTTGAGCAAGGAGCAATGGTCCGGACGAGAGTTGTTTCAAAAGCTTATTTATTCAATGAGAAGATAGATGCATTGAAATTATGCAGAGATTCCCACAAAAATAACCATGCAGTGGATCGCTTTGTGCCTTGCATTGCTGTGAGACCCATAAAGCGATCCACAACGGTCGATCTTCGCCATTGCCTCGGACCTCGTTCCCCGAGGCTTCCATTTGAGGGGTTCCTTGTCCAACACGAAACAACAAGTTGAGAGTTTGGTGGAATCATGTATAAGTTGCTGCAAAAAGTAATATTCAGCAATGATTAGTTTCTTGGAAATATTCCCGCTCGGGCGACTGCAAACAAGAGGACATACAGCATGGCAACAAAAAATAACAATATCGGTGGACGACCGGTAAAGGTTGCCAACTGCTCTGGATACCATGGTAAAAGAAACCGATAATCCAGATGAAATTTCGAGTCTGACTGCCCCAGGCGATCCTGCATACGAAATGTATCGTCAAGCGACGCTCGGGGATGTCGATTTCATCACGGGCGATTACCTCGCAGGTAAGAAAGCCCGCCCGAAGCCAAAATTATCCAACCCCAGTTCCACTCACACATAAGTAGAGGTCAACATGGCCAATAATGCGCAGGCTTATCAGAAAGGAGAGCATCCAGGATACGAGGAAACCGCCTGGGAAGGGATCAAGCAAACTATTGAGGTGATATCCGCCAAGAAGATCAAGGTTATAATCAACGGAGGAGCCCTCAATCCAAGAGGCCTAGCTTTCAAAGTGGAGGAATTAGTAGGGATGCTTCCAATTATCTTACAGTGTGGATACTAAAATGGAACAGGTACGAGCAAAGGGCTTCAATCTGAAGGTAGCCTTTCTCTCTGGCGATGACCTACACTCGAAATTTGGCCCCAACATGCCGACGTCGAAAGATGAACTCCAGCACCTCGATGGAAACAATCAGTCCTTAAACACCGGGCCGCTCACATACGCCTTTCTTAATAGTTCCGATCCCGTTCCTATGATCTCAGCACACGCATATCTTGGGGCACGAGGGATCGTTGATGGGCTAAGACGCGGTGCGGACATCATAATATGTGGTCGTGTCGCTGATGCCAGTCCAGTCATCGCAGCTGCCTGGTACTGGCACTCATGGAGTGAAACAGACTACGGCCGCCTTGCTGGTGCATTGGTCGCTGGTCATTTGATTGAATGCTCTGCTTATGTCACTGGTGGTAATTTCTCTGGATTTGATCGATATCCCATCGAGAGATTTGTACTGCCCGGGTTTCCGCTTGCGGAGATAGATTCAGATGGATCGTGTATAATCACAAAGCATTGCAACACTGACGGGATGGTCGACGTCGATACAGTTCGAAGCCAGTTCTTGTACGAGCTTCAGGGTAACGTCTATCTCAACAGCGATGTCAGCGCCATATTGGACGATATTGTGATCGAACAGGCAGGTCTTGATAGGTAAGCCAGTATGTTCTCCTTGACACTGCAAGCATTTGTCTCATCAATCCAGGGTTCGTGTCTCCGGAATAAGAGGCTATGCTCCTCCCCCAACAACAAAACTGGCTATCTTTTATTCGGGGGGCTTTGAGGCACAGCTGCTTCTTAATGCCACGGGGTATGGAACAACAGCGAAATGGGACTTGGTTGAGAAACAAATTCATCACTTTATACCAGAGGAAACAATGCAAAAGATTGAAACCCTTGAGTTCCAACGGTGAGTCAATGATCTAAGGAGTTACGAGGCTACAGGCATCTAATCTTTCGCTCAGTATTGGTGTTCCAGCTACCAACCCTGCCTCGCAGCGTAGCAGCACCACATACTTGCGGGTCTTTGTTGCTGCAGTCTCAGCTCAATCAGTTCTGTCAGTGGTGATGGCTATGAAGGAAATTTCACTCAAACACTTCTCCGGTAAGTGACTGTTCAAGCAACAAATTTTCCGGGAGGAGCTGATGCATTTTCCATTTCATGGAACCCAGGCTTCCATTCCTCACTAGATCAACGCTGTGCTATGCCACGTCCGTTCCTAGCTTATTATCCGGCGATAGTTAGCCAGAACCTCATTGATGAACGGATCAACTTTATCGAGGGGCCAGAAAACGTCGTCTCATACTCAACCGGCCACCCGCCAAAATATGAACCACTTGCTCCCCGGGACAGCTATGATCACAATCCGTCACCGGAAGAGATAGTTCTATCGAAGACTCCCAGGCAGCGAATCCGCCTGGGCGACATTGCACAAGGCAGATCTGGAGATAAAGGTGCGAATCTCAATTTCGGCCTCTTTGTCACAAATTCACAACACTGGCCTTGGCTACGGTCATATATGAGCCGTGAACGTATGAGAGAGATGATTGCTGCCGATGACGACTGGGATGACTCATTCTTGATTGAGCGAGTAGAGTTTCCGAAGATTCACGCTGTACATTTTGTGATCTATGGTATCCTGGGCAGAGGTGTTAGTAGCTCTAGTCGGCTGGATGGTTTCGGAAAAGGGTTTGCCGATTATATGCGCGACAAGGTCGTTGAGGTGCCAGCGGAATTACTTGCTTTGAAATCATATCTATGAATGATGTACAAACTCGAACTATTGCAATAAAGGCAAGGCCAAGTTATGGAACATGTTTAAAAGGAGACTCTCTTGATTAGCCGGAACATGCCGCTTATTCCATCCCTTGTAAAGTAATTCATTAGTATGGTGATCGTACGGCGATCCTACGGTGTGAAACGTGTGCTGATGGGATCACCGCTTCCTAAACGGTCCCGGTGTGTTATAAAAACCCGAATGGGAGGCCTCACCCCGCTCTTACGCAAGCCAAACAATCAGCCATCGCTACGCTCTGTTTGACCTGCGCGTTGCTTCAAAACAAACATTACCTGCCAACCTGCTACCTACCAGCCAGAACTTCAAAATGACTAAACTCGAGCCCGTCCACTTCTTCGACCTCTTCTCAGATCTCTCAGGTCCGCAGCCTCATCCAAATCTTGGGCCCAAAGTCCCCCTCGAATCACGCTAATCAGGCCCACGCACTATATCTTAGGTCCCTCCAAATCATGGTCGCACAACACGTTGAAGATCAGAGCAGTGCTGAACTTCAAGGGCATACCCTACACCCAGAGCTGGATCTCGTACCCGGACATCAAACCCCTTGCCATCAGCCTTGGCCTGCCACCTAATAAAGATGGCAGACCTTACACGTTACCTGCAATAATTCACAAGTCCTCGGTTACTTCAAATCCAAGTGGAGCGATGATGGATTCGCTAAAGATTGCAGCTCATCTCGATAAGGTGTTTCCATCTCCGCCACTATTCCCATCCGGTGACGCCAGCTACACACTATTCGTTGCTGTTAGCAAGATTGTGAGCCTCTTGGAACCCGGGTTTCGGCCATTCGTCATTCCAAGAGTAGTGGATCATCTAGATCCGCGGGGACAGAAGTATTTCCATGAAACGCGATCTGCTGCTCTCGGCAAGCCACTGTCGGAGGTGCGACCAACGGACAAGGACACTATCGACAGGTTATGGAGATTGGTGGAGACTGAGTCAGTTGCCTTGATCAAAATGTTGAAAGGCATGGAGGGAAAGGAAGGGCCATTCTTCGAGGGCATGAAGCCTGGGTATGCGGATCTGTTTTTGGCCTGTCAATTGGCATTTATCGAGCGCTTCGATAAGGAGTTGTTTGGAAAATTCCTGTGTTTAGGCGATGGTGAGATTGCGGCTCTGTACAATGCTTGTCTACCCTGGCTAGAGGGTCAAGGAGAGGATAAGGAGTGGTTTATCCCTTCAGATACTTCATCCTGAAGTCAATACAGAGCAAAAATGTTGTAAGAGAAAGCCTTCCTCTTCCGTCACTCCTTCTGGCCAAGTGAATGCGACTGTTGGTATACTAGGCGAAGTTAATGGTCCAATAATTAATCTATAGTTTGGGGCTTACATCTAAATCCACGCAATAGGCTTTGACCCCGCGAGAAGGTAACGAGTGGCGGGGCAGCGTGTCAGCATCTGGGGGCAATTTGGGGGGCGTTGTTGGCTGAAACCTTCTAGCAGGCGGGCCAGTGGGGCCACTCAGCATTGCGTGGTAAGCATTCCACTGATGCAAGACGCTTACACTGCGCGAATTGTCGGTGGAAAGGAGAGTATAAATAGGAAAGAACTTCATTACCCCGTGTCCCAAGCTTTGAGAGGATCCTCTTGTATTTCCTTTCAATCGAACGATCTCACTCAATCTCCATTTCAACATGGCATCCTCCATAGCGAATATGACCTATATCATTATTGGAGGTGCCTCGGGCATGGGACTTGCTACAGTCCAAACGCTCCTTGCACGAGGTGCTCAGGTTGCTGTATGCGACATTTCAGAGAAGAATCTAGAGACTTTACTCGGTAGTCTCGCACCGCAGAACTCCACCAAGTGCTTTGCCAGGATCGTCGATGTGACAGACCGCTCCGCCATTGATAGCTTTTTCCACGCGGCTGAAGAGCACTTTGGAAACCTCAATGGCATCGCAAATTTTGCGGGTACCGGTGGCCACGGCTTGGGTACAGAGGCTGTCTGGCAAACAACAGAGGAAGAATACAACTTCATCATGAACTTGAACGTTAAAGGACTGTTCAATGTGCTCTCATCGGGGCTGGATCCTGGATTTTTGGCAGATCGCGCGAGTGTGGTTCATATCGGCAGTATCTTTTCTCAGAAGGGTTTTTTGAACGGCGCGGTCTTCGCAGCTTCAAAGCATGCAGCTTTGGGAATGGTTCGAAGTGCAGCTAAGGAGACTGAGGGACGGGCGAGGGTAAATTGTGTGTTACCGTGAGTTCTTCATGTTCTGACTTTGTGAATGCCTCTGATACTGAATTATTGAGCAGTGGTGTTATTGATACCCCTATGCATCGAGCTAATCTTGCCCGTGTCAAGAATTTCACTCCGACCCCGGCAACACCGATTCCTCGAGATGGTACTGCGCAAGAGGTTGCTAACGTTGTGATTTTCTTGCTCAGTGAGGAAAGTAGCTTCGTGACTGGAGATGCCTGGAACGTCGATGGAGGTGCAAATGCATGAGTGAACAACTATGTACTATATGCAGGATGACATGAATAGATAGATTGGATATATGGGGCAGTTTGGCGAATTTCTAGGGAATCCTCCGTTGCGGCTCTCAAGAGTGGTCAGAGGCAGTTGAGATGATTGAGCAGATATGCAAGATTCACTTCAGTTGCTCTCATCTTCCAATAAGCGAAGTACTTAACTGCTACGGAGCCTCATATTCCGGACATTAAGGCTTATCCCCGATGCCCATAGAATATTTGCTAAGGCCCATCACAAATCCGTACTTCTGAACTGTCGTTGTATCTATCACCTGCGCAGAGCTGTAGCTGCCCGGAAACTCGAAGCTGGCCAAACCTTTGTACCACTAGAATACATATTGCTTTGACTTGAAGCTATATCTGAGTGTTGTATGTACATATTTCTCTTTTTTTCTTCAAATGCTGAACGAAAGTGTGTTGTGGTGCGAAATAATCCTTCCAGATCAGCGGTTTCTCGCCCCTTTGAACCCTCCAAAAATTAGTACTCTTCAATAATGCAGTACATCCATATAGTAAAAACCCCCATTTCATCAAAAACGACTCTGTCACTTCCCAGCTACTTGTTTGCCACGATGGGCCCCAGACAAGTAATCCTGGACTCGTGTTGCGGGTATCCCAAAACGCCATAAGATCGTGGCACAGATCTTCGTCGTCAATTTCATCCTGTAGCGTAATGAGATTGTCTCTCAATGTTGGAGATGGAAAAAAGTCCAACCAGGGATGATGAGGAACTCGCCTCTGGACTTCAGTCGGCCGTAGGTCGAGGGGAATACGGAGATCTGCAAAGCTTGGATTTTGGACATTGAAAATGGAGACTGCATCATCTTCCGCTGTCCATTGCATCGTCATTCCCATTGAATGAATATTGTCGATGATAGCACGTTGAACATTGATCTTAGGTAGTGAAAGGAGATGGTCAAGGTTTGGCGAACTTTCTCTATAGCTGTTGGACGCCGCAATCTCGAAATGGGCCATAAGCTGCAGCCTTTCAGGCGGGCCGATAGAGCACTTGAATCCACCCTGAAACTTTGAACTGGGAGATGAGGCTTGTTGTGTAGCCGTGTCCGTGATTTTCGTAGATTGATTAAGTTGACGTCGTAGACCTATCACGGTTAGTGATAAATTATCTCCCAATAACCTATGCAGAGGTGATGTGCTCCATACGGTATGCTCGCTGATTTAGCCTATTCTGCAGCCTCCTCCGTTCCCTTCGATCGACAACACCAGTCCAGTCATCTTTCTGGGTACGAACACCAGCCTGTTGCGGCATTTGTCCTAGCGGAATAAACCCCGAATCGGATGACATGGCTTGGGTGATGGGTTGAGAATTTCTGCAAGTTGATTACTCTAGGTAATCACTGTGAGATGCCGGTTTATGACCGGCAATCGGGGGACGTCAGCAGCTTATAAAATTCTAAGGAAGGCTGAGTTTTGGGTGGAATGGTTGCCAAGTCAAGCTTTGATTGGCTACCGGGCATGAACCCTTGGATTCATTTTTACGCTAATGCAAGTTGCTTACACAGACTAACCGAATAAGGCAAAGCATTTTTAAGGTTCATCAAAAATCCAGCCAATGAACATGTATCTGGACATAGCATCAACGTAGATGATTTTCTTCAAGGTCCGTGTGGGATTACTTTAACCCCGATAGTAGTCGTTCTATTCTGAGGCGAAGCATAATCATAGTTTCTGCAAGTGGCCTATATCTCTATTGAATTTTTCATTGTACTCTTGCGGGTCCAACCGTGATTCCAGCCATGTCGCGTTTGCGGGTTTGTCCGTTTTGTGGCGATAATGCCTGTTACATCTTGATGTATACTGGAATAGAGAACCATTACAAAATTCAAGAGCAGGTTCATAATCCTACCAATGTATCGACAATGAATGGGTTTGGACTCGGATCCTTTGACATACAACGAATATAGTTTAAAAATACCCTTGAAATGTGGAGGTCACCTAGTGCGTGCCATAGCACTGGCACGACAGATTACTGGTGCCTGATTTTCCTGCGACGATCTCGATGATGTTACAACAACAGCTTGATTATAACAACCCAAGCCCAGACTTTGCGGCCAAGGACCTTGGCAACGCGTGTCCCTGGTATGTCTGGCAACGATGCAATCTATCTCCGATCTCCGGCGTCAACTTCAAAGGCGATTTATATCGAAACAAGTGACGTAAAAGTTGGCAGTGCAAAGATACGTTACCCACTCACTAACTATAAGATCAGCGATATGGCGCCTGGTATAGAAGTATATCATTATCAAAGTCTTATATCTATCTCTGCTTCCAACAATTTTAAGCATCTGGCAGCAGCATCATGAAGATGTTTGGACGCAACATCCCCGCGCTCGCTATTTTGAGCATTGTCAATTTTATGCCGGCAAAAGCACAGAATATGTCATACGGTGCCGACAACTTCTATCGCAGTGACAACGTCACGCTTCAACCCATCACTTTCCTAAGCCAATACCAGACAACTGTCGCGGGCAACCTCTTCATCCCGAAGAATCTCAATGGTAGCGCCGCTTTACCAGCCATCGTTGTCGGCCACCCTATGGGCGCAGTGAAGGAGCAGAGTGCAAACCTCTACGCCACCAAGTTGGCCGAGCAGGGATTTGTCACGCTTTCACTTGATGTGCCGTTCTGGGGCGGCAGTGAGGGTGAACCACGCAATGGAGTGGCACCGGACCTCTACGCGGAGGCCTTTAGTGCGGCAGTGGACTATCTCGGCTCACAGAACTCTACGAATGTCGATCGTGAACGAATCGGTGGCCTAGGCATCTGTGGCAGTGGCTCTTTCGTCATCAGCGCTGCGAAGATTGACCCGCGCCTAAAGGCGATAGCGACTTCAAGCATGTACAATATGGGTGCTGTTGCCCGCCATGGACTGCGTCATTCTCAGAGCCTTGATCAGCGTAAAGAGGTCATCACCTCGGCTGCACATCAGCGCTGGACTGAGGTGGATGGCGGTGAGGTTCAGTACACAGGCGGAACCCCGAGTAGTCTTACGGCGAACTCGACCGCAGTCGATCGTGAGTTCTACGATTACTATCGCACCTCACGAGGTGAGTTCACGCCTGCGGGCTCGACACCGCTGCTTACGACGCACCCGACGCTCTCGAGTAACACAAAATTCATGAACTTCTACCCTTTCAACGATATCGATACAATCTCGCCACGTCCGATGCTGTTCATCTCAGGCACAATGGCACACTCACGCGAGTTCAGCGAGGATGCTTATTCACGCGCGGCAGAGCCAAAAGAGCTGTTTTGGGTGCCGGGTGCTGGCCATGTCGACCTTTACGATCGTGTGGATCTTATCCCATTCGGCAAACTCACTCAATTCTTCCAAACTAATCTTGCATAAAGGGTGGCTATGTGCAAGTGTGGACTGAGGTGAAGGTCCCTGGAATTGATGGGAGGAACATAAGTGTTCAAAATCTTGTGAGCTCCGATAGATTAGTTGATGGTACGGTGTGCAAACCATAGTCCATGAGGTTTTCAATCTGTGGGTTCTCAGTTTGCTGAACAGTGGTAGTGGAAGTCAGTGTTACGCACATAGAGACGGGGTACTTATAGATTTCACTCGATGTCCTTCTCTGTTCGTCAAATCAACGGCTTATTTATTTCGAAGTAGAGTGTAACTAGAGATAAATCAAGTATATAGATGGTCTTATGACGTGCCGTCCATCCTACAACCGGGGCTACCAGGCTCATCAGTTATATCCCGGGAGAAGCGGCCGTATTTCACTGAAGATAAGAGGCTCAACTAGAGAACTCAATCTGAGATCAATCAAAAGTTGCTTCGACAATACTTCAAGCTTCAACAAGACCTCGTATTATTGTTTTAGTCTACAGTAATGACCACGGAGCTTTTACTAATGCTATAGCCGGCAGTCACAGTAATTGAAACTAGACAGAAAAGCATAACACTTGACCGACGCCTCAGAATATTCGAATTCAATGTAGGGTTTTCTCTCTTGCTGTCTGAGAAGCCAGGCATATACTTGATGTTTAGCGCCAAGGCACCCGACTGATAGCTTATGTGCTTTCATTTATGTGAATTTGCAGCCCTAGTTTACTATTGATTGAGTATGCAATAGAAGTAACCAGAAGTTGAACGTAAGGACATAGAGGTGAAACAGACAGGGAGATGACTGGAAAGATGAACAGAAGTTCAGAATGATGAGCGTGGCAGGGCGGGTGAGTCCCGCGGGCATGTTAGCGCATACGAGTGACATTGGTCGGTTTTTGGCAAAATTTCAAACCAGTATAGGTTCCGCTTTCGATTTCACAGTGAGTGAGGCAGACAAGGGAGGAAAGGAGCGGACCTCACGTGTATATAAAGCTCATGTACTTCTGCCAGTCTACACCGCCTTCTGAGTGTCGATGTCTATCAACACAAGCACTAGGACTGACGCCAGCAGCTTCACAACATCCTTCCAAGATGCCTCCCAAAGCCGCCAAGGGCGAGTACATTGAGACGGTACATCCTACCCCTGCAAAGCAATTCCAAGCCCCAGCGCCCTCTCCGGAAGGCCCCAATGTTCATAACAAACCAAACTAACACACAACTAACACACACAACAGGACACGGGCAACAAGATCTCGCGCCGCTCCCAAATCCACGGCACCCAACACATCATCCTCGGCGGTAAAACCGTCATCCAAGCCGAAGCTGTAATCCGAGGCGATCTCTACCGTCTCCCTTCAACCGCCGCCTCCACAGACCCCAGCAATCCCCCTCCACAATCCAACGCCCCCAGCGTCGCAATCACCGTTGGCCGGTATAGTTACATCTCGAAGAGCGCGATCTTGCGCCCGCCCAGTCGGTTGCACCGTGGTGTACACTCGTTCTACCCATTGAAGATTGGCGACCATGTCTTTGTCGGCGAGTCTGCTGTGATTGAGGCCGCGTCGCTGGGGAACCATGTCCATGTTGGTGCCGGAGCGACGGTAGGCAGTATGGCTATTATTAAGGATTTTGCAGTTGTGCTGGATGGTGCGGTTGTTCCACCTGGTATGGTGGTGCCGAGTTGGTGTGTTGTTGGGGGACGACCAGCGAGGATTGTGGGTGAAGTGGGTGAGGGGTATGGTGTTGAAGGGGCTGAGGGTGGTATGGCCAGGGAGAGATATCGTGTCGTTGGGAGACCTTAAGATGGTTTGGTTTGTTTGGGGATGTGGTTGGTGCTGCTTTTGAGTCTTAACATATGATACCCCCTTGTCGTTTTTTGGTCAATGCATTGTCGATTTCTTCTATTATGCTCTTTCGAGTAAGGCTTTCATCTACAGAATGTCATTCCAAATTGACATGCGTTCGTTAAGTGGATAGGATATGGCCCTAAATTCATGGTTTGTTTTGCCGCATGAGAACCATGAGAATCAAACCCTATACGTTGCTACGGATCTTCCATTTCAACCGCTCGAGTCAGGCGAGGCATTTCAGGAGTAACAGAGACACCGCACTCCTCAAAAGCCAGGTTGTTAATCCATTGTCCCCTGGGCCTCACAGACTCTCCTTTGGACAGCTTTGAAGCAAGATAAAGCCAGCTCAAGGTATTACCCACCGTGCTCACCTCATCACAAACATTACTGAGCGCATACTCCGACATTCGGTGGTACAGTGCCTCATCTGTCCAAAGATCAAACAGATGCTGCGCGACAGCGTCGGTATCTCCAACATCCACCAGAAATCCGTTCTTGGTATGCTCAACCTGGAGTGGGATGCCACCAGCGCGTGTGGCAATCACGGGTACACCCTTATGAATCGCCTCGGAAACTTTGACCTCGAATCCTTCTCGAGTTGATAGTTGCAAAACAATCGTGGCTTTTGAAAGCAAGGCATTCAAAACCTGATCTGAGGATCTCAAGCGTATAGCGCAGATTAGGTGGCGAATGTGAGGAATCCGGTGTTCGATGTGATCAACCACTTGATCGTAGATGATCGCGCCGTCAGGGTCATCCACTGAGCCATGTCCGCATATCAGGAGCTTTGGGAGTCTCAATTCGGGTCGTTCGCGAGTTAACCGATTGTGGAACTTCTCATATGCGTCCAACACATCGAAAATGCCTTTAGACGGGTCAAAGCGTGCAATCTGCACGATATATTGATCTGGTTGCTGCATGTTGGCACGTTATCTCATGCAAGCTAATCAACGGGCTCTTACCATCTGGATGTTGGATGGTCGGCATCTCTGCATTCTTACAGGCTGCATTAAAGATCCGGCCATAGTGGGCTACATCCCAGTCTCGCATGTTTTTGTTCAACCCATCCAGCCTGTGACACGTCAGCGAGATAAGGCTCGCATATATTCCTATGAAATTGGACTTACCAATCGGTCGCTGCAGGCATATAACCAACAATGTCAGGTGGCACATCGCGAGGCACAAATGCACTCACGGGATGGGTAATGAAACAATCGGCACACTTGGCGTTATTCCACAGGTATTTCCACGCCTCTGCTTGGGGTGTCCCAGGTTGGTCGACAAGATCGCTTCGGATCTGGATATGGCTTCGAAATATGATCGGTCGTCTCGGGGCTAGGCGTTTAGCAACCGGTATGAGACCTGGCATCTGAGGATCGTCTACAATCAACACGTCCGCTCCTCCTTCTGCCGGTGAGCTTAAGGGACCTCCCGGTACAGTCCAGTATCGCTTAGCGTTTTCCTCGATCCAGGCAGATAGCAGCTTCCTGTCATCGGCACTGAGACGCTCGTCTGGTCCTGTGATGCCTTGGAGGATGTTGTGTTTGTGTTTTGTCACTCGAAAGACACCTGGCCGTGGCCGAGGGACATACCTAGTAATAGGCTGTCAACTAATATTCATTGCTTATTGCCAGCACTCATAGCCGTTTATTTGCATACCATTTGATGTCCGTACCTAAAGAGTGTGAAAAGCGTACGAGGGCATGCCTCATCAAAGCCACACCTCCACCCTGTGGCGTGGAACTGAAGAAAGCAATCTTCACGTTCCGCTTCTTCAGATCGGCAGCATAGAAGTTGCAAACCTCCCACGTTTTCGCGGAAACGGTCTTTTTCCAATCATCGAGATTCGTCAAGCACACGTGGAAGTCGGTATCAACCTCCACAAGGCCCATGAAGCCCACTTGCAGCAGAGGGGAGTTCTCCGGTCCAAAAAGCCTGCAGAAGACGTATAATTTCAGCCTTTGTTCTCCACATCTCTGCCGATCCCAACTAACCTAACACATTTTCGGGCCATTGATTCAGCCTGTTCGTCAGTCGTCTTGGATTCCCAAGATCGCGGCTGCGCTTGCGCACGCGAAGAAGCAAATCGACCTAGCAAACTCAATCCTGGCAGTACCAAGGGGATGATATCGAGGTCAGCCCATAAGCTGGAGCAGAGACTCGGACATGATGCTGCAACATGCCTGTGCATTGCAACGCCGACGATCTTCTCGAGATGCTTCTCCCCGTATGCCTTGAGTTGGGTGATGATAAATTCGACGGCCTCGTCGGGACATGGCTGGTGGTCATTTGTTTGACACTTCTTCTCTATAAAGTCAAGAAGGTATGTTGCATCTCGGATGGCGATGGCGATTGTCGAGCCAAGCTCTTTGGAGAAGGAAATCGTGATCCCTGCATAGATAGACTGTTCTTATTAGTGTCCGCTAGAAAATATCATCCCTCCAATTATCGCTGCGCGTACATCTGATGGCGGTCCTGACCAGGCATGGCGATGATATTGGTGTGCTAGCCGCCGATGTAAAGTCGCGGACGGACGACGATCGAACCTTGAAGCATCTGTAACCATGATGTGGCTATATCAAAGGGCGTGTGAAATAGAGATTTGGTGATAGTCCCAGCGATTGAGGACTCCCAAGATCCTCCCATACTTGGACTGATTTCACCTCCATGACGTAGAAGCCTTCTCACCAATCCATGGGTTCGGGGGAATATCCGTCAACAATCATCAATCTGGACACAAGTGACCCTATCAGCTGAACATCTCCATTATCTACATCTGGCATTTCATTTCCCACACGAGCTCTCCACTTCACGGACAACCAAGCAAATCAGATTGCAGTGGACCCTTTGCGCGTATGAAACGCCGACCTCTGGGGGTGGCTGACTCAGCCGTGCCCCTTTTCCCCCGCCTCAAATTGCAAACTTCCAAGTCGCTGTTTTCTCCAATTTCCCACCTTTTTACGCGGTCAAGTGTAACAAGTGTCCAAGCGGTTAACCGACCCCTTTCACGAATTTCCCTCGAGGTTGCCGCGTCGTCGCTCCTCGTCCCCTTTTCGCCCTCCAATTCCAACCTCAACGCGCCAAGATGGGTGGCTCGGTATCTAAGATGATGGGGAAGATCTTCGGCACGAAGGAGATGCGTATTCTTATGCTGGGTTTGGATGCTGCAGGAAAGACCAGTATGATTCCCATGGTTGTTTGCGTATTATTGGGACTGAAGCTAATCGTCGCTAGCTATTCTTTACAAATTGAAACTCAGCAACCAGGACGTGACCACGATCCCCACCGTCGGATTCAACGTCGAGAGCGTGACCTATAAGAACGTCAAGTTCAATGTGTGGGATGTCGGCGGTCAGGACAAGATTCGCCCTCTCTGGAGACACTACTACTCCGGTACACAAGGTCTTATCTTCGTTGTGGACTCGAGTGATACCGCCCGCCTCGAGGAGGCTCGCTCGGAGCTGCACAAGATTATCAACGATCGCGAAATGAAGGACGCGTTGCTTCTGGTCTTTGCCAACAAGCAGGATATCCCTGGTCGTATGTCTCTCTCTACTGCCCCTGGCCGAACTCCAGTGTTTGGCCAACCCTCCTTGCCCCTGACTAACCCAATTGCGTCGCAGACTTGAGCCCCGAGGAAATTACCCAACAACTCCAATTGACCAAGCTGAAGGACAAGCTGTGGTATGTTGCGCCCAGTGTCGCAACAGACGGCACCGGTATTTTCGAGGGTCTGGTAAGTTTCCACACCTCTTCACTACGATTTCCCTGCTTTATCGGACCAAAACAATGACTGACCCGCTTGTCTCCACTTCCCAGGCATGGCTCTCGAACAACGTCAAGACCCAGCCTTCAAAATAAAACATTGACCCGCTGTGATCTCGAGAGGCGCCCAGCCAGCCTCGTGTACAACACCTCGCACCCGACAAGTATTTTCTCTTTTCGATTCATGTCCGTGTTTGATGACAAGACGACGCAGCATTTGGGCTTTGTTTTCTTCTGTTTTCCCTTGAGTCTTTCCATTTGTGTGCGGCCTCATCTCTTTTTTTTCACCCATCCCCCTTCCCCTGTGGTTCTTATCTTCTCTTCTGTGATATCCCCTCTGTTCTTTACCCGGACTCGCTCCGAGTCCCAATTTAATTATTTAATCCTCTTGATTAGTGGTTCATATCATCACAGCGTTTTGGCATTGTTCGATTCCCTCATTTTTGTGGATTCCCAAAGTGTTATAGAGTTGATCGACTTCATCGAGATACGAAGAAAAGGCAAAACCTCCTACCAAACTATCACAAAGAATCAATTTATGAACAAATGACATATATCTGATCAATGGTCAAACTGAATGGTGTTATGTTGTACGTACCCATGGTTAGATACACGGAACCGATATCCGAGGTGGAGGGGGGGGATTCCAATGCCGTGGATTGGAACTCGTTCCGCCGATTGGGTTCTTCATGGTTACGTGAGATTCGGATATCGGTTTCAGCATTCTATAGTCCTTGCGTGGTGATTCTAGAAGCTCGCGCGTTGGCTCTTGTCATTGCCACCAAGTTAGAATCGGACTATTCATACGATCTCCTCTCTCAAGCTATTCCACTCATGTCAATCTGACGCCAGATCATCCTCATGTTCGCTATCAATTCCATTTCTCTTTGTCACCGATAAGCATAAATAGAGACCGTAAACCCCCTGAGGGTCCTGTCATCATCGTTCGCAAGTCAATTCGCTTCATTGTTTCATCTATCTCAGTAACCAAGTCCAAGTCAACCTACAATCCCACACTCTACTACTACACTCCCGTTACAATGCCCGCCTTTCGCACAGGACAGCGAGTCAATTACAAGCCCGTCGGCGGTAAGCATATCTCGAGGAAGTTCCGGCTGATACCACTTGGATGTGTACGTATCTAACTCGCTTGTCCCTTGTATAGGAAGAGAATCCCACACCAGCGAGAGTGTGGGTACAATCCGAGATGTGAGTACCTCCAATACGACCATGACAGGTCGACAGGTTGAGGCTACGCCCCAAGAGCCCCGTTATGAGGTATGTCTTTTCCCAGCAGGAGGACTTCTCTCTTCGGAAGGTTGTTGATAATGGCTGCTAATGAGATGGTAGATTGAGAATGAGCGGACTCAGAAGAGATCGGCCGTGAAGGAATCGAATATCTTGGGTCCGGCAGAGTAAGAGATAGATAGCTCTTAAGATTGATGTGTTCTATTTTGTCCATGAGAATGTGATTTATTTGGAACTGCATAAGTTCGGTATTCAAGTGTAGATGGCAGGTTGGTTTCACGAAGCTGGAGGGTGGAAGTGCCATCGGGGACCTTGTAGGATAGATAAAGGACCCCCTCGTACTTTAGAATTAAGCGGGGACGCTAAGGACCTTGTGTTCTATCTGTTTGTTTTAACTGCTTACCGCCTCGCTCTTTACACACAACCTATTACACCTGTAAGTGATGAGCAGGATTCATCTTGAATGCAAATTCGATATTTTATTGGATATGTCCAAGCATCATATTTTCAGATCGGCAAGAATCATGACAATTCATCCGATGCAAACCCCACCAACGCTGTACACAAAAAGAAGACACAAAAATTCCAGACCACGTGGCATTTGTTGAAAAACCACCCGAAGAATGGCGCCTCACGGCAAAAGACAAAATATACAAAGGGGTATTCGTTGAAGTTCGTTCCTTATTTCCTTTCCCAGTTCCCACATTCAAGCCGGGACCAATCCCAGCAGAGACACGCTTACCATCACATTCACATTCAAGGCTGGTTAGGCCAGATATCATCAGCAATCTCACGCACAAGCTTAAGCTTGTTGATCATGCCATCCCAATCAATAGCATTGCCCTCACGGTGAGAAGCGAAACCACACTGCGGGCTAACGCCGACCTGGTTAAGGGCCTCCTCGAGGGAAATGTTGTTACCCTCAGCAATGAACTTGGCGGCGTCGATAACGCGCTTCTTCATCTCCTCCTTGTTCTCCATGGTGGCGAACTTGCTAGTCACGACGCCGAGAATAACGTTCTTGTGGCGGGGCAGGTGCTTGAGGGGCTCGAAGCCACCGGCGCGCTCGGTGTCGTACTCCAGGTAGTAGGTGTGCACGTTGAGTTCTTGGAACAGCTTGATGGCGATGCGGTCGTATCCACCCTCGGAGAAGTGGCGGCTGCCGACGAAGTTGCCGCGGCACAGGTGAACACCAACGTGCATGTCCTCGGGCAGACCGATGAAGCAGTCGTTGTACTGCTTGATGTACTTCTGGAACATGTCGTCGGCGGTGTACACGTTGAGAGAGTCCTCCTTGAAGCCGCTCAGGAACTTCTCAGAGCAGAAGTCTAGTGGATGGGTATGTTAGTGTCGGGTTATCTTAGAGCTAATTGAAGCAAAAAGGGAACGAGCTTACAAGCCAGGTTGGGGTCGTCAAACTGCACGTTGCGGCAGCCAGCATCATACAGAATCTTCAGCTCGGCCTGGTAGGCCTTGGCAATGTCGCCAAAGTAATCCTCATCGTTGGCATAAACATCCTTAGGGTAAGCCTTGCCCTCACGGTAACGCAGGTGGTACCAGTTGGGAGCAGCCAGGGTGATCTTCAGGTTCTTGACCTCGTCCTTGGGCACCAGGCCGGCCAGGTACTTGAATTGGTCGACATAGGTGCTACCAACGTGCTTGATCTTACCGGTGCACAGCACCGTCTCACCGGGCTTGTGGCCGGCCTCCAAGAAAGCGGCGATGTCTGGGGCATAAGGACGGAAGATGTCGGTCTCGAACTCGGTGACCTCCTCGAAGCCGTCCAGACCGGGGAAGAAAGTACCCCAGAACACTATGCCATTTGTTAACTCCTGTCTTATCGATCAATTTGGGGAGTGGCCTTGGCGAACTTACTGTGGCGGCGGTACTCGCCGTCGGAAGCACCACGGTAACCAAGCTTCAGCTGGGTGGCGAGAATGTCCTTAATCTCCTTATCTTCCACAGCAGCAAGCTCGGCCTCGGAGATCTGGCCCTTCTCGGAGGCAATCTTCTTCTCCAGAAGGTCCTGAGGACGGAGCAGCGAGCCCAAGTGCTCGGCACGGAAGGGGGGTCGCTGGTGCAATTGGGGGGCCATTGTGAATATGCTGCTCGTATCACACACTGGTTAGTTCGCAGCCTTGAAACGTCCTCTCGCAATGATAATCGGCTTCTCACTTACTGTACAGGAGTTCCTAGGTCTAGACTTAGGGAGAAGAGAAGGGAGAAAGGAGAAATCAGGGCTGCGCAAAAGGAGGGGCACGGAACCCAGCTTCATGGCCAGAGACAACATTTGCCGTGGTGCTTCGCATCCAGCGATCCGGCCCCACTGGCTGGCTGAATGATGGGCATCTCCACACTATTTTTTTCTGTTCGCCCACCGAAGTCGGCCTACATTAATCTGTTAATGTTTCGAGTCTGTGGTCATACTTGAACAGTCCATTGATATACACTTCGACTACAATTGAGATTGATATCCATTGTAGTCTGTACATCAAGGCTATGTACGATTACTCGTGCTCACTGATACTGACGTCAAGCTTCCCGCAGGACGAAGTAAATGTACTTCAGATGTACTGTTAACTTGGGCAGGTTTTGACCATGCAGAGTACTGTTGGGCAAAAAGTTGATCGATTCTGTTTCTCGGAGGCTCATCGGCGTACTAGATTATTTCCAATTAACATTCTTATATTATCTTGTCTTTACATATTATAGTTTTTATCTGGTTGATCATTTTGTATGGGGGAATTCCGGGGCCCCCCAGCCTTGGCAGACGACTCTTCTTTACTTCTTCTTTCTTACCCCAGCATATTCCCCATGATAGACCATTTCTCTCTTCTCAATTCACTCCATCATAACCAGATATTTGTTAATCAATCCTATACAGATATTGAAAATTTTCAAGATTCCTTTCAGGGGCTGAGTCAATCCTGACAAAGGACCAACAGACCAACAAGAGCCACCGTCAAGAACCAAGTGGAGGATGCAACGTCTGGTTTAGTGGGGCGCCGGCACTTTACCTCCTCGCCGTCTACCGAAACACACTCCTCGAGGCTCAACCACACCCCCGCGATTCGTGTTGTTTCATCCAACAGGCTAATATCCAGGATCGGTACTTGTACCAGTACTGGTTACGGTAGTCCATTCACTGACCCGGAAACGGTCAAAGCGCCATGACAAGTTGAAGCATGAGCCACTACAGTGGAGCTCCCACATCATGTCGTCTGCGCTGGAACGCCTCCCCAATGAGCTGCTGGATCAGATCATCTCCTACCTGGATATAGAGCCTCCCTCACGGACTGGAATCTATCAAGAACCTGATCAAAACATCACTTCCTCCCAAAACAAATGTCTCAAACATTTGTCCCAGTCATGCGCCCGTCTCGCCAATCTGGTGCGGCCAATTCTCTTCGCCCATGCCCGTATGGTGTTACCAGACGAGCCCGCGCAGTTCTGCTGGTTCACGCATAAATGGGACCTGGCTCGAGACATCAAGTCCATGACCATACTCGTCACGGATGAAAATATTCCACGAGACGTTCTCTGCGGGTGGATAAATTACCTTCTCGGCTCCATCGATCCTCTCTGGCTTACCATCCTCGCGCCACCAAAGTTCATTGGCGAGGCGCTGGAGGATATGATCGACGAGCGTCATGGCTGGGCATTCGGTATAGAATATCAGATCCTACAGCTTGAACAAAACAACTACGGCAACGTCGCCGCCCATCAACCAGATCCGTCCAAGAATAATATATTCCGCACCCGCCCATGGACATCATTGTTCTTCAACGAGGGATCCTCCCTCAAAGCCTACAATCACTACGAGTACTTCCTCTCCCAGGTCCCCTCGGTGCTGGGCCAATGGGGACAGGAATTCACCTCGATGACCCACTCGCCTAAATACAAGCAGTTCTTCCAGGGACTAGAATCCCTGACCTACACAGCAATCTTTCCATTCTACAACCATGTGGAACTCGTTTGCATCGCAATGCAGCTCTTACCACGGCTCCGCGTCTTGACTGTCCAATTAGCCCCGGATGAAAATAATCACGCCACTGAGCTTGAACAGCGCGGTTCGATGGACCCGAATGATCCGTGGATGGAATTGGAATCTTCTTATTCGGTGATTGGTTTTAAAATTCGTACTCAGAGTTCTGTGGAGGAATTCCGCACTCGTGACTTGCATATTGAAGCTGTACGGCCGCATCTCACGAGGAGTTTGACAGAAGAGTTGCATGGATGGGCGCATGATGGTCAGGGTGTTTGGACACGACCTCCAAGTGAAAAGACTTCTTAGATTGAGTACATACATATACGATCATTATGGAGGTTGGATAAGCTCTGGGCTCGATTATAGGAAATGTCCAGAGGATGGACAGGCCAATATTCCGAGAAACAATCACAGGCAAAAAACCGAGGTTTTATATATAGCAACCCATTGCAAGATCCATTTAATCTCAGCAGTACTCTTGCACATATCGGAGCAGAAACATTATAGTGATGGATATACAAGTGACTCCGGCGATCGAGCCGTTGACCATCCTCGGGAAGCCGAGACCGCACAAAGCGGTGGATCACCTCTCCAACTCTTACGCCCCGACCCCACTCCTTCATCACGCCTTCGTCTGACTGGTTGATCAGCAATTGCCGATTTCTGAGGACAAAATTACGTCTGTATACCTCCTCCAAGGAATCAAACAATGGCCTCTCCTATGAGAGTTTACTCCGCAGAGCCGGCTTATCCCGCCCTAGCCCATTCCCTCCTAGCCAAGCCCGAGTCCAACACAACAAATACGAGGGATTTCGTGGATGAAGTAGTCCAGAACCACGACTGGAATCTGAAAGATGACTGGGATACCGGCATTCAGGCGAAGAATTCAGGGATCTTCCGCTGCGGCACTGTCATCGGCTTCTCTAGACTAAGATTCCGAAGTAAGGACACCGATGAGTACATCGGGCAGGTAAGGGAACCGTATGATTGATGGTCTACCAAGCATGAACTAACCTATCCCAGATCCCGCGCCATCTTCTCACATCCCATCTTCTGAGAAATCTCCCATCATCCTCACCCAGCGCATTCATCATTTACCCAAGCAATTTTGACGCCCTAGCACCGCGGATCTTACTCAATGCGCTGCAATCCTCACCAGAACGACCAGGCCTATCAAGAACGGAAGCACTACGATACCTTGACACAGTACAGCTCCTTCCAGTCCAAAACTTCCCCAATGCCGCACAGGCCATCGGAAAAGTATCAGAATCACTCCAAGAGCTCCAAGAAAACCGACAAAACGTCCCCGCGGAACCTACTCAACCCGTCCTTCTGATCGTGGTTGGCCTCGACACTCTCGCCGAGGAAGTCATTCGAGCTTCGAACCCCGTTCGAGGAACGGCTTTGCTAGCAGCTACACTACGGAATCTGACACGTATGGCTCGGGCGTATACATCGTGGCTCTCTGTCATTCTGATAAACACCAGCGGACTTGGTCCTGCTCATTTTGAATCTCACTACCCGCCGGATTCAAATCATGTCAGGAATCACGGCGACGAAGATGCAAGACCACCCGGCGATGACGGGATTCATTCTATCTTTCAAACACCGGGCTCCAATTTGCTATTTACTCTCCTTATGAAAACCCTGGACCAGGGTATCGATACACATATCCTCCTCTCGGACGTGAAAGCTACACAAGTTGCGGAGGTTATTAAAGATCGAGTTGGCACTGGACTGGGGAAATGGGGAATATGGTCGTCCAAGAGGTGATCTTCTTTAAATTACGGCAGAGAGGCCTGTTCATCGGAGAATTCTCATATTCATTTACTACCGATGCAATATCGCGGCTACTCGTACACACAAAAGGTAAACAAGGTTCGATAACTATGCAACCAGATCCAGCCCTCGTAAAGCGCCTTTCACCGATGCAGCGTGATGCAATTCCAAACTCCGATCCACCAACCACTTCTCATCATGTAAAATGGGGGGTATCAAGCTTTCATTTCCGTCCGTATCCAAATCCAAATACACTCTGGGAGGCGTGGAAAACAATCAATGGTTCATGAACACACATTGAACCAAGCAATGCTGGAAACACCAGCACAGACCTCTTTCTTTCTAGGCAAGGGAAGGGACATTCTCCTTCTCTGCCCATTTTCTAAGCACAGCGCGCTCCGCAACAGAACGTGCCTCTTGCTCCAACTTCTTCAGGTCCTGCTCTGCCGCGTTCTCTTCAAAGACAATGTCCTGCTGCTGCACCTTCACCCACTGCTTGTGTCTCTCGCAGCGTTTCTTGATACAAATACCACGAGTAAGCAAAGCCATTACATCCTCTTTTTCACCACCGTCCATCGCGACGTCACCATCCGCGTCTGTAGTAGTAGGGTAGCTGGCTGCCATGGCATTGGGAGTGCCCTCCTCAAGAGCCCTCTCCCCAGCGTCAGAGATACGCCACTCGTCGAATTCCTCGTCAGCCCAGGCAAGACGCGAATCGAAACCACAGATATCTTTCCATCCACCCTTCGGCTCATTCTGCTTGAGCTTTTCCACGACGGCTTTGGATCGCTGGCGCACGAGTCCGACAAAGGTTGAACGAGCGGCGAGCATTTCCTTTCGGCGAAGGAGGTCATCGCGGCGCTGCCGGAGCTTCTCAATCTTCGCCGCCTCGTCGGCGGAATATTCCACGCCACTAGCATGAACATCAAACAGCTTATCAGTGTCCGGTGTTTTGGTCTCATTCTTGACGTCAGGAGCCAGGCTGCTGCGGACGCTTTCAGGGGGTGTAGAAATAATCTGGTTGCCGAGTTTGCGGAACTCTTCCACCGAGCTTACTCTCATGATCGCAGCTTTGAGATCTCCCAGGGTAAGGATACCGCCCATGCTGCCCAGGTCTTCTTGACCCTTTCGAGCAGGTCCTGGCTTGGATTTGCGGATTTGGCGAAGCATGAATTCGCGGCCGTGCTCGTCGGAGCAATATTTGCTTTGGTTCTTGCTGGTAACGCGAGCCGGTTTGCGGCAGTCGGGGAGGCGGCACATTGGTTTCCATGTTGTGAAGCCGTTGTCGCGCTTACTGCAGTTCGGACCTGGAGGGGTTGTGGTTAGACGAATGAAGATGTGGCCCTACAGATAGAAATACTCACATATGTACTTATCGATCAAGTCCGCATCTCGTGGATCGATATTAACACACTTGCCATGGAACCAGTCTCCGCATTCCCCATCGCACCCAATCATCCATGTGTGATTGTCAGGTCGACGGCAAATACAAAAGAGTTCGTTTTCATCTTCGACGTCCTCGTCCTCATCATCACCCGGTTGCTCCTTGCCACGACGCTTCGTGTCATCAGGTGCTGGAGATCCGGCAATAGATACAGAGTCCTGTTTTTTCCCGGGGCCCTTGCTGGCGCGAGAAGCTGGAGTATTTGATCGGTGCCCATCCATGCTGTCGGCATCTGCGTCGTTCATCTTGCGCTTCTTTGGAGCTGGCTTCTTCGCAGTACCCTTTTTCGTAGCAGCCGACGCTCCTTTCTTGGTTGAGGTCGGCTTCACTGAGGTCGCGGGAGATGACCGGTCAGTGGAAGAAGCCCGAGAGGTGAGACCTGTCTTCAGACCCGCGAGCTTTTTTGATGTCAGATAGTCTCCGGCCCCGTCCAGACCCACTTTGGTATCCAAATCGGGCTCTGTTTTCACAAACGGAGTGGTATTATCACGGACGGGGACGAGACGAGGAAGTTTGCTCATATCGTAAGCATCGTCGTAAAGATCAATCCATGTCATACCCGCATTCTTCTTATTCTCGCGAGCTTCCGAGTTCCTGAACTGTCGGTGCACCTTCTTGGCCCGGTCGAGGCCAAAGTACCCGCTATGTCGCCACCCAGCAATGCCCACAATGCGACCATCTTTCACAATGATATTGGCCGGTACGAGATCGTTGTGCGTGAGGCTAAACTCTTCCTCCGAAGCCGGTGCTGCAAGAAGGATATCCCGTTCTTGGTCGTGTGTAGAGGGCGGCGTTTGCGAATTGAGTCCGCGGCACACGTATGAAGGTTCTTCGGGGGCATGATCGATGGTGGTGAGGTGCTGCACGATCTGACGACATTGATTCTTCAAGATCCCAATCTGCTCCGGACTGAGATATCGCCATGCAACATCTAATGCAACACCGGGAATTCGAGACTCGACCGTCACATTCCTGCCTTCAATGGTCCCGCAAAAGTGTATCACCGGCACTGCAACCCCAATCTCCTTCAACGACTCCTCGACTTTCCGCGCTGCGGACAATTCATTTGCGTTCGCACACGAGTATCGCTCGGCAGCTGCGCCCTCGGCAGACTCGCGGTCGACCCGGAGGATTACACTGCCTGCAGCGAATGCCTCCCTCGACCCTGGTACATTCAACGAGTTCTCTTGGGTGCAAAACTTTCGTGCAACTTTCTGCCAAAAGGTGTTTGCTTCGGGGTCAGACTGGTACCAGCGCTTGTCGGGAGGATTGAAGTCGTCGGGGTGCGGAGTGTATCGGCCATATTGCGCACTCTGCGCGAGGAAAGGGTCGTCTCGCGGGATTCGGTTTGGATTGGTTTCATAGGGATTGCCCATTGTTCCTTTTGTATCGGCGGTCCCGTTCGTGTGGTTTGCACCTGTTGGCCCCTCCATCCTTGCTATCATAGCCAAGGTCGGGTAAGGACAAAGGGAACGGGTCTTTTGATGTACCTCAAAGCACTGGTGTGGTGCACCCTTTCAGTCTTCAAGCTTCCAGCGTGCGAACAGGTTCAGAATGTGTCTGTGACAAAGGGCGCGCGGCGGAGACCTAGATACAGAGAAGTCCGATGGCGGGGGTTGGAGGCATCATGGGACGTGCATGAACTCTTCAGGTATTCCACGCTCGAGTTCAAGGGTGTCTCGAGCTACCGGCACTCATGCGACAAGGAATATGCAGGCGAAATGGTGCTTCGAGCCGTCAGTGTCGAAACCGGGGGGAATTCTGACGGGTTTCGCGCGATGTCTCCACCTGTGGCCCGGAGAAGCACCACTCCTTCAATTCACGGATTGGGGGATCGTTGGTGTCGATAGGAGATTGGAGAAAGTTGGAAAAGGCAACTTCGATCATAAGAACGACCAGTCCAGCGCGCTGTCTTGTCACGGAGAGTCCCTTGATCTCCGGGGCTCAATTCGGAGGCGCGGAGTTTGAACAGAAACTGAAGGCGGTGAAATCTTCCACACGCGACACCTCCCGACAGTCGCGACTACCTAAGATGGGACTGACGTACAATCAACTGTTGGTTGTTGCATCATCAATTGGCCACAATTGGCAATCCTGAGTTGTCGAGCACTCGGCTTCAGGGGTCGGAGACCTCCAGGCTGAGAACACCCTTCTGTGGAGCCATGATCTTACCAATTGACACCCAGACTGACTCTAGCCTTCATCGAACACAAAGTCGAGTTGACCAGGCGCCCTTTCCTCACAGGCATGCGATCACGATACGCTCTGATACCATTGATCATTAACTTGACACTCTGATTCTACATCGACACCATTTCCTCGGTCGATCACAGATGACAGAGATCTGATATGACACCGGCGCCCTATCCTACGGTGATTCGACAACCAGCGAGTTTCGGTAGCCAATATCCATTTCCGGGCAGAACAATCGTGGCACATATTGTTCAGAAACACATGAGCAAATGGCGAAGCAAGTGCTTAATCCATATACGCTGGAGGCTCTGCAGGAGACTATTGCTATGCTTGCTCTGCTGATGGTTCATGAATCATGAATAATAATCCTGGCTTTTCATGGGGTAGTCAATGCCAACTAGGCCGAGATGTCACCAAGGTCATGTTCGCCTGAAGCAGCACATGCGAAATCTTGGCTTGGATGGAAGCCTTGAGCATACCGGAGGCAACGAACTTCAAAAGAATATGAAACAGGGCTACAGCGTATGCCACACGGACGTTTTGCCCTGCATCTGCGTCTGCACGAGTTTGGGGGCCATTCGACGATCGAGGGTACTCGGGCGTGGCATCTAACTGCAGGTTAATGCTATAAGATTCACCTTATCGTTAACGATCATCATTGACAGTAGTCACCTTGTTCCACTTATTGTACTGTGAACTTCATTCACCGTTGGGACTTAATCATGCCCCGACGCTGTACCTGTTCATCCAATCTACGTTCTAGGTACTGGGCGATGATGTACTGGGAGAATGAGCTTCTGATGTCACGGTGGGATAGTGAGGTGTGCATAAGCAATAATAATGCAAATACGAGAACGAAGGATAAATTAATTACTGTGACTGCATGTCTCACACATAGCAAACACTAGTTTGCGCTGTTATGTAGATGAGCATTGTCAACATGGCACGTCCCCGTTCTATACAATGCACTTGTGCATATTGGGCTAAGAAGCGCGAGATACTTTCCCCAGTGTCGGCTTCTCCGGCAAATACTGTAGATGAAAGGAGGCGGACTCGGGAAATAGAAATCTGACGTCGAAGTGCATTGTAACAAAGGGCCTGGGCTTAGATAGTCTCAGCCCCGGAGGGATCATCCAAGACCATACTTAAGATGGTATGTCGCTGTGGAGACGCAGCGACAGATGTGGTAGGGTGGAGGAATGGCGGGGGATTTGGCAACGGGAGAATCGGATGGAGATCTTCATCACAGTAGGAACGCTAAGGGATTTAGGGTCACTTTAGTGCATGAGAACAGAGTTTGACCTGAGATGAGGCAACAAAACATTATTGGGGACTTGTCTATGCTCTTGTTGGAAGGCGATCATCATGCTGCTTTGCAATAATCATGGCATTCGAAGTGCTTTACTGGCTAAATCACAAGAATCCCCATTTATACAGCAGGAAAGTACATGATCAGTAGAATCCCATAAGTTTGAACCACCGAACGAAATACAGGATCATGCCACTGATCATATCTGGAAAATGAATCGAGAGACGTTGCCTCAGTCCACTAGGAAGATAATTTGACGGACAGGATGCTAAAGCGTATGTATCTAGACCATTTCTCCGATCTCTTAAATGAGAATTCTGAACCATGACGATATTTGTTAGGTATACTACGATCTTCGGACCTCGTGCAGAAGGTTTCGCCGATGATCTTGATCTTTCATCCTTGACGGACTCATGGAGAGCCGCAGTCCCTTTCGTGAAGATCTGGGGGCCATATTCGCCAATAGAAGTGATCTTGCTCCAGCGACCGTCGTCAGACGATCTCAGTCCATTGAAATCATGAATTTTGATGCCGATGGGGCAGTGATCAGATGCGAACTGCAGCAGAAGTTCAGCCGCTGAGATGCAGCTGACTCGACTTTGTTCGTCAGACTAACGCCTTATTCCTTGGCCCCCACTAACCCGCAACCGACTTGTCTCATTTGCTTATCCTTGAAGACCCCCATCGGCGATGCCAGGGGGGGGGGGGGGGGGGGATGAAACACACGTGTCGAGGCCAGCATAATGGACCCCTAGGCTAACTTGGTCTTAGCTTCCCCTTCGACTTTTCTCAACTCAGCATTTTGGACGAAATGGGGTCCAGTGGAGAGTCAAATTGGCCGTCCCAGTTGAATGAGCGAGCGCCCGGTGGAGCCCTTGGCTCTGCTGATTTTCACTTATCGTCAGATTCATCGCAACATTGGATGCCGTTTTATCACCACGGCTGACCTCCTTTCCTCCTGCATGTCTACTGTTCCTGGCTGTGCGAAAAGCCCAGCGTCATCGACTCTGTCCCGCCTCAGGGGGCGACCTCCCACTTCTTCCCTAATTCACTTCGTCCGCCAGCAAGTCGCGGCACCTTCAGTGCGCCTGTCGAGCTTCACAGACATTGGCTACATCCGATTTGCATCTGCACGGCGAGAGAGTACTGCTATATTGTGAACGGCTAGATTTCCAATGCGAACCCTCCATCCCTACCCCGCTTCAACCATGGCCGCATCAGACCAGGGGGCGTCCAACGCGGCAGAAGATTCTGCCAACACGAGATGGCAATTCATCGACGCTTCTGATAATAGTCGAAGCAACCTAACCCAGGTCAAACGCCATGTTATGCAAGAGTATATGCGCCAGAAGAAGGGGGGCTCCCGCAACAGCGAGAGTGAAGAAGATCAGAGTCGCCCCACTACTAAGCGTGGCCGACCAAAGAAGACCCGAGCTGCAAAACGCAGATCTACTAAAAAGACCGCCGAGAGCGATCAAAGCTCAAGTCAGCCAAAACTAGCCACAAAGAAGACAACTACCGCCAAGGAAGAAGATGCGCCCGCCGATAGCGAAGAAATCGGTCCAGATGACATCTCCGAGGCCATTGACGCTTTGGTGGCAGCTGACATTCCTGAGACGACTGTTGGTTTACCTTTTCGTACATCGCCTGTACGATCCCAAGAACTTCTATTTCAATCACATACCTTTATCGACAGATCTCCTCAGAGTCAAGGTCAAATCACAGACTTCAATAGTCTTGCAGCATGGTCTTCAAAACCCACTACACCTTTCGAGCTCACAAGGTCACCACGGACCATTCTGAGCGCAGCGCGGACGGATCCATTCAACACTCTTCCGCTGGAGCTAGATCTCGAAGGACAGAAGCTCTTCGACTTTTACGTGAATGAGATGCCTGCTTGTTCCTATGGGTCTCATTTTAGATCGGCCAAGGCCCACAACTGGTACATTCAAGTCTTCGTCCCAGAGGCAATGAAAGGGCCCGTGGCGTTTCAAAATACCATTCTAGTCCACGCTGCAAATACCTGGGCCTGGGTCCGTAATGAGACTGAGACCTCGAATACGCTCATACACCGAGACCGGGCGATCACAATGCTCCGTGAACATCTACATAATAACCCCAGGGACAATTCAGACGTCGCTATCATCTCCTGTTTGAGTGCTGCCGCGCTTGAAGATTTCGATCCCCGTCCCGGTCACAAGGAGATTAGCTGGGTCCATATGCGTGCAGCTCGCGAGATGATTCGATCGCGAGGAGGATCGATCGCCTTTGCAAATACTCGGCTGGGGATGTTGATCAATTGGCAAGATTATATCCTCTCCGGGTATGAAACACATGGACCGAGTTTTTTCTTCGAGCAACAACCACCTCCATCAACTTCCTTATCTCAACCTCCCCACTCATCATTTCAACCCTCTCAACACCCGCATTGCATGCCTTCACCTCCAGAATCTACACCCTCCGCATGCTCGGACACGGCGCCCGGAGAACCTGCTCCAGCCATCGCGCCTACCTCCATCCACACAAGCTCTCCAATTGATGAAATCCGACTCCAATGCGAAGAATTCCTCGACTTCCTCCGACGCTGCGAGCAACTCGCCCTTTACCAGAAAACAAACCCAGAAACTTGTGATGTTTCGCGGCATACAGCAGTCCAACAAACATCTCTTCTATACCAGATCCTAGCCGCCCCTCCTGGTGCTCGATTCACTGGCTCCGGAGACCGCAAACAAATGGTTGCCCGCCTATCTGCGCTGATGATGCTCAATGCTGCCCTGTGGGATTATCGATACTCACCCATTCACACTGGTACATTCCTCAAAACACTAGAACAGGCACTGGTCGACAGCGAAGTTAGTATGAGCGGCTCAGTCGAGGCAATTCTTCAGATCCTTCTCGAATGCAAAGATGGCCATACGGACACTTGGCCTGCAGTTCCAACAGAGCAGCTTCCAGATTTCACCCAATACTCTTCCACGGCGACGTCTCCATTTGCCCGTCCCTGGTTTGTCGGCCGTATGCTGAAGATCGCGAAACGATTGAGCGCCGACTCATGGTATCATGTGAATGATTTTCTTTTCTCATGTCTTACCCTGCAAGTACATGAATCATCCGTGTACCGTTGGGAGGCTGATTTGCGGCGAGAGATCCTCGATGCCCCATTGACAAGCTATATCATGCCTTCATTGCCAAGTTGACGACGTCAATTCTCTCTTATTAATCTATTCCACTGTACATAAGCCTACGGCTTTGCACTTTCAGGGACAGCATGTGAAGGATTCATTTTGATCATCTCTTGATTCGAGGTCCTTGCACTTTTTCTTCATTGTCAACGCTATACCCTCTATGATTCATGAAAACTATATAACAGTATACACACATCTTTACATCCCTCTAAGCGAAAATGCGAATTGGGTGGTTGGGCAAGTAATGACCAGGGTCATTGAAGCGCAGACCCTTATCCAACGCGGCAATAGACTGGATCTCATCGGCCGTCATATCGAAGCCCAGAACATCCAAGTTCTGAGCCAGACGAGACTGGTTGTTTGACTTAGGGATAACGGCAATGTTGCTATCACAAGATTACTATCAAAATACTTTCCAAAAAATCAATAATCAGGGAAATGGTGACATACCGCTGAGTAGCCCATCGCAAAAGAACCTGCGCAGGGGTAACATTATACTTAGCAGCAAGCACCTTAACTGGCTCCGCATCAAACAGCAACGTGATATCCTTGGCCTTCTCTGAGAACACAGCGGGCAACTCAACGAAAGACTGGGGCCCGAAGCTAGAGTATGCCGTCACGGCGATACCATTCTCCTGAGCAACCTTGACAAGCTCGCCCTGAACTAGATACGGGTGGTGCTCGATCTGCAGAGCCGAAAGCGGGTGGCGGGCGTAGCTGAGAATATCATAGATAGACTGTGCCTGGAAGTTGCTCACACCAATGCTGCGAGCGATACCGTTTTCGACGATTTCCTCCATAGCTTCCCAGGTTTCGCGGATAGGCACCTTGTCTGTCTCGACGGTGCCAGCGTCATCCATCCACCACGCCTGACAATTACCATTAGCAAATCGGCCATGGGTCTTAGAAAAAAAGGTACACATTCGGAGGGGATGTCAACGTACCGGGTACTGCCGCACAGCAGGATCAATATACTTCAACGCACAGGGGAAATGCATCAAGAACAAATCAATGTATCCAAGACCCCAAGTTTCATTCTGTTTCTTGGCCATAGCGAGCGCGTGCTCGCGACGGTGGTAGTTGTTCCATAGCTTGGTGGTGATGAAGATCTCCTCGCGGGTGACGAGGCCGTCGGCAATGGCGCGGCGGATTCCCTCGCCAGCCTCCTTTTCATTCTGGTAGTCGTAGGCGCCGTCGAACAATCTGTATCCGGCTTTGATGGCCTGTTGCATGTAAGAAAGTTGTTCCTTATGATTTATTTCAAATTTGAATCAAAGGAATGCTCACGTTGTAGACTGTGTCGGCGGCGGTTTCTTTGGGGACTTTCCACAAGCCGAAGCCCACGAGGGGCATTTCCTTGCCGGAGGCGAGAGTGATAGTTGACTTGACCATTTTGATTGTGAATGTGAGTGTAATTGAAACTTGAGTCTGAAGGTTGGACTAGGTGCCACAGGAATACGTCGATAAATAAGAAAGTCGACTTACCTACCCTTCGTCTTTTTTTTCAGACACAAGGCATTTGGTGGCTCCGATTACCCTATTGAAGGCGGGGTATTAAGCTCTGCTGTTATGATCACATCTAATTGTGGATCGGTTGTTTCGTCAACTGTATTGAGGTTATTTGGAAAGATTGTTGTGGCCTTGACCCTAATGGGTAAAGGTGGCTCGAACTGCCTAATTGTTGGGAAGTGGTTCTGACTGCCAATCTACAGCGACATTCTGGGGTTCCACGTGAGACATTCAATGACAAAGTTCAGTTATGGAAACGAGTCAACTGGCAATTGCTTCATAGTGTAAATCATAGCATCAATCATTTTTTTCGAAATCTTCTTAGTGATTAAGTATGCGACATAGACATTTGATTCTTCTCTTTGCGAGAGCTGCAGCTCGGGGAAGTGGGCAGAGGGCTTAAGTCTAATTCATCAGTTTAACCCCAGCTTCTTTTGAATTGTTTTGGGGGATATACTAGGAATTTTCCCGGAATCCTAGCTATTGACTAAAGGACGTTCTATGATAGTAGGTGGAACTATGTAGGACAGAAAAAGGTTCGTGATGGTAGGCATTTCCAAGGCGAATGCGGAAGTGAATTCAAATACGTATTTATCACTGATTCTCAGAGAGGCAGCATAGTTCATAGCAGTACAATTCCAGGCGGGCATTCAAAGTCGAGACGTTTTATCCTCTCAGATAGCAGCCTCCACATACTCAATCTCCTTATTCTTCTTTTCAGCCACATCCTCCTTGTCTTCAAGGTGCTGAATCTGAGCACCCAAACCAGTACACACATAGCCCTTAAACTCGCGTGTGGGAATCCTCTGCTGGAACTTCTCATCAAGCTCCTCCAGCGAGCGATCCTTAGTCTCAGGCAGGGAAAAGTACACAAACACCGTCGCAGCCACAGAGAAACCGCCATAGATGATCGCGGTACGATCTCCAATCGCAGCCTGCACGTAAGGATTGACAAAGTTGATCGGGACGGAGGTAACAAAACTACCCAGTGACGACAGGAGTAGAGTGTGCTCACGCAACTGACCAGTTCCGATCTCTCCACCGAGAATCCACACGCCAGGACCCCACGACAGACCGTAGAAGAAGTACCACAAGACCAGCATGGCAACGCAGCCGTTTTGGGTCATTGGGGAGAGAACGGAGTGACCATTCGCAGTGGTACCACCCACACCCAACATCATAGCTCCCATGATGAAAGCACCCAAAAACATGTCGGTGTGTCGACCAATTCCGTCAAAAGTGTAGAAGGAGATGACGTTGGCGACCAGTCCACATGCAATGAGGATGACATCCTATTTCAAGGGATCGGCAAAGCCCAGCTGCTTCATGAAGGTCACGATGAAGTTGTTGATGAAGGAGACTCCTTGAGCCTGTTGCAGGATTTGTAATCCCATGGTGACGATGGTTCGGGGCAAGTTAGGGTCCTTGAAGCACATTGTAGTTGGGTCCGTAGAGGTCTTTGATGGCTGCTTCGACCTCTTCAAACCGCCCTTGGTAAACTAGGAAACGCGGTGTCTCTGGCAGGAAGGGGTATGAGCAGGCGATTCCCAAGGGAACCATGAGTTGACAGGGAATGACGGTGCTAGTGTTAACAATTAGCACGTAGGCTCTTATTCTCCTTCATTGGATATCCAGGTACTTACAGATAAGCCCACTCGCTGGTCAAGTTCTGGCATAGATAAACAACGAGGGTACCCAGGAAGGACCCGAAAGTGTTCCAGAACGAGTATGCAGTCAAGAATGCACCTGTAAACGATTATGTTAGCCATTAAGACAAGCGCAAACAAAAAAGAATTGCATACCTCTAATCTTTGCAGGCGCACACTCCGACTGGTACATAGGAACCACATTGGAGGCGAGACCAATACCAGAGTAGGCCACAATGCGACCGACCACCAGCTGCCAGAAGGACGTAACAGTAAACGCCTCGAGAACAACACCCACGGTCAACATGGCCGCCATCACTAACAGCGTCGGCTTACGGCCCAGGTTCGAGCAAAGCCAAGGAGCAACCAGACAACCGATGATGATACCCGCAGAGCCCGTACCGGTACCAGCAGACTGTTTCTCGGACGGGATGCTATAGTCATTCTCGTCGGCGTTCCACGATCCATACTTCTTGCCAAAGGGCGACAGACCAAGAGGACCTGGAGTTGTCGAAGCCGAAGCCCATGACTCCCAGGGAGACAAAACATCCAATGAAGACCAGGCGGAGACTAAGCTCCTGGTAGAGGGCTGACTGCTTAATTCATTCGAACATTTACAATGACAATAGGACCCGGGGAATCAATAGAAAGCTACGAGAGAGCCCCCACAAGCGATGAAGGCGTCTTGGAACCGATGTGCCGGCTGGGTCTGCGTGTCTTATATACTACCTGCTAGCCGGTTGTTGCATATACCTGAGCATTCAAGCCCTCTCAATGTCTCAAGCTTTCCCGGTCCAATCCGACAACTTCTGGGGCAAAACACGGGGGGAATCTGGCAGACCCCGGGCCCCGCAACGCGAATGCATGGTCCGATTCCGGGACAAGAGACCGACTGACGAGTCCATCGTACCTGTGACGATGCAAGTACGCTTTTCGACAGAGCTTTCCCGGTCAATGATGCCGAATCAAAGGGCCGAAGTGGATCCTTAAGCCACGGCTAGTACAGTTCGGCGTTGAAGCTATTCGGGTCTCGGGCGGTTGCAACTGCTGAATTGGATAACTTCTTCGGCAGAACCCCGGCATCTCGCCGGGTCCACCACACTCGATTCCCCCACTCGGCCCAACGTGGGCGCTTGTGGCTCCAGTTGCGATTCCTGGAACCGTGCGGGGGTTAGGCTGAATTCAATCATTCAAATATGGAGGGATTTCACGAGTTGCTTCGAGTCTACTCACGTACATCCTCGTGCCTCCAGTGATCATCACACAATGGCCTCTCCTTCCCAGCTACAGACCTTCCAATCCAAGCCGCGGGTGTTCATCCTGAGCGACATCTCTAATGAGCCCGATGATGCGGAGTCGTTGGTGCGCTACCTCTTGTACGCGAATCAGTTCCGGACAGAGGGTCTGGTCGCGTGTACTTCGACATGGATGAAGAACAAGGTTTGTCCACAGGACATGCACAAAATTATTGATGGCTATGAGAAGGTCGTCGATAACCTCAATGCTCACGCCCACCCGAACGATCCTTACCCGACAGCAGAGTACTTGAGATCATTGATCAAGAAGGGTGCAGAGGTAAACATCTCGAACTTTGATCATTAGCTTTCATGCGCTCTAAATGCTAACGCAATGCTCTAGAGCTATGGCATGTCGGCAGTCGGCCCCAAGGTCCCCCTCAGCGAGGGCGGCGAACTCCTTCTCGAGCGCATCAAGGCACCCACAGACGACCCTCTCTGGATCCTCTGCTGGGGAGGAACCAACGTTCTTGCCTCTGTCCTTCTCAAGATCCATTTAACCCACTCCCTCGAGGACGCCGCCAAGCTGCGCTCTAAGTTGCGCGTGTACACCATCTCCGACCAGGACGATACTGGTGCTTGGATCCGTCACCATTGCCCCGACATCTTCTACATCTGCTCCGTCCACGGCTGGAACCAGTACGGCATGGCTGCATGGACTGGTATCTCCGGTGACGGATGGTACGGTTTCGACAAGGGCGGTCCCGACGGAACTAAGATTAGCAAGGAGTGGATTAAAGAGCACATTCAGATCGGTGATCTTGGCTCAACATATCCCGATTTCATGTTTATCCCCGAGGGCGATACCCCGACTTTCCTCTACCTTATTCAGAACGGTCTCGGCGTTCCCGAGCGGCCCGAGTTCGGATCCTGGGGTGGTCGCTACATTCCGACAAATATCAGTGACAAGGCTGGGCCTAATGGGCACTTTAGCGATACCGTGGATGAAGTGATTGGCAAGGATGGCAAACAGTACAAGTCGAACCAGGCGACTATCTGGCGCTGGCGCGATGCGTTCCAGAACGATTTTGCGGCTCGCATACAGTGGTCTCTGTTTTCGGAACTCGACAAGGCGAACCATCACCCCGTGGTTGATATCAATGGCAACACTGGTCTGGAACCGTTGCACTTTGAGCTCGAGGCGGGCGCGACATTCAAGCTTGACGCCTCTGCTTCGTATGATCCCGACCCGAACGACTCTCTTACTTTCAAGTGGTACCAGTACAGCGACCCGAGTGCTATTCAGTGGTCTGTTCAACACGAGGTTGGTCAGTTGGATATCAAGCCGCTGAATGAGGCCGGCAGTATTGTGGAGGTTACCCTCCCTCCGCATGAGAAGTGCTGCGTCGAGCTTATCAGTCGGGCGGCTGTGGCAAAGGGTCAGCTTTTGCATCTGGTGCTGGAGGTCAAGGATAATGGATCGCCTGCGCTGATCAGCTACCGCCGGGTTATCATTCAGGCCACGAATGAGAAGCTGCTGGGCGGCGGTGGTGGTGCTGATTCCATTGGTGATACCATGCGGGACATGGTCATCTAAAAGATTATAACTAGCCTGGGAAGCCTGTATGAATAAAAAGTAAAATAAAATCAATGAATATAGTACGCAATGAAGCTGGTGCTTTCTCAAGAATCGTATAATATGTGTTCATATTGTCTAAATTACACATCATCAATCTGTTTACTCCATGGTAACTTAGGCGAACATCCACTCCTACTACTCCAACTCCCCATAGTCGTCGGATGCATCGACAACGGATGAACCCCCTTATGCCTCAGATGTGCACTTGGCGGCTTCCACTCAGACTTGGGACTTCCAGAAACTACTTCAGTAACTTCAGGATCACCCTCACTAACCTGCCGACCAACAAAAACCTCCTCAACCTCTTCAAGAGACCGTCCAACCGTCTCTGGATACGCAAACCAAACCACAAAAGCAGCAACCCAATTAAACGCAACAAAACAATAAAAATACCGCGACCCAATCCTCGTCAACGCAATAGGCGAACACTGCGCAAAAATCAAACTCAAACTCCAATTCGTCGCCGTCGCCACACTCGCTCCCCTCGCCCGAATAGCCGTCGGAAAAATCTCAGACTGATAAATCCACGAAATCATTCCCAGCGCTGTAAAAAAGAGCGAGAAAACGAAGAACATGGAAATAGCCGCGCGCAACGCATCAGCGTTGGCACTGCTATCGCTGAAATCGACGTACCGCGCTAATGTCCCCTCAACACACATTGCCGCGCCCATACCCAGCAAAGACGGGATGAGTAACTTGCGTCGACCGACTTTATCGATGAATGTCATGAAAACGGTGTTCCAGAACTGCGCCAGTGCGCCCCAGACACCGATTATCATGAGCGAAGTTGACGTGGACAGACCTAGTGTTTTGTACAATCGCGGCCCGTAGTTTTGAATCACGTTTACGCCGGAACATTGTGTCATGGCTTGGAGACCGCATGCGAGGAGGATACGGTAGCGCCATTGGCGGGAGAGGAAGAGTTGCCGCCATGAGCGGACGACGAGGTGCTTTTCGTTGGCGACGCTTGTGTGGATTTGATTGAGCTCATGCTCGACTAGGTCCTGGTTTGATGCGGTTCTGTTTAGATGGAGACGGGTGAGGACTGCTCGACCGGCTTCTTCTTTGCCGTGTTCGATTAGCCAGCGCGGGGACTCGGGGAGAAACCAGATGCCGCAGACGAGGATGATGGCGGGTACTGTTTGAAAGGAGAGTGGGAAGCGCCAGGAGAAGTTGCCGCTGTGGAGGGAGCATCCGTAGCCGACCCATTGCTGGAAATATGATTAGAATGGGATTTTTAAAGAAGGGTGATCGCGACTTACGGCTACCATGATGCCCAGCCCAATCATCCACTGCTGCATACTGGCAAGCAAACCGCGAATGCGTGGCGGTGCAACCTCGCTCTTTTGTTCAGGTTAGTCTATGGATAGGGGGTAGGTCAATCGCAGGCTGATTCCAGTGATAAACATACACAGTAGACAGGAATAGTAGCCGACATAAGCCCAATTGCCCAGCCTGCGATGAATCGGCCAGCGATCAACATCGCGACGGTGACTGCACCACCCTGGAGGGCGGCCCCTAGCGTGGCTAGCAGTCCACCGATGAAGATAAGCATGCGGCGTCCGTAGAAGTCAGATATGTAGGGTGCCAGAAGGGACCCGACGATTGCACCTCCTGTTCGGCAAGATTAGTTTATGAGATTCGAGCTTGAGGGATTTTAATGCGAGAACATGGCATTAAACTACGGCATAGGGTGACACACCTGTATACGAAGAAACAATCCCTCCAGTAGCAGCATCCGATAACCCCGGCGAACCGAAATACCGCAAAAACGCATCCTGCTCGATACTCGACGAGATCACACCAGAGTCATAGCCGAATAAGAACGAGCCCAGCGCTGCAAAGGTGCAGCACAGCGTGACGAGAACATAAGCCATGATGCTATTTCATGAATGACCGAGGTTATGAATTCATGGCCAGCACGGAAATTCCCGGTTGAACAGGTAATCGTCCTAGAATCCAATCCTCGAAAGAGAGATCTGGATCGGCTGGGGTAATCAAGCGGGGAGATCAACCATACATATAAGTACAGTATAAGAAGTAATCGAAGGAGCAAAAAGATCGGCAATCAGTGACGATCGATCAAAACCGGGACCCATAAGTGAGCACTAAAAGTCTGGCAGTTGATGACTGATGAGTTTTCGCGGTCGCGAATAATGTGTATCCACTATTCCACCATGGGGAAAAGCGGGACGCGCCAAAGGGGGAAATCGATCGCGAATGACCTTTGCAGACAGGTTATTTTGCAATAATCGAGTTGGAAAGTTTGATAAAATGAAGATCATCAACTCTTTCAGGGCCAAAGGCACAAGAATGTCAGGCAAGACGTGAGGGGAGCTGGAGATCTGGACCTGAACCTGCTTTTCAGCTGAGCTCGCTAAAAGACTCCAATTTCCATAAACTTTTCTTCCTGCAGAATTGTAAAATGCCAAGTCGTTAGCGTAATCAGTACTACACCTTAAACGGCCCCCTTTTGTATTCCCCCTCTTTGGCTCTTGCTGACAGTCGCTGAACCCTTTGTTCTTCATCGCGTTTCACTTTTCGGGCGATGACAGCGAATGTTGGGTGCCCTGCAGGGCTGACGATGAGCTTAATTGATGATCCCCCTCCCCTTGTCGAAGCCAAACTAGGCGTTGGGGCGCAGATCGGTTTCACGCCACGGTTCTTGGCGAACAACCAGTTTGAACTTGGCCAAGTACAGTACTTCTCATCCCATTGATTAGCAGTGAATTTTTAGACATGTATGGTCGACGCCATACTGTAGTCATCTCCATTCCTCATCGTAAGATCATGTTGACAGGCCGTTTCAGAATACGGCGCATATCAGCCACCCCCGCGTGGAAGTGGGCGTTGACATTCCTGGGCGCGTCACAGGAGGGAGCCTAAGCAATAAGCACTATCTGGCAGGTTGAAGTTCTTCCTCCTCTGCATGACTGATCCCTTCGTGCCTGGCATGATCGAGGGGCGCGTCTTGGATGCCAGTTCGCGTCGCAGTGATTGCAGTGAGGAGTTGGAGATTCTGCAGTATGGGAATTTGTAGTCGCCGGGTGGAGAGAACGCTGTGGTAAGCACTAGGGGAGTGCATGATGGACTGGAATCGATTTGGCTGTTGTCAATTATCGATTAGGCTGAATGCACCAGTTTTAACCATACATCTATGCTAAGAAGCTGCTCAATTTCGGGCATATCAGGTATTTCTTCGGCAATGTCGCCGTTGTCAGGTGTGGTGAGCCTTCAGCCCTGACAAAAGCAATGGGTTGAGTCATGTACTGTTCTCTCTGGGCCGAATATAATACTGCTAGGATTATAAATGATATCACGGCCTTCTCAAGGACCTCTATGAATATGGATTGAACCGATTACGATCGATCTCATAGGGATCTAGAAGTATACACGCAATACGCACATAAGTCGACCCTACTAGCTCCAAGGCTTGGACTCCGTCCTGCCTACTTGCAAACATTTCAAGAGATGCCACATCTCAATCCCCTCTCTGTCCTCTATTTCAATACCTCTTGGAAGGTAGAGAAACTATTTCACACGGGCTCCCTCGGTCGGCATAGTACAACTTACAGCCATACTTCTACTGCAACCGACAGACGAGACTTTAGTCCCTGAACTGATCCTGAACCGGCAATAATGGCCCCTCCTCACGAACGCAAACCTAGAGAAACCCGACCGTGGTAATTATGAACTGTAGAGAGGGATATAAGCTATCTCGAAATGCCTCATGGAATTCTTCGATGCGGCCCGCAATATCCGCAACTCCCTCAACTCCACGGAGATAAAACCCCGCGGGGTTTGAATGGATGATGTTCGGCGACTATAACCAATCCATCAGTACGGACAGTCTTTCACGCGATGGTTGGATTGAGAATTGAACGGTGAGTCGGTCAGTGACCCATGCAGCATGCGCATGTGCATGCGCCCCGGACTTTTGTTTGAGTCATTACGTGAGAGGGCTGGAAGGTTGGTGCTAAGACAGTACTGCCGTGTAAGGCACATAGTAAGTCCAAAGTGATTGGATTCTGACAAGTCGTCATGAAGTATACCAAGTGAACCTATGCGCATATACGAGGTACTCCAGACTTACTCTATACTTACAGTACTTTGTGGATTTCATTCCCGATAAGCTTTGTCACCAGACCTCCAGTCATCTCTTAAATCCGATTCCTCTGGAGTAAAGTAGCCAAGGCTCGGCATTTTCGCCAGGTTCGCCGAGGCCGAGTTGGACAATAAGTTGCCCGAGTGGAGTCCGTAGTTAAGCGCTGGAGAGAAATTATACTGTGATAACTAATCATAATTCTCTTCCTCCTTCTCATAATCTTGACGACTGGGTCCCTGAAATTTTTACATCGGCCTGAGCTGACAGCCGAGGCCAGCTCGCAAAAATGCCTCAAGCTACGACTATAGTAGTATAGAAGAAGACCCTTGGAAGGATCATCCCGTGCGCGGTGTTCGGTGCTCGCGCTGCGAAACTCCGACATCTGGAGACAAGGAAATGCTTCAATCTTTCTCTTGTGAATTGTCCTTCTAAATGTGATTGAACTTAGCCTTGTTCACGGCTCAGGTATCATCTCTTAGCCTAGAGTAATCTGCAGTATAAGCTACCTAAGATGGAAATTTTGTCGGGGTTTTCAGCGCATAGAACCCCACTCCAGGATGCAGTTGGTCAATCGGAATATTTGATGGGTAATTCATCTTCTCAAAAGTCCTGGATTGGATCGATGACTCCGACGGAAGAGATGACTTACTTTTCCTGCTTCAAGTCTCTAGTTTCTTGAGTATAGAATATAGCTTGTTAGTCAGGAGTCACCAGTGGCATTCTGGTTTTGTTCTAGTGGGCTTCGATGATTCTTCTCTCCCAATGAGTACTAATTTACGAATTTCTTTCTTCTCCTCATCTCCTCCTCCCGTTCAGCCTCTTCCATCATTTGTCTCTTCCTTCCCCCTCTCCAATTTGGGGTCGTTCATCTGACCAATTTTGACTGCATCTTGAATAATCAGTTCACCCTACGTGGTTGGTGATTTAAAGATACAACTTCTTCTCCTTCTCTGGTTCTTGACCCCACCGCTTTCGGTCAAAGGAAGTCTTATTTCATCATTCATCTTCCCCTCTTATCCCCAATTTCTAATCACCGAAACCCTGAAATTCTTCTCCCTCTTAACTCTTCCTCTAAACCCCTCGGACACGGTCCTCCTCCAACTGGTCCGTGAGCTTAGCCGTTCGACGATCTCGTCGACTTCTTCTTGACTCCACTTTTCATTCGTCCCTCTTTTTTCACTTTCTTCTCATCTCCAACTGTTCACCTCAACGATTCTCGACTTATCGACTATCATTGCCGCTTCGTCGTTCCTCCGATCTCCCTCCCCCACTGCTATCTACGAATGCGACCGCAAGGAAGGGCGATCGATGAACCCTTAGAACAGATCGCCCGCCAAGCCCGCTTCTCCCTTACATGAATAATTAATCCCACCGGTGGCCCCCCTCGATAGTCTATCATGGCGAGTGGTTCCGGAGCGCATGGCGACAGCGAGGACGATCCCGCACCGGGAGACTACCCTCATGACGATGCCGACCCCTCACAATTCTCGACTCAGGAAACTCCCTCCTCAGACCCAAAGCTCACCTCTCAATCGTTACCACTGCAGAAGCGCCGACGAGTCGGTCGCGCCTGCGACGAATGCCGCAGGAAAAAGATCAAGTGTGACGGCAAACAGCCATGTACCCACTGTACAGTCTATAGCTATGGTGCGCCCTCTCCGCCCTTCGTTGCTTTTTTTTGTCTTTTCTCTTGCTACCCTGCATTTCTGCCAAACACGTGGCTGACCTCCTGTAGAGTGTTCGTACGACCAACCCTCCAACCGTCGTCGCAATCCCGCCCCGCAGTATGTCGAAGCCCTGGAAGCTCGCATGCAAAAGGCCGAGGCCCTCCTTCGAGCGGTCCTTCCAGATGTCAACCTCGATGACCCGAATCTAGACGTGAATGCTCCAGAGTACCGTTTACCCTTCCACCTAAAAGACAAGCAACCGGCGACCGGCGGAGTCGTCCCGAAACCCCATGGAACGTCTGCGGAGACCGGCCCCGAAGCCGGCGACGAGTCTCTGTTGGAGACGATGGTTGGGAATACTGGCTGTCTTGACCGCGATGATCAGGGACATTGGGACTATCATGGACACACCTCGGGAATCATCTTCGTCCGCCGCCTGCGCAAACAATTAGGTGCGGTTGAACCGCCCGTTCCTCGAAACATGACGGCGATGCTCGAAAGTCCCAAATCGGTGTCCGTCTCCGATTCGCCGCAGGATGCTTCATTGCCTCCTACGCACGATCTTCCCCCGCGGGCGGTCGCTATTCGACTGTGTCATAATGCACTGGACGATGCCTGCTCTTTGATGCGCTTCGTGATTGAACCCAAATTCTTCGCGAGTCTCGACCGTATCTATGAAACACCCCCTGAGCAGTTTGGTAATGAAGAGAACTCGTTCTTGCCTCTATTGTACATTGTTATGGCGGTCGGATGTTTGTTCTCCGATGACGGTGCCGGAACTTTGGATTTGGCAGGTTACGAGGGTGCGATTGGTCAAGGGTAGGTCAACTCAACTTCTCTCACCTTCGTGAATTTGTGCCTGGTGTGTGATTGCTGATCGTAATGTCGCAGATTCCAATTCTTCAAGGCGGGACGGCAGTTGCTAGAGATAACGGATTGCCGAGACCTCACCTCACTGCAAGCAATTTGTTTCATGGTGCTTTTCCTCCAATCATCTGCCAAGCTGAGTACTTGTTACTCGTATGTTGGTATTGCGCTTCGATCAGCTCTGCGATTGGGTCTCCACCGCACAGTTACGGCCGACTTCAATCCGATCGAGCGAGAGCTGCGGAAGCGCATCTTCTGGGTTATCCGCAAGATGGATGTCTACGTCAGTACCTTGCTGGGTCTCCCTCAAATGCTGAGCGACGATGATATCGACCAAGAATATCCGATGGAAATCGATGGAGAATTTATCACTGCAGAGGGCATCACTCAGATGCCCACCGACTATACCCCGCTGATGGCCGGATGCAATGCGCATACACGTCTTTGCAACGTCGTGCTAAAGGTCGTGAAATACATTTATCCGGTGAAGAATGCGCGCTATCGGTCCAAGTCTGACCAGCGCTATATGGTCAGCCATTCGAAGATCCGAGAGATTGAGCGTGATCTTCAGGCCTGGATGGAGGAACTTCCTCCGGCGCTGCGTCCGGGCACAGAGGTGTCACCCCAACTTGAACGGTAAGTCTAAACACCCATCCACGCACTGTTTTCAATTACATTTTGACTAATTCCATCATCAGCATTCGTCAACTGCTGCGTATAAGTTACGCGCATGTACAAATGGTCATGTATCGCCCGTTCTTACATTATGTATCCGGTGGCTCTCAAGCACGTGGTGTCGATAAGCGGTCTTACGCTTGCGCTGCCGCTTGTGTTAGTGTATCCCGAAACATTGTCCATATCACGACGGGCATGCACAAGAGGGGCCTTCTCAACGGCTCTTTCTGGTTCACGATGTATACCACCTACTTTGCCATTCTTTCCCTCATTTTCTTCGTCGTCGAGAATCCCGATTCGCCCACTGCCAAGGATGGCGTTTTGAAGGATGCCATGGAAGGCAAGAACACTCTTGCCGGGCTGGCCAAGAAGAGCATGGCAGCGGACCGATGCTCCCAGAGCCTAACAGTATGTGACTTCTCCTCTATATGGTACCACCGATATTAACCTTAAAACCAGTGCCTTTTCAAGACTCTACCAGAAATGCTAAAGAGCCGCCAAGGCTCCAAGGCTCCCATCAACCTCAAGCGACGTGCACCTTCTAATTTTGCTTTGGAACCCGAATCTATTCAAAAGCAACCGGTACAAACCTTGCCTACTCGCTCGAGCACATTCCCTGCCCAAATGATGGCGCAGTCGTCCCCGACAAACGCTGCTGCAAGCCGCCGGCAAAAGAGTCTAGACACTCAGCCTGTCAACAACAGACCACCCGAAAGTGGTACCCAGTCTGCTTGGTTGGCGTCAACCCCAGAGCTTTTAACAGAGACCATGTCTACTCCAGAGCCATCCTCTGCAACCTCATTCAACACCTCTTTCTCCAACCAAGAGCCGTCAAGCCTGGCCTGGGCTCAGCAGTTCAATAACCCGAATAATCTGCCAGACCTGATGCCCATGATGTTCCCCTCTGATGATCCATTTGCTTATCCCACGCAACCCATGTCCACATTGGAAGACGATCACTTCAAACATGAGCGCAGTGGTGCCCCGCAGAGCCAACCGTCATTCGACTCTCCCTCTCAGCAACAAGGCATGGGATCGAACACACCGAGTGACCAGTCTGGGACGGGAATATCCACGCCCAGTTTCGATGCGTTTGCCAATTTCTCGAATTTCCCAATGAACCCCGGATCAGGAATGAAGTCATCCATTCCCAACCGCTTACAACAACCCACGACTCAACCCATGAACCATTCGCGACTGCACTCACCAATCTCCCAAGGCCAGACCCCCAGTGAACACCTCAGCAGCCCAGACTTGGTTTCCATCCCGAATCAAAACTTTGTATGGCAAGGTTATAATTTCCAGCCAGCAAACGTGGAAGCCGTGAATAATGAACCCACGACGAGTACGATGCAGCAGGATACTGCTCCTCTGAACGGGTTACCTGATTTCAACATGGGACTGGACGAGAATGCCTTGGGTATGAATATGGATTTGGGTATTTCCTTTGACGATTTGTTTGGCAACAATGCGAATTTCCGACCTGGCGCTGGCGCAGCCAATGATGACTGGACTCAATGGATGAATGCTGGAGTTTAGGTTTCCATTCGGGAGTGATATTTACCATAGAGGTTTTCAGGTTTTTGCTTGCTACGACGACATGCACTTATGAAAGGGAGCAAAAAAAGAAAATACTGTTTCTATACCTGGCTGGCGTTTACCGGGTTTTCATGTTGGATGAGGCATTTTTGTGAATATTTTCTTGGACGGATTCTTTGGAAATGGCGAGTAAATGAAAGCATTAGTACAATATAGTTTGTGAATGATATGATTCCAAATAGAGCCGCCATCTTTACAACAAACTGACTGTATCTACCTTATGCAATGTCTGCATGTCTTCTCTATACCTATCTTATCTTTTTTTCCCCCTTTCATCCCCCTCATCCTCATCTCCCTACCATTCACGGTTTAGACCCAGACGGATGGATCCAGACCCACATCGCGTCGCAAGTCCCGACATCTCCTCCATCGAACCACCCTGAACACTCAACTCCCTCCAACAGGGCCCATGGCCCATTCCAGCACCGTCGCACTCGCCGGCCCTCAATCGCAAGATCCTCGCGATCACCTATAGACCCTCACCCGACCAATTGACCCCTCTGCGGATCCCCCACGCATCCCCGCCCTTCTCCGCCGCAGTCGCATGAATACTGAGACCGGGATCGAGATCTATTCGACGAACCGGCCTATTGTACAATATCGTTCTACCTATTGGCCATTGGCCATCAGACGCTTATATAAAAAACATACCGAACGAACCGACCTCAACGGATATATCCATACTCAATGGCATACTCCACGCCAAAGCTCTCAACTATCATAACCTGGCTCCTGTACTTCGTGCCCGTGTACATCTTTGTACTTGATCCGCTACTCCGCCCATATTTCCCGGATAGCGCTTCGTCTTCGCTGTCATGGGGAGAGGATCAGGATAGACATGTCCTTGAGGAATGGGATACTTCCCCGTCGACTTTACACTTGACGGACGACAGCTTTATCAGTCCCGACGATGGAGTCCCAGATAATTGTCCCGGTGAAGCAGAAGGATACCGCGTGCATCTACTCTCGCAAGCACCGCTCGTCTTGTACATTGAGAACTTTGTGAGCGCTGCCGAGGCGGATCATCTAGTTGAGATCAGGTACGTTCTACTTCCCAATGGTCTCACACCCTTTGCACCGTCAACCACGCAATCAAATCAACCCGAGGAAAAGAAAAAGCTAACACCTCCATCCCAGTCTTAACAAATACACCCCCTCAATAATCTACAACGGCAAAACCCAACAAATCGACCCCTCAAAACGCCTCTCCGACCGCGCCCTCCTAGACCGCGACGACACAGTCCGCTGCCTCGAGAACCGCGCGCGTACCTTCCAAGGCTGGCGTCCGCACCTGTACATCGAGCGCATGTGGGCACAGCGCTACAATGCCTCTGGCCATTATCGGCATCATTATGACTGGACGGGATCGCTTGCACGGGGCGGGGATAGGCTTAGCACGTTTATGGTTTATTTGGGGGATGAGTGTGAGGGGGTGGGACTAATTTTCCTAGGTTGGGGATGCCCGGGGGGAGGGAGTGGTGTCGGTTTTTGGAGTGTGAGGAAGATGAGCAGGGGACTGTGAAAGAGGGCATTACGTTCAAACCGATCAAGGGGAATGCGATATTTTGGGAGAATTTACGACCGGATGGGACGGGGTACCCGGAGACGTGGCATGCGGCGTATCCGGTTACTTCTGGGACGAAGGTGGGCTTGAATATTTGGAGTTGGTATCAGCCGCCGAAGAGGAACAGGGGTGGTGGGAGGTGAATTTGGGGATTGGAGGGATATTGAGAGAAACGGGAAGTCTCGCGCCTGGCTCTGGCTTGGCTTTGATCTGGTTTCATGGCGAGTTGTTCAGGGCTTGGAAGGGTTTCCGGCCAAGGGCGGGAATGCTTGGATTCCCAGATGTGTGGTGTCACTGCCCAGGTAGGGGCGGTGTGATGTGATTCTTCTGTATAAAAGATTGTAACCATAGACCTATAGACTTGGATATATAACATAGACAGCGACCTGTTCCACCATATATAACTGGACCAGGTAAACTTGATTTTATTGTCACACATTTACTACTCATTGATCTGACCAGTTTGATCTGATCAATCTCGAGGATGATATCCCATATTAATGACCCCCTTCCGTCTACACTTCACCTACATCCATCCCAAAGTCCCAAACCAAGCAAAAAAACCAGGCAACGAAATTAATTCATCCATCCAATTCCCTCCCTTCCGCACCGGCCACACCCGGAAATCCATCATCCTCCGTCCGGACGTCCGAGCTACACCAGTTATGTAACAAAGAAAGCCCCGTGCCAAGTCACACGGAGGAAGGGGGGTTGTGGACATGTGTAGATCCAAAAAAAAAACCAAGGACCCAAGACTTCCAGCGCTTGGTGCTCGGAGCGGGAATTGGCAAAGAGGAAAACCTTGGCTGCCAAGAGGGGTGCATCGCCATGCCATGGCTGAGGGGGGGAAAACAGGTCCTTGGCAACCCCCCTCGGTTCGACAACTTCGCCCCCAAGGGTGACCAATGGCCACTTTTTACCGCTTTACTTGTTTCAGTGATTATTGCACGAATCATGGTTCGTGGGTGGTATGAGGGAGGGTGGGATGATGGTTGGTTGAGATGGTTAAGCGATCGGATTCCGAGGATGGCGCGATTGAGGAGTTTAGGGGTTTAGTTGGGACCGGGGAGGATATTGTAGGCGAGGGTGAGGACGGTATTAGTTTTACGGAGGATGGTTATGAGTACAACTAGCAAAAGAATAGCAATCAGATAATCACAAAATAGGGAGAAATCCAGAGAGTCACCAGAGTACTCCGTAGTATGTACGGTAGGTGGTGGGCTATCATGAATGATACTAGAGCTATTCTGGGCAATTGCTGCGATAGCCACTAACTATTACTAGCACTGCTCCTATGTTAGCATTATTCCGTTATTTTGTTTTGCCAGTACTTTGTCCTGTGAGTTATCGTCTTACTATTGCTTGTCTTACTGTCTTACTACTACTGTAGCCTCTGGAAATCCTCGGAATGCACAGCCCCTCGTTCTGGGTGTCTCTAGCCAATCATATTTCCCTCAGGCTCCACTAAAACGCCAGGCCCGCAGCCCGACGGTCTTGGCCCGGTCTTGTCGTCTCCCCTTGGCTGTTCCTCCGCCCAGGCCCAAGGCTTTTGGCTGGGCAAAGGCTCGGCTCTTTCCTCCCTGTGATTCTGGCCGGGCATTGGCATGGATCATTGGCCTTGGTAGTTGTTACCAGTTAAGTAACAATCCCCCCCCCGTGCGGAGAGACCACCAAGCAACCCTGAAGGTCCCAAGAAATTCCCGAGACTAACCCAAGACCCAAGACTTTCCCCCCCCCTCCTCCTCCCCAGTTTTCCTCTCTTCCCTCTCCCTCCTTCTTCTAGGCACGCGTTTTCTTCCCTCCCTACACCTTTCTATATTCCTTTCCCCCAACTCCTTGGAATTTCCTTGCGGAACACCTTGGCTGAACATATATTCCATTCATTGTGGACTGTTGTGCGTGTGTACCCGCATTGCTGTTGAATTGACAGTGGACGGTATACGTGGTATTTCCTTTCTCTCGTGCCTGGGCAAAAATCCCGCCAGACACGACAAGACATTTTCTTGGCATCATGTCCGAAAACACTCTTCCCCCAACTTCAACACCCCAGGCTGCGCCAGCCCCAGCACCGGTTGCCACTGAGCAGCCTGCTGTTGCGCAGCCTGCTACGACGCCGACTGCTTCGGTGACGGCCACCGCCGCCGCCGCGACCGCTGCCGTCAACAGTACTCTCAACGGCGCTGGAGAGCAACTCCCCTGTCAGTGGGTGGGTTGTACTGAGAAGTGTCCCTCAGCTGAAGCGCTCTACGTAAGTCAAGCTCCCTTCTGCTATTCATCGTGGTGTACCAAAAGCCTGACCATGGGGTGGCCATACAGGAACACGTCTGCGAGCGCCATGTCGGTCGCAAGAGCACCAACAACTTGAACTTGACCTGCCAATGGGGCAACTGCAACACCACCACCGTCAAGCGCGATCACATCACCTCCCATATTCGCGTCCATGTCCCCTTGAAGCCACACAAGTGCGACTTCTGTGGCAAGGCCTTCAAGCGCCCTCAGGACCTGAAGAAGCACGTCAAGACCCATGCCGATGACTCGGAGATCCGATCCCCAGAGCCGGGCCTCAAGCATCACCATCACCACCACCACCCGGATATGATGTTTCCCCAGAACCCCAAAGGTTCGTCTTGGATTTCTTGCTCCCCCTCCACTGGCGCATCCTCTTAATCCAACCGGGGATACCCAACCTGGCCGCTGGGTTCTCTCCAAAACCCCTCCCCGGTCCCCGGTCTGGCCAGTCGTTGTTCCCCCCTGGTTTCCCGTTCCCGCGTCGCTGAGGGCATTGGAAACACCCTGGCTAATTGACGTCCAGGATACGCTGCTGCCACGCATTACTTTGAGGGACCTATGAACGGCGTTTCGAGCGCCGCCTACGCTCATGGAGCTCCCCAGTACTACCAGACACACCCGCCTCCTCCCGCCGCCAACCCCCATTCGTATGGCAATGTCTACTATGCGTTGAGCCAGGGTCATGATGGTTCCCAATCGTACGACCGCAAGCGTGGGTACGATGCTCTGAACGAGTTCTTCGGTGACCTGAAGCGACGCCAATTCGATCCCAACTCCTATGCGGCTGTCGGCCAACGCCTGCTCGGTCTCCAGGCCCTTCAGCTTCCAATTCTGAATGGCCCGGTTCCCGAGTATCAGCCTATGCCCGCTGCTGTTCCGGTCGCCGGTGGTGGTGGCTACAGCCCTGGCGGTGGTCATGCGCCCGCGTACCATCTTCCTCCAATGTCGAACGTCCGCACCAAGAACGATTTGATCAACATTGATCAGTTCTTGGAGCAGATGCAAAACACCATCTACGAGAGCGACGAGAACGTTGCCGCTGCCGGCGTGGCTCAGCCTGGTGCTCACTACGTGCAGGGTGGGATGAGCTACCGCGCTACCCACTCTCCCCCTAGCCAGCTGCCCCCTAGCCATGTTACCGCCACTACTTCTGCTCCTATGATGGCCGCCACAGCCCACTCACCCTCTGTTGGCACTCCCGCTTTGACTCCACCCTCGAGCGCTCAATCTTATACCTCGCAACGGTCACCGATCTCTCTTCCCCAGACTCACCGCGTGTCGCCGCCCCATGAGAGCGGTGCCGGCATGTACCCCCGTCTGCCGTCGGCCACCATGTCCGACAACATGTCGGCGGGTTACCCCACTGCCTCGAGTGCGGCTCCCCCGTCCACTCTGAGCGGCGCCTTCGACCACGATGATCGTCGCCGCTACACTGGTGGCACCCTGCAGCGCGCTCGTCCCGCCGAGCGCGAAGCAGATGAGCGCATGGATACTTCGGCTGACGGCGAGCGCACACCTACCAAGGAGCACCCTTCCATCACGTCGAGCCTCATTGATCCTGCCTTGTCGACTTCCTCGAACCCCGACCAGGAGGCTGCTCAGCGGACCGCCCAAGCTGCCACCGAAGTGGCCGAGCGCGATGTTAATGTCGCGTGGGTGGAGAAGGTTCGACTTCTGGAGAACCTGCGACGCTTGGTCTCTGAGCTCTTGGAGCAAGGTCGCTGGGATGGAGACTCGGCTGGTCACAGCGGTGCCGAAGAGTCTCCCGCTCACTCGGGTGATGGCGCCATGGACGGTGTTGAGACGGCTAGCACTCGGGACTCTCCTGAGCATGCCAAGGAGGTGGCCAAGTCTGAAGAGGCTGCGTCAGTTCTCTACCCTACTTTGCGCGGGGTGGACGAGGACGGAGATGCCAACATGCCTGGTGACGAGTAAAAAGACATGGGGAGGCTCTGGGAGGTTATATCCGTTTTTCCTTCTAGTTATTTAACGCAGTCACGACCTATTCTGTTTGTCTGGAACCACCTGTTTCTTATTGTCTGGTTGGGGGCTACTCTACACTACCCTTTTTTTTTCTTTCTTTTTGTCTCTTCTATATATGCATGTTGCCTAAGGCTTCATCATTGTTCCCATGTTATTTCTATATCTTTTTCTACATTTTCTCATTCATCTGATACTCTTGTCTCTTTCGAGATCTCTATTGGTCTGAACCCATCCGACCCTATTCGGTCTACTACCATCTGTATTGTATGATCCTTGGGCGAGGTTACCCTGCCCACCTGTTTATTTACAGTCAAGTTTGTTTGCGTCTAAGTATGATCCTTGCACTTATTGTCTTCTCGTAAACAGTACACAGAAAAAGAGCCATCCACTCGAGCCGACAGGATTTCAGGTTACATGGATTTGATTTTCTTGATTTCCATCTATCCTATTCCGGCGTCCGTTGATAACTAAACCGATCGACATGTCAACTCCCAATGAGGCAAAGCAACATTCCAATGGGCGAGGCTAAACTATATCCGGGGCCCTGTGACGCAAACGACCCGGGCGGGCGGATGGAGTTGTGTACAACTTGGATGATTATGGGGATTTATGGGGGTGATGAAAGAGATCCGGGAGCAAGGATTAAGATCTAAGCTTAAATATCTAGATCTTGTGATTGCAGATGGATTGTCTATATAGTTGTAGATTGTGATTGGGGGACAAATAATAACGCTTTAGTGAGTTTCTATGTGAGTACATACGGAGTACGGAGTACACAAGAAAGATATGCCCGCCCCCCGCATCATCATTGTCAACAGAGAGAGTAACAGTTCATGTTTAGCTATCGTCTAGAAAGGGAACCTTAGATCACATAGTTGTTTACTAATAGTGCATTGATGTCCACAATGATCCTGAATCCACTCTCTTTTCTAGCGTAGTACTTGTCCCTTTCTAGAGTTGATTCTAGTCTATTGCGTCCTGCACTCGGAAGCATCCTCAATCCCACGCTGGGATCTCGTTACAGTGGTATTGGTATTACCACCACACTTCCTACCAGTTCACAGTACATTTACTACCATTCAAACCATACCATTACACTCTCGTGACCAGACTCCACCACTGTTTACGGCCAACGGGCGCTCTTCTAACTTATTCTTCAACTGTCCTGCCTTCCCTCTTTTCTCTCCGGACATCGAGTGGTTCTTCTTCTCTGATCCTCTCTTTCTTCTTTGTCTCTCCATCTTCTCCATCCTTAGATCTCCTATCCCACCCTTTCCCCTATCCCCTCGGTACATCATTCCTGGAACTTGGCCCTGCAGTGGCTGGTGCGGAACTCTGACCTCACTCCCCACGCGACAAGGCGGTCACCCCCAAACAGACGCCATCGCGTCGATCGTAGGGATTATCGATAATCAACTTCCAGCCACACCACTTTCCACTCCAGACCTTGGAGAACTTCATCGACCAAGCACACCCTCGGGTCTCTTTGTTTATTGTTGTCCCGAATCAACCGGGGTATATCGTCTCTCTTACTCCCGTGCCTCTTTTTGTTCTTTTTTTTACCCGCTAGAACGCAGTCGCGGTGGCGAATTGGTTCAATCAGTGGTTCGGAACAACGCCTCATTCTTTGGTTCTACCTCTGAGCGTCTTTCTCCGAGACTGGACCGCTGAAATCCGGATCCAGACTTGGCTCTGTTGTGATTTTTCGCCTTTTCTCGCATCTTTGCCTCTGACTGACCCTTGCCCCGTCGTTCTCTTTTCTCCCCCGCGTTGAGTTTCGCGGGTGTTTCGACTTTGATCTTGGCTTTGGATTCACCCACAACATACCAGCCTCCCGAGAGAAGAAAAAAAAAATAATCGCAGCAACTCGGTCTGCGACTCGCTTCATAAAGCACACACCCTGTATACAAACAGTCTGAAATACCGGTGAAAAAAAAGGAACTCGCCTCGCCGGAAATACAAACAACAGACGAAACCATGCCGCTGTCAAATCGCCGTCGTGCGCGGCGCAAGGAAATTCAACTGCAGGAAACATCCGACGCCGAGGCTCCAGACTCGTCGCCCAGCCGCCCATCCGCAAAGAAGCGCAAGGTGAGTTTAATCCGCAGTTATGGTCCGGTCTGAGACCGAATCCTCCCCCCGCGCGTGCCCCGCGTCAGGATGAAAAGGAATGCTGAGACGAGAATCCTAAACCCCACAGGTTGATCGCCGCGCCTCTCCCACACGAACTGCTGTCAAGAACGAGTCCGCCGACGAAGCCGAGGACTCGGCGGGCGAACATGATCAATCCGCGCACCAGGATATTGTCGACCTGGTTATATCGTATTTGAACACCCCGCGCGAGGAACTGCGCGTCTCGCGCGACCATTCCAACACCAAGACCGAGAATAAGCAGAGTATTCAAGCATACGCCAAGATCGCTGGTCGCAACTGGACTTACTACGTCAAGACGCTGCATGTCAATATCGGCCGTGAACCGGATCGTGAGCAGAGATCGACCGAGCAGTCTAGTCCCGTCACCATTGCTGCCCGTGCGCTTCCCGATGTGCATGTTGATCTGGGTCCCAGCAAGTTTGTGTCTCGCCTGCACGCCGAGATCTTTTATGATGGCGAGGAGACGCCTGCTTGGCACATCCGCGTCAACGGTCGTAATGGTGTTCGTCTGAACAATGTGATTCTCAAGCGCGGTGCCGATGCCATTCTCCACTGTGGTGACATTATCGAGGTGGCCAACTGCCAGATGATGTTTGTCACGCCCGGTGACGACGCCAACATCCAGCCCAGCTTTATTGAGCGCGCTCAGCGCATTGCCAGTGGCCAGGAGCCTGATCCAGCTTCACAAGCGTGGGATGCCTCCCAGCATGCGCACCCCTCGGCATCGCAGGCCACCGAACCTATACGGCCATCATCGTCTGGTGGTCCCTCGCTAGCCCCAGCACCACAATTCCTGAAGCGCCAGGTCACCCCGCCACCACGATCGCCGGATACCGCTGGTCAGCGAACGGCCAAGCAGTCTCCACTCTACAACCGAGGCATGATGATGGAGAGTACGGAGGAGATTGACTACAGCAAGGACTCGGCTAAGGACCTGAAGCCGCCATACAGCTACGCCAACCTCATTGCACAGGCTATCTTCTCCAGCGAGGAGGAGAAGCTTACGTTGAATAGCATCTACAATTGGATTATGGATCGCTATGCGTTTTACCGACACTCGCAGAGCGGCTGGCAGAACTCTATTCGTCACAACTTGTCATTGAACAAGGCGTTCCAGAAGGTGCCTCGTCGAACTGATGAACCCGGTAAGGGAATGAAGTGGCAGATCGCCGTCGAGCACCGTGAGGAATACCGCAAGAAGCAGATGCGCAAGGGTACTCAGTCATCAGCACCATCGTCCCCAGCTACCAAGGAACCTCCGTCTTCCGCGCGGGGAACCCATGTTGTGGCGTTGGACACATCCTTCTCGGCCACGGCCAAAAAGTCCCCTCCGGTGTCATCTCCTGGCTTCAGCTCGTTTCCCGTGGCCCCTGTTGAGGCATACACCCCCGAACGTGGGTCTCGCGGTGGCCGTGGAGTCGGATCTGACCACCCATTGCGACACATGAACCCACGCGACTACGAGGAGCCCTCCCCTTTGCCTGCACGCTCGCACAATGGCAATACCAATGCGAGTTCCAGCCGCGTGCAAAACAGCAGCAACAGCCTCAGCCGTGCCTACGGATTATCTGACAATGTGGCCGGGTCCCCACCTGTGCTATCCTCCTCTTACTACGACGAAGGCCCTTCCTCAATGATCACGCCCGCTCCTCAGCGCCAGCAACCACGTCTACCACCGCCAAGCACGGCACAGATTCCATCAAAGTTCATGCCGATGAGCTCGCCGGCGCAGTTCTGGAAATTTGCCGATATCGGTAGCACTCCTGCCCGGCCCGTGCCGGATATGAGTCCGCTCAAGGGTGAGCCGGATGAGCGTATCATTGGCGGTTTCCCGAGTAGTAGTCCGCCTCCTCCGAATCTGGTGAGTCCGAGTAAGCCTGGGACGTCAAATGGTCTCGGCTCGAGTCGGACTTTGCCGCCTCTACAGTCTGATGGTCCATCAGATTTGGGGGGTCATGGGCCGATTAAGGAAGAGCGGATGCACGAAGAGGATGAAGATGATGGAGGTGGTTTTGACCTAGCTCGGTGTGTATTTATTTCTTGTGTTTGATGAAAGGAGGCTGTGGCTAACTTTTTGCAATAGTGGATTCCAGCCCATCGGCTCGTATCATCGGCAGCTTAGCAATGCTGCCCGGGCGACTGCTACTTAACTTTGACAAAGTACAAAGCTCAAGTCGCCTCGCCTTATCTCTGATGATGTATAACATGTTGAGTAAGATCGTATTTTTTGGTTCTTTTTGGGATTTTTTGGTCCTCGGAGCTGCTCGCTCGTTTGATGTCTTTTGGTTACATCTCGTCGCGCTCCGCATACACCGGTGTTGGTGACTTGTTTTGATTATTCTTATTTTTACACTTTTTTTTGGGCTTTTTGGTATTCCTCTCACTTTCTCCGTTGGTTTGCACGGGAATGGAGAATGGAGTTTTGTTTTTCCTTTTATCTCTTCTTTTGGAGTTTATGGGGATTTTGTCTGATGTCCGGGGTTTGCTGGCGTTTGGCTGCTTCGATGGACCTCGTGACTTTGGCTTTGGCTGTTTTTTGTTATTGTGTGGTTCTCTGTTCTCTGTTTGCTGGTTAATGTGTACGTGTTACGTGTTTATTTATCTTGGTGGCATGCCATTCGTGGTGGCTGTGTAGGTAGGATGGGTCTCCAATGTATGATATATCCATACAAGAAGTGTCTGTCGTAGGGTATACAATGAAGAACTGAAGTTAAATGGGCTTATGATTGCCATGTTGATCGCGTCTCTGCTAAACTTGATATATCGTAGTTACATACCCTCCATCACAGTCCACGGGTCTTTTTAATCCATATCGGGCCAAAACCTCTCCTCCAACCAAACAACTTGCTTCCACCACTCCAAACACCTCGCCCTCAAAACCTCCGTCTCCTCAACCCCCTTCATCTTCCCAACCATCTCATCCAAAACATCCCCAATCCGATTAACAAACCCCTCAAATTCCTTACTCGACCAATTCGGAATAAACTTCTCCCTCAACGCGCCCCCATCCGCATCAACATCCGCCTTCCCCGCCGCCGCCTTCTTCTTCCCATAAGAAGCCGCATACCTCCACGCCCGGAGATAACACACCTCCGTCGCCCACAGCACAGCTATCCCTCCAACGCGCTCACACCAGGACTACCCGCAGACATAAACATGTCGATGTATGCGCGGGTGATACGGTTCGCGGCGAAGAAGACGGGGCCTTGTTCGGGTGGTGCTGCGCTGGTGAGACGCGATGGTTGACACGGTTCGCAGTCTGGTGTTGTCGGCGCCGCAGATGTGCCGGTGTGTCCGGTTGGCGGACTACAGATCTCACTACCAGCCTGCATCTGACACTCGCCTTGCGATTTACAAAGATTATGTAAATTTTCCCTGGGATTCGTGGTCGAATTCTCATTAATCTCGCCCGACTCCGCCTGGGACACAGAATTATTCGTCGCACCACAAATCGCCCCCGTAAACCCCGGACAAGAACCAGACCCCGTCGTCGAAATCGCACCAGATCCACCGCCCTCATCGGGTGGGATCGCAGTGAGATCGAGACCGTACTGGACAGCGGTAGATTCGAAGAAATGCAGTTCTGTGCGGATATTGACGAGCGCGTCGATTAGGACGTCGATGATTGTTTGTTCGATTGTTGGGTTTACCAGGGTTTCGGTGGATGGGGTGTTTGCTGGAAGACGGATTTTTGTGAGGAGCATTCCTATAAACCGGATGTAGGATTGCGCGTAGAGACGGTCTTGGGAGAGCCATTGGGAGAGGGTTTCTTTGGATAGAGTGCCGGAGCCGGCGGCGGCGAGGAAGGGGTGGGTTGTTGCTCTTTTGAGGGCTTGGGGGGTGGCGGAGAGGAGCCAGCTTGTTAAAGGGCCTTGGGTGGTCATTTTGGGACAGATATGCGGTAGATTGGGTACTACCCGATAAGGAGGGTAGAAGGAAGGTGTGTGAGAGGAACCGTGAGGTCTTGGAGGGATGGTATAAATGTGTGAAGTTATAAAAAGCTTAAAATGTTGAGGGAATGAGGAGGGGCAAGCTGAAGTGGGGCGCGGGGCATATGTACATAGTAAGAATACCGTAGTTATGTAGTTATGGCGTCAGTGAGGGAAGGATACATTAACTTTGATTTACACATAGAACAAAAGGATCCGTTGAAATTGACGCCGAAAATGACGGCTCCTGGTACCAGAAACGACCGTCTTTCCACCGATACTGTAACTTCCATCAGCAGGCCACTACTCGACCGTATGGCTCTCGACCACGATTACAAGCTCGGCGAATTATGGACTTAGCTTCTGTTTTTGTACTCCAGTACAATTCTGACTGTCGCAATAGTCTGCAGCTAAGTAGTGAACTTCACTCTTGGCGAAGGTCTGGGATAGCAAATTTTTCTGCTTCAACTATTTCCTCGACTTCTACCATATCATCTAGCGATCTCTGTTTCAGGCGGGGAGGCGTCTAACCATCATGCGGGGGTCAAGAGAATTTGTGGCCAATCGAAGGGTGCACCAAAGCCGAGCAGGCAGTTCACAGTTGAACAATCCGAGTTAACATGTCACTGATCAAGCTGCGTCTCAACAACCATGTGACGAACTGCCATCGCTTTTTGGAGGCTGGCCCAAAATAGAGCCGCATTCTTCCCAAGAAACTACGGAGTACTCGTTCGTACTAACCGCCGCCTGCCACGCCACTGTTTGGGCAGCCGCCGCCCCACCTGACCGCCTTAGAATATTCACCAGAATCACAATTGCGGGGCAAGCCTGGCGCTTACAACTCTTCTAAGAGTATAAATATCCGTTCGAAGCTCTGAAAAAGCCCTTGGAATATTCTCCTTCTTCTTCTTCTTCTTTCTCATCATCATCATCACCATACGAACTTAGCTATGGCTGAAGCAGTCGGGCTAGCATCTGGAATCCTTACTTTGGCGTCGTTTGCGTTTCAATGCAGTGTCTCACTTTACCAGACAGTGGACAGCTTCCGTTCCCATCCGAAGCGTGTGCGTGAACTTCTCGACGAGCTGGAAGCTTTAAGTGCTGTGCTCTCTCCCCTCATCGAACTGGTGAAGTCAAATTCAGGCGTCGATCTCTCATTCCTGAACCTGCCGCTATGGCGATGCGGAAATGTTTGCAAAGAGTTCCAGCAGGAGGTTCTCAAATGCGCATCGCGGTCAAATAGTAGCCGGGCAAGCTTCCGGGATTGGGCCAGATTGACGTATATGGGTGATAATATTGCCGATTTCCGTGACTTGCTAGCGGGATATAAAGCCACGATCAATATTGCCTTAACCGATGCCAACCTGTAAGTCACGTCAGGCCGCAATCACATCATCTTCTCCTCAGTGAGCTTCCTCTTTTTGATGGTGTCTGATTTTTCATTAGGCGTCTATCAGCGGCTACATTTGAAAATATCGAGGAGTACGAGAGTCTTATCCAGGATGCGAAAGAGGACCTAAGCTCTCGACTCGAAAGCATTGATAGGAAGTTGGAAGAACTGACTGAGAAGGGTTTAAATCAACCTGGAACAGATGCAGCCGAGATGCGCTCTCTGAGAGAAGAGCGCTTGAGTACAGAGAAGTGCCTTCAGATCTGTGCCCAGTTGTCCAGCCATATCGACCAGATTCAGCTGATGTCCGACGAGGCGGGTTCATCTCTGGGATCAGGCGGAGCTGAAACGTCACCCGAACGAGTCACAAATGAAGGCCTACAAGAATGCAAAAATAGCTTGGCTACGACCGCTACTAAGTTGGAAAAGCATATGCGAGATGTTATGGATCGGCTACTCGCCAAATCAAACTCTGATGAAGATTGTCAAGATCTATCCAGGCTGCGTGATGAATGGGAAACCGCCCGACAGTGCTTGGATATTTGCACACGGGCGGATAGTCACTTAAAGGAGAACGTCAGCATTATCGAAAATCACGGCAATGGTGACTCGCTACAGTTCATGGTCTCCGCAAATGGAAAAATTCTTCACGGAAAGAACCGGGGTATGGGTTGGAGGAACACGCAGGTGGGAGGCTACATGAGCAATCAGTCAGTCCAGCAGTTATCACGAGACCTCGCGGCTATTCATACTCGTCACTTGAGGAGTGACCTATCCAACTCAAAAGATGGTTTCAAGTCAGATGCCGGCGATGTGGGGGAGGGCACGACGACTACCGAATTTAAGGAACGATATGGGCGAGGCTTCACTCTGGAACCACTGCACACGTCAGACAGAGAGACATCTCAACGCAGTGCGAGCAATTAGTGCGTAGAGGTTCTAGGTGGCGAAACATGCCACTAGGCTGGAGAGGAACTTGCTTTGTCGGTAAACTAGCTGGTCTGTTGAGAGATTTCGTTCTTTTTTCACATTTAATATATCAGTGTATGCGTTTTCCTTCTTCACCACAAAGGTTTGTAGCTTAAACGCCAACGTACTGGGTTATGCTATCATACCAGCATGACCGACAAAGATACTTGAAAAAGAGATTGCGGCTCCCTCATAACTTTGCTAGAGATGATAAGATGCCTATACGGACTGAAATGTGAAGATTACAAGTATCTGTAGTAGGGCTATGCTTCTTGTTGCAAAGGTGTGATGGCGATCCAGTGGGTGACGTTCGGGGCGGGCGTGTGTCCAATGGCGGATAATCGTTGCATCGTTGAGGTTGAAATATTTTGTTGCTGTTGATGCTCAAAACTTTTGGGTACTCATGCATCTGAGTGAGATATGGGGGGGCAGAACAAGCTCGTGTAAAGTCAGTATATCGTATTTTCAAGAACAACACTCTAACAGAACGCTCGATGGAAAGTGTCCTGGAACCTCCGTGAGTCTACCGTTCTTTGCTTCTTTGACTGCAGGCTGTAATACAGTTGAATTATGTCTTTTCTGTACGGCTAGTCGGGATGGTTGCGAGAGTAGCGGCTGTGGTAAGGTAGGTACTAGTAGAGGATCACTAGGAAGTACAAGTATTTGCGGTCTCGGCTCGGTTCTCTCGTCTAATATAGAAGCGGCTGAATGATGGTTAGTGTTTGGAAGATCGAATGACGGTAGCGGAGTCGAAATTGGCTGCGGAACTGGTGCTAGAGGCGTAAAAAGCGATCCCCTTTCTAGTACAAACTTTTTAGTCTCGCCGGGGCGTTGAAACGAATTAACAAATAGGTCAAACATAGTTATACGTAAGTTGCCATCATCAACAGGTGCTTGCACAACGGTTGATCTTCTAGACCGGCAATCGAAACAACGCATCACCCCAGTCCGAGCAGGAAAAGGAGTTCCACAGTCATAACAAGGACGAGTATCAATAAGAAGAGGCTGGACAGATAGTCGAGTTTGACAAAGCGCACAGCGAAGATCGTGTGAAAGTGCAGGAATCGGAACATGGCAACTCAAGCAGAGACGCGTTTCAACCAGAGGCGGCAAAGAAGCTAATCGACAAGCAGGACATCGCGGTGGTTCGATGGTCACAGATAGACGAACTCGGCGACCACAATCATGACAAGATCGAAGAGCTAACATGCTGGAGCCGTAACATATATGGGAAGCTATATTATAAGTAGAAATTGTTATGTGTAAGTAGCAGACTGAGAATCGGTAATAGATGAGACGTTACGTCAAGGGACCACTCTGCATAGGACAAAAGTGTCACTAAGCGGAAAGATAAACACAAATGGATTCCCACCAATAGCTAAGCTGGGTATTTTCCACCTAGCCGGAGTAAAGAGTACTACACAGTCATAGCGTTCATAGAGTTACGGAAGACAGCAACCGAAGCCGATTGGATCTAATTGAACCATAAATAGACCGAACAATCGAATCAAACTATAAAGCTAAGTAACTGTAACCGAAGTTCCGACAGTGTACTCTCACATACTAGTGAAGCTGTAAAGCCTCGTGGACGAGCGAAAGCCAAGCTAAGGATTCCACAAGCCAGCAAATCAGCGACGCCTCCCGTGGAAGTTAATATCAATGCCTTAAGAAAACTAAAGCCAAGAAGAGAGTGGAACCCAAGAGCTAAGATGGATAGAGAAGTCGACGAGCAAACATACAACGTAGCCAGGATAGACTCGAGCGAGGCAGAATACGACGAATCAGCGGCGAGAACGGGCAAGGGTTTTGCAGTATACGAACGCAGCCACCTTCCAAAACACCTTTCAAAAACACAAGGGAAAAAACATACAACAGCCAGGATTCGCATGTGGTCACCCACCATACTACTAACTGGCCGGCGTGTGGCTTAAGTACGGCTGAGCGGACGGGAAGCCCTGTTCTCCACACCCTATGGTCGTATGTGCTATACATCAACTTATAGTGGATGATAAAAACATCACAAACTATTGTGGAATCACTGCGAAAGTGAAGTGGAGCTAGGTGATAATAAAGTCTAACGCAGGTACACACGTATGTTCGGTAGGATCAGCTAATTATACATACACCAAGTTACGTGGCAAAGTGCGGCGTAGAGTCAGATGATTAGACGTGCATAGATGGAAAAATATATCCGTAAAGTCAAAAGAGTGGGACATCCGCTGAAACTAGGCAGGATCAAAAATAAAACAAAAATCTCACAAAAGAGCTAATCAGGGTAAGTTTTCTTGTATGAGGTAATAGTCGAAGATATCGGGCCTAGCGGGGGTGCGAGGAGCCAAGACTAAACGTTCGTAGCGTGCTTATAGTTGCGGAAGATAGTAGCTGAAGCCGATTGGATCTATTTGAATCAGTGATTATGAATAGACCGAATAAAAACCGAAGTTCCAACATCATTCAGTATACTCTCACATGTTAGGAAAACTGTAGAGCCTCGTAAATGAGCGAGGGATTTCACAAGCCAGCGAATCAGCAACGCTAAGCGCGGAAGCTAATATCGATGCCTTAAGAAAACTTAGGTCAAGAAGAGAGTTATCCAAGCAAGGACGGGCTAGCATGAGCCAGTCATAGAAGGGGAATATAGACAGAAGTGCGGCACGAAGCCCTAGAACCCTAAGAGCTAGGATAGATAGAGAAGTCGACGAGCAATCATAAAACATAGCCAGGATAGACTCGAGCGAAGCAGAGAACTTCTTGGCGTCGAAGTTGACAAACTAGCGGCGAGAATGGTCAAGGGTTTTGCAGTACGAACACAAGCCAAACTTTGCGGGCAGGTCGTGCAGGGTAGTAACCCCTTCACTCGTTCCTCGTTTCAGGGCATTCACATGTCCCCAGTATTACACCCTAAATTTAAGCTTAATCGGTTTGGCTTAGTTCATGCAACTATCAAGAGACTAAGACTAGCTAGCTAATGCACTCTCAGATCTTGCATCTCTTACCATTCCGACGAAGAAACTTCCGCCTCCTGCACAACCACCTGCTGCTCGGTCTTCTCTTCCTCAACTATCTTCCATTCGGGGTCTTCTTCCTCATCAGAGACTTGCTTTGGTTCCATTTTCTTTGCAGCCAATTCCATCGCCATCCGAATCAGAGCTTCCAACGTGTAACGGGCATCGTTACCCGCATTGTGTAAGAACTCAGGTTCAAGTCCCAGCTGAATCAAGATAGTCTCCAGCTTGCTCGGATTTTTCTGCGTTCGTAGCCTCTGAAAGAGCTCTTGGGTGTCCAGCAAACTGCGGATGAGCTTCTGGGGCCGCAAGTCCATAGAATTGAAAATGGTGCATCTCTCTGCAAGCATTTTGATATCTGCATCGGGATTGTGACCGACGAGGACAATGTTGCGGGTTACCAATCTGTGCTCTGGGAGATCTGGTCGGTTCTTATCCTCGGTTCCATCGTACGGTGTGGCGAAGAACAAGTCAGTTCGTCGACCCATTTGCTCGTTCGGGACGATTTCGCTCTTGCCGAAGAGGAACATATCCGGGTATCCCATCACGAACTGGCTGTTGCGGAAGTTTTTGTACTCGGCGGTGCGTAGATGGGCTGACTTGATGTGCTTAACCCAGTTCTCGCCGTTAACTCCTGGAGGAATGCCACGAATGTCAAGAGTATCCAGCATGGAAATTCCGATCTCGGTCAATTGGGTAAAGTTCCGCTCATTCCATTCCACGTCAACGCTGTAGAAGATAGGGCTATCTTGAGGTTCCCAGCGAACAGGCTCAAGCAAATTGACTGGATCATAAACCTCGCCCCCGTTGAGCCAGTTGTCATCGTAGAGAGGCGGTCGGAGCCCAAGGAAGGACATGAGATGATACAAGCCGCGACCTGGGGGTTGTTGAATCATTCGCCACTCAAGTTCATCTTTGAGTGGGTTGGGGACCCGTGACTTTGGCTTGATTTTCTTTTTCTTGTAGGCTAAGATGGCTTCATGGACTTTCTTTGCAAATGCCCTCACGGCTGCCGGCTCACATTTTTTGGTCCAGTTTTCATCACCACTCTCAGGCTCGGGAATGCTCTTCTCGGCAATGTCTAGACCCCCACGGTTCTCGATTCGGCCGTGAAAGACCGGCTGAGGGGTTCCATCATTGGCGTCGAAGAACACCACCAGACCTTCTTGGTTTCTTTTCAAGGAGATGTCGCAATTTAGCTCGTAGTTAATTTTGTCAAAAAAGTCCTTCACCTGTAGCGCCGAAATGAGCAGAAGGGGTTGCTCGGTGATACTCCACGGAATTGGCAGGTAGTACCTATATCATGTTTAGACATTGTCTGCCGCTTCCTTTCTTCAGTTATTTGATATGTACTTACACCTCCCATAGTCGGTTCCAGATCGCACCACCGTCAAAGTACTCCCTTGCGATTTGCTTGGACAAAGCCCCTCCCTTGGGGAGAACGTACTTGAAGGGAAACTTAGGTAGCGCTCTGGCGGGACAAAAGGCATTGCGGAGTTCCCACTCGGGAATTTTGGTATTCATGCGAGGGGACGAATTGGGTTTTGTCTGTGTAACGGGTTGTGGTTCGATGGCAGGAACGACGGGAGGCATCGTGGAAGGCACGGTGGCAGGAACGGTGGTCTCCGGAGTCTCTTGAACAGGCTAGATATATATTCATAAGGCATGATCTTGAGGGGCACATGTCAATGGTTCCTCACCTGCGAAGGGCTCTCATTCCATGGGTCGTGAGTAGGTCCATCCTGGAACAAATTCCATCAGATAGTGTTTAAAAAAGAAAGATATGGGTTCACTTACTTGAAGAGTCAGTCGAGTGTCCAGATGTAGGAGCTCCTCGTCTCCCGCGAACATCATTTGCAGGCGCTTAGAGCGGCTAACCATGATGACGTGTTGATGATGAGGATGAAAGAGAAAGGAAGAGTGGAAAGCGCGATGGGAGTTGAAAAGGAGAAGAAACTGATGAGTGGGGTGGAGGTACAAAACGATCGCGACGGGTTAGGAAGGAAGGAGATGAGGGCTAGAGATGCCGGATGGTAAAAAGATAAGGGTGGTGCAAAAAGGAGGATGAGCAGGATTCTCGCTTGGTGAGGTTGAAAAAAGATTCCTCAATCTTTGTTCCTCTAAATGCTATGTTTAGAGACCTAAAGCTGTGCAAGAAGCTAGACATTCGGATTAAAAGTTGGTGAAGTATGCAGTCACGAGGGTACCGCGGGCGAACACTCCCTACTAAACTTAGTAACAGCTATAAATGACCACCAGTATCTGCACTTAGTGGATACCTACTGCCTATGACCAATATATATGGTAGATATTTAGTCTGCAACTTGTCAGGCTGACATCGCGGGCCATGACATGTACATGGAAAGCTACATTGTGTTACATACTTTTCAGATACTTCCAGGCCGGTTATTTCTTCTCAATTACAAGAACAAGACTCTATGAATTATCTTAACCCCATTCGAAGCACAGGATTATTTGTTCATCGCTCAAATGTTCCAAAATAAGAGATTCATAGCATAGTACCCGATTAGGAAAGCGGGTCACATGATTACCCCGGAATAACGATCGTCCGCGGTTGTTTGCACCGACAGCTGCGCGTTCGACGGTGACCTCGTCTATCCATGTTTTTCCCCCGCGGGGTTTCGTCTGCTTCTCTTGCATCCTCTACTACCCCATTGTCTCTTTGTTGCATCCCCTGAACGTGCTGCACGTTCTGTGGGAGACGCGCTCCCGGGCAACCCGGCAAGATGGCCCTGACCGACGAGACTGACCACAGTGGCGGGGTCATTCTCGATGGCCCCTTCGATCCGGACGCGCAAGCCACTGTGACAGACTTCATCGATTACACCGAAAACCTTCCTGCGGATATCATTCGTTCCCTCACCCTGGTCCGCGGCCTGGAGGACCGATACCTCGACTCGGCGCAAGACGTCCACAGCCTGACCAGAAGCTATGGCCAGCTTCCTTTCCTGGCCTCTGACCAGCGTCCGAGCGCGATCAGTATGCGCAAAGATATCTCCCGTCACCTGGACCGCGCGATCAATGCCCGCGAATCTGCCTCCGCCGAGGCCAACCGATTGTACGACGTCGTGGACCGCCATTTCGACCGCCTGAGCTGTATCCGACAGAAGCTGGAAGCCCTTCCTAAACCTCCATCCAGAGAGCCAACGCCACTTCCAGAACCCACACCCAAGCGAGTACGCAAGGACAAGAAAGAGGGCGCGTCCACCACACGTATCACCCTCCGGCTGGATAACACCAATCAGAACGGTAAGCGCAAGAAATCTAGATCACGCCGATCGGGCATCGCCGCAGAACATCTAGTAGGCTTCAATCCGGATTCACCTATCGCAAGCACAGAGCAGTCGGACGCGGAGGGAGAGTTGGACATTCCACCCAAGCCGGTCAAAGCGCCGAAGAAGGAAAAGCCGCGCCGACCCAGCTCAGGCGTAGCGGTCTCGACGAGCAATGCTCTTGCACTGCTAAAGCCACCACCAGAGGATGCCAAGATTGGCAGTGAGGATCTGCCATGGATGCGACTCACCGAGTGGGAGATGACCAAACTGCGCAAGAAAATGAAGAAAAATGCCGTATGGCAGCCTAGTGATATCATGATTCAGCGTGAGTTGGTGCTTTCCGGCCGTGGGTTAGAAGCCTACCGGGTCGCGAAAGCGTTGGCTAGGGAGAATGGGACTGCATTCATCGATTGTGATGCAGAGGAGAACAACCGCATTGATGCGGCTGCTAAGGACACCGACGGGAGCACCCAAACGAGCAATCGTGGGATGAAGTTGAACGAAGCCAAGAAACAGAAACGTGAGGCGGCGGCCAGAGAGGCGGCGGCCAACGGCGGAGAGATTCCGACCCCAAGCAAGCTCATTGTCAGCTCCAATCAACCCACCCCAGCTAGTCGATCTTCACGAAAGCGCAAACGGGATGAGGCTGCTGGCGGGAAAGTGAAAGAAGCCGTCGCTGCTCCGGTTCCACGTGCAGTCCCTGCTCCCGTTGTCACTGAAGCCGTGGCTCCCAAACCCGAACCCGTGCCCCAAGCCGAGCCGGAACCCGTAGTTGCAACTGCACCTGTCTTGACTTCGTCAAAGTCGCGCCGGAAGTCCAGCCGAGGAGGGAATGCTAACGGTGGGGTAGATGCAGCTGCAGCTGTTGCGCCAATCAAGACACAAATGTCACCCGCCGCCGAGGTCAAAGCCTCTCCTCCACCTTCCCCAACTGGATCACGTCGCTCGACAAGATCAGCGGCACAGCCTGCGGCTACACCCACTCCCCCAGCCACTAGACCCTCGTCAAGACGCTCCGCTGCTGCTGCATCCATTGAGCTGGGAGGTCTGGGAGCAGCTCCAACCCCCGCGGTCACTGGTGGACGGGACTTGCGTATCAAAAGCGCAACTCCAGCCCGCAAGACTCCCGTTAGAGAACCCTCTCGGGCACCCAGTGTTCCTGGACTCAATCGCAAGCGCAAGCGCCCTGCTCCAGGGCCCGTTTCTTCTGGCCAAGATGGCGGCGCTGCTGTTAGCTACGGACGTCGCAAAGCGAAGCCAGGCAAGAAACGCATCAACGTTAGCAACTCACAGGATATCCGGGTGGACGAAGACGGGGTTTTGGAGGAGATTGATGCCAATGAGCCACGTTACTGCCTGTGCGGAGATGTGAGTTTCGGCACGATGATTTGCTGCGAGAACCAAGATGTGAGTTCTTTTCTTTCTTCATGTCGATCTCTTTGTGACGATACTAACCCCTCTCAGTGCGAATATGTGTGGTTCCATCTCGAGTGCGTTGGGCTTTCGGAAGTTCCTTCACGCACCGCTAAGTGGTATTGTCCCGAGTGTCGGGTTAAGTTCGACAAGGGACCGGATGGAATCGTGAAGGGTGGATCTCGGCGTTGAACTTGGGAGGTTGATTCATTGATTGATTATTTTTTCTTGTATGATACCATGTGATATTATTGGGAGACTTGCGGGATTCTGATTTTGTTCTTTTATTGGCTTGGGAGGAGTTGGATCGAGTACGGAGTTTGTTCTCAGGTAGGGACCCCAGTGTCGGGACCCTTTTAACTAGCAATTCAATTCTTCTTGTGCCTTTAGTCTTGGGCGTTTCTCTTTTCTAAGAAACACATAGTATACGACATTGGTTAACTTGCTAAGGTTACTTTCAATTCATGGGCTGTATATACTAAAATCCACAATTTTCCTTTAATTACACGTGGTCATTCTTCACTTGAGCTCCCACTTTCCATTCTCGCTGATAATCTCAACCGGCCGGCGCTCATCCAGCGACTTACGACCAGCATCCAAGATAGCAGTGGTGCCAATGGTGTTCTTCAGGGTCGGCAGGGGACGAGCATCCAGCTGGTCCAGAGTCACGCGGCCCTCATTGACGGCCGTCACGGCGTCGATGAACTTCTCGAAGCTGATGTAGCCGTAACCGGTCTGGCCGGCGAAGTTGCCTTCTTCATCGGGGGCGTAACGCATGTAGAAGCTGAATTGGAATGTTAGTCTCTTCTGCAATTATTTGAGTGTAAATGTATGGGTGAAGGGGGATACGTACGGGTTGTACCAGGTGAGACCTTGATCATCGCCGGTCACGTCATAGCCACGCTTGGCCTGGTTCACGCGGATCTCGCCGTTGGCAGCCATATCTGTAGAATTGTGTTAGCATGAGCTTCACTAGTAGGGAATGACCACGAGGGAAAGGAAAACCTACAGTGGAAATACTGGTTCGAATGCACACCCGCATTCAACGGCGCAGTCCAGCTGGCCGTATACACACCCGTCGCAATCTTAGCCGGGTCATCCTTACGCCGCCACTCAACAAGCAGCGTAATCGTATCCTCCGTCTCAGGCACACACCCCACCGCCGCAGCCGTACCCTGGGACGCCGTCGCCGACACCCGCACAGGCTTATACTCCGGCACCATACTCTCACAGATATCAATGTGGTGCGAGTTAAGGTAATAAGAGATATCCGAGTCACGACCCGCCCACGCCTTGAACGTCTCCAACTGACTCTTCGGCTGACTCATGTAGCTGTAGAAGTAGTTGAAGTCGCCGAGGGACTTGGCCTTGGCGCGGGCGTCCGAGTAGGCCGGGTCGAAGCGCTTGTGGTGCTCGACGAAGACGAAGACGCCGGCTTTGCGGGCGGCTTCGACGAGCGCGAGGTGGTCGGATAGACGTTGGGTGGCGGGTTTGGTGATGAGGACGTGGTGGCCGCGCTCGATGGCGTAGAGGGCGATTGGGTAGTGTGTTGAGTCGGGGGTGAAGATGGTGATGGCGGAGCCCTTGGGGAGGGCGTCAATTGCCGTCTTGTAGGCGTCTGGGTCGGTTTGGTCGTCGGCTGGGAAGGAGGTGAAGGAGGTGTCGAGGCCGTTATAGACTTGGGAGATGTTGCGGTGGAGATGGTCGCCTGAGTAAAGAGTGTTAGTTATGGGATTGTCTTATTTCAATTCTTGCTTTTCGTCTGGTTTGTGGCTAATACTTACGGATACCGGCGAACTTCTTGCCTGACACGCCTACCATGCTCAGATCACCGACTTTGCCGCGACGGCGCAGGTCGAACATGGTCAGACCGACCACGCCGACCTTCTTGTCTGAGCCAGACGCACCACCACCGACGAAGCCGGTGGTGTACTCGCCGGTGCCGACCTGGATTGTTCGTTAGCCGTTGCTAGTAGTTGCGAGGTGGGCCATTGTACTTACCATCAACACGCTAGGAGGAGCCATGATTGTTTCTTCTTGATAATACAGAGAATGAAAAGAAAAGAGAATGCGAGTTTGACGAGTAATGTAGGGAGGAGAGATTAGAAGAGGAAGGATAAAATGAATTGGGGGAGTCTCGTTGCTGGAGATAATTCTTCCGGCGATTGAACTGTCAATAGCCGACGGTTTTTATCTTATCGGGCGCGGGGTTAAAGTCTTGGAAGAGTGAAGGCAATTGGAGTTTGATTCTTGGATTCTTGATGTAGACATTGAAAGTGATATAAGCTATAAGACAGACCTTGATGCCATCGTCTATATCTCCAATTTTCATTCGAATACAATTTTCGTCCTCTCCCTCTTGTATACTCGGACTCCCTTCTACCACTTCGCCAGACATTCCCCCGAGCCCCTCCTCCGCGAAACTGCGTCCCCCACATTTCGTCATTCGTCGGTTATTGGTGGAAGTCAATTCTCCGCCATTCAGAATGCGTCGGAGAATCCCCCGACGTGGGGGGAATGTTGATGCCAGGCTGAATTGAAATGGACGGTTAAAAAGTAATGCATACAGCCCTTTTCTTCTATTTCATCATTGACCCCTCTTCAATTTCACTTCGTAAGTCTTGGTTGTTACTTTTGAACAATAGCTTCAACTAAACCCATCTCCAGCTTCATCATCATCCTAACTACTACCACCGCCATCATGCCGCTCACTCCTCTCCGCCCCGGCGTGTACGCGCCCACCATGACCTTCTTCAACCCCGACACTGAAGATCTCGACGTGGCCGCTATCCGCCGCCACGCCGTGCGCCTGGCCAAGGCCGGTCTAGTCGGCCTAGTCACCATGGGCTCCAACGGCGAAGCCGTGCATCTCACTCGCGAGGAGCGTGCTACAGTGACACGGGAAACCCGCTCCGCCCTCGACGAGGCCGGTTTCACCAACGTCCCCGTCATCGCCGGCGCCAGCGAGAACAGCATCCGCGGCACCATCGATCTATGCAAGGAAGTCGCCCAGGCCGGCGGTGAATACGCCCTCATCGTCCCACCTAGCTACTACCGCTACGCCGTGGGCAACGACGAGACCATCTACGAGTACTTCACCTCCGTCGCTGACGGTTCTCCCATCCCCCTCATCCTGTATAACTACCCCGGCGCCGTGGCCGGAATCGACATGGACTCCGACCTCATCATCCGCATCTCCCAGCACCCCAACATCGTCGGCACAAAGTTCACTTGCGCCAACACTGGAAAGTTGACTCGTGTCGCTACTGCCCTCGGCGCTGTCACTCCTACTTCCCCCCTCGCCCCGGCTCAACGCGCTGCTCCTACTGTCGCCAAGCCCGACGCAAAGCACCCCTACGTCGCCTTTGGCGGTATCGCCGACTTCAGTCTGCAGACTCTTATCTCAGGTGGCTCGGCTATTTTGGCCGGTGGTGCCAATGTGGTTCCCCGTTTGTGCGTGCGCATCTTCACTCTCTGGTCCGAGGGTCGTCTTGCAGAGGCTATGGAGGCGCAGCAGCAGTTGAGTGCGGCGGATTGGGTTCTTACCAAGGCTGCTATTCCCGGTACTAAGTCGGCGATTCAGTCGTACTATGGGTATGGTGGATATCCTCGTCGTCCTTTGGCTCGTCTGAGTGAGGCGCAGGCGAAGGAGGTTGCGGATAAGATTAAGGGTGCGTTGGATGTGGAGCTGTCATTGAAGGATGTGGCATAGATGCCCTTGGTGGTTTATGGGTATAAAGAATAACTATGTTGTATATGATCATATGATGACTTGAATTTGCTTTGCTGGACATATATTTGGTAATGCTGTTCCTCTGCTGAGGCACTAATAAAACGAGTAGAGAACTATATCCCTCTCTACAGACTTATACTACAAACTACCTAGTCAATCGACAATCGTAGCATCCTTCCCAAATTCCCAAGCCCTAACCACAAGCCCTACAAACCCCAGATCAACCCAGTCCCGTCTTATCAACGATAACCCCAAACGCGGGACGGGACGCATTTTCTCCCGCATCTCTCATTGGCGGAAAAATCCCCTTCAAGCACTGATACAACCATCCAAATGACCATCACCTTCTAGGCAAAAAAAAGTCCACCTCCGCGACATGCCGTCTATACGCGAAAAGAGTTACAGACAAGACCAGAAACCTAACATCCATAACTAAATAACTCAGTGTTGCTTTTATTCCCCCACGCTCAGAACACGGGATCTCCTCGGCACCCGTCAATGGCTTCCTTGCTCGGTCCCTCTCGTGCGAGAATGCTGCGCTTTGATTCCCGGATCTACTCCGATAGTTTGCCCGGTGGATACAAGCGCGGCACCTTGTCCGAGGTCGGTATACTGTACGCGGGGGTTTTGGTTTTGGTTCCGGGGCAATGAGTGACACGGGTTATTGACACCCCGGTGCAATTTATCCACTTTCTTGTTCTAAACAACTAAGATAGGCTATTCTTGATCTTGTGAGATGGAGAGTTTTTTATTGAATTTTTTTATTAATTGAATTTTTTTTTAGTGGTTAGGGGGGGAGGGCCCCAGGAGGGGGGGGGTCGGCTTTGATATACCCCTCCTGGTCTCCCTCCTCGCGACTTTTTATTTCTTGTTGTATTTTATTTTCTTGAGTCTCTTCTTACCTTTGACTTGATCCTTGCGCGGACTTGTCTTTCAAAGCTTGCAAGACACTGAATATCTTTAATTGACTCTTCCCCTTTCAATCAATCACATATCACAATGCCTTACCCCGAGGAAGCTGAGGGTTTCCAGGTTGATGGTCCAGAGACCTTCACCGAGTTCCACAAGCGCTTCGTGAGTCTTCTGTCTTGTGTATAGGGTTCTGTGGAAATCAATGGCTAACCATGAGTTTTTTGCGCTGGGTAGTACAAGCTGAAGCCCTTCGGTGACTATGGTAAGCTTCGGAACAATTGCCCCCGAGTGCCAGGGCAAGCTCTAACAGCGCACAGATGTTGACGTCAAGATCGAGGCCTGCGGTGTCTGCGGCAGTGATGTTCACACCATCAGCGGTGGATGGGGAGACCAGAAGTTCCCCCTGTGCGTTGGACACGGTAAGCAACAACCCAGACCCAGCAATGATCTCAGCTGAATCACGACTAACCACCCACCACCACAGAAATCATCGGCCGCGCCATTCGCGTCGGCCCCAAGGTCACCCTGATCAAGGAAGGCCAGCGCGTCGGCGTCGGCGCCCAGTCCTACTCCTGCGGCGAATGCAAGCAATGCCGCAACGACAACGAGACCTACTGCCCCGTAATGATGATGGACACCTACGGCTCCGAGTGGCCCGAGACCGGCATCGTTAGCCAAGGCGGCTACTCCTCCCACGTCCGCACCCACGAGCACTGGGTATTCCCCATCCCCGACGCACTGGACTCCAACACCGTGGCGCCCATGCTCTGCGCCGGTCTGACAGCCTACTCACCCCTTGTGCGCAACGGCGCCGGACCCGGCAAGAAGGTCGGTATCGTCGGTCTGGGCGGTATCGGACACTTTGGAATCATGTTTGCCAAGGCTCTTGGTGCGGAGACGTGGGCTATTTCGCGCTCCAGGGCGAAGGAGGCTGATGCGCGGGAGTTGGGCGCGGATGGATACATTGCTACCGCCGAGGAAGGGTGGGAGAAGGAGCATCTTTTCTCGTTTGATTTGATTATTAACTGTGCGAATTCGTCGGAGGGCTTTGATTTGGCAAAGTACCTGTCTATGATGGATGTGCATGGTCGTTGGGTTAGTGTTGGTTTGCCTGAGGAGGAGGGGCAGGTTATTAAGGCGCAGTCTTTGATTGCCAATGGTGTGCTTATTGGTGCTAGTCATTTGGGGAGCCGTCGGGAGATGTTGCAGATGTTGGACTTGGCTGCGGAGAAGGGGTTGAAGGGCTGGGTGGAGGAGATTGATATTAGTGCTGAGGGGTTGAAGGAGGCCATGCTGCGGATGAAGAAGGGTGATGTTCACTATCGGTTCACTCTGACTGGGTATGAGAAAATCTTTGGTTGAAATAAGCTTGGGGACCTTGGGGGGATGGTGGTGGAGTCGGTTGTTGGGGCGTCTTGAGAGGATTAGATGGGTTTGCAGCTTTTGAGATACCTGTATCTGATCAAATGAAATTGTTATCAGTCATGTTTTGAATCAGAAATGATGACGAAGCTATCCAGAGAAGCGATACACAATCAATTCCATAAGAACTTTAAGAGATGGAAAGTTGAAGTGTACCTGGCTGGACCTTTTCTCTAGTCTCTTGATTCAAAATTTTGAACTAATAATATGGTACATATTAATGGACGTATGTTAACTATAGACTATGATTTGTAGGCTATAGAGAAGGCACATCATCCAAAGTTCCATCGATTATCTCAGACTATCTGAATTGTATGTGATCTGATTGAAGTCCTGGAATTAATGTCTTAAAAGATCCATGTCTCTCCTCTCCCAAATTCCATTGATGTATGTTTCATTTTGCTGTTTAGCACCGTCCAGCCTCTCGATGGCAACTACCTTGTCGTACCCCAGCTTAGTCTGTGGAGCAGTGGAGTATTAGATCGATCGGCTAGATCCTCGTCACCATCCGAAGTATATGGAGTAGATGAACCGGATCTACGGCATGTATACCTCAAGAAAAAACCATTCATTCATTTTAGCTCTACTACTATTGTTGTTCCACGGATTTCAACTCCAAAGAAGAAAAAACTTCAGCCCCCTAATTTTCCCGAACCACGTCAAAGGTTGGCTGGATCCCTGGAATCCAAAGGCCTGAACCGCCACCCGCCGCCTGAAGGGCTGGTGCAGGGATGGATGTACACGGTACGCGCATTGTCTTACAGCTACATACGAGACACGAGGTAGTGTGACTTTTCCCGCATGTCAATCCCCCATGATTTGCCCCCGGATGTGCCAAAAAAAATTTTAATCCCTGCAAAATCCGGAATACCTGAAGAGTACAGAGTACTTTACCTTCGTGAAGTGATTGTAGTCTGTTAGCAAGTCACCAGTACTTCCCACCATTCACCGCCTGAAACCCTTAGACTCTCGGGCCCTCCGGTTCTCTCTGCCCTTCTGGAATTCTTCTCTCCCTATTTCTTACTCCTTGCGCCTGATTCTTTTCTTTTCGTTGAATTTTTTTTGGCTTGGTCTTGCGGTGTTCTGATCCCCATTGCATTCATTCTCTTATTTTATTCTCTCGGCCTGGGTGTTGTCGTGTTTCTTTATCACAGTCTCTTTTTTGTCTTAACCGCCGATATACCGATAGACTTGCCTCCTGATTCCCGTTGCGCCCCGACACAATCAGACCAAAACACCACCATTGCACTTCGCTATCGATTTGAATACATTTAGACCGAGATCATCACAAAAGTTCAGTCATTTTGTTGTCACATATTACTGCTGAAACTCCCCACTGCGGACGATCTACACCTCGTCACTGCATCGCTCTATTCGATCGCTTTTCCCCCTGTTACCCACCCGAACCCCACGTCATGTCGCCACGAGATAATACCGTCGGCATTGCCTCACGCCGTCGCCCCTCGCTATCACTTCGTCCCCGCCCAAGGACCGCTGCCTACCCAATTGCACTCCCCAAAGAATACACATTCGATCAGTGTCAGAAAGCCTCCCTGGTGGAGGCGTGCGACGACGATTCATCGGCTTTTGAAGAGATGGAGCCCTTTCCAGAGGCTGTGCCTCGGCGCCGTACAGCCAAAAGCTTCTCTAGCCTGCGTCATCCGATGGATGGATTAGTGGCGCTGGGCCGTCGTCTATCTGTGACTCTCCGCAACAAGTCCTCCAAGCAGAACTTGCGTGTGCATGGAGAAGAACAGAATGACGAGAGCCGTCACTATCACCACGCTACGAGCACCTCCGGCCACAAGCGCAATGCTGCGTCTGGAAGCTGGGGTATGCGTTCCCGTGCGTGGTCTCATGGCCCTAATGCAGGCAGCATCAACCGCCGCCCTTCCCTGAACAGTCCCTCTGCGCTGCATGGATTCTATGTTCCGACTGCGTCTATCCCGGCTCCCATTCCAGGTCATGGATTTGAGCCGCCAATTCTGCCAAATGATATCTATGCCGGTGCGGCAGCGCGAGCTGCTGCTGCTGCGCAGAATGAACAGATGGAATTGGCTAGGTTGGAATTGGCCAAGACGGAACGGGATCTGATCAAAGGGTTGCCGGAGATGCGATTGACCCAGGATTCGGAGAGTGGGATTGGCATTGATCTGCGAGACCCTTCTGAAATTACTGACTCGGAATTGGACATTGTCCGCCTTGGTATGATCTTCTGCAAATTCCAATTGATCATCACAGTTCACTAACATCCTTTTAGACCCGGTTTCCTACCTTCCCTCCGAGACCATGGCTCACGTGCTCTCATACTTGGACCCTGCGTCTCTCATGGAGGCAGAATCGGTGTCCAGCTCCTGGCACCGTGAGGCGTCCTCCCCACATGTTTGGAAGCATGTGTTTCGTGGCGCGTACCCCCGTCGGCCAGTCAGCGCTACTGCTACAAAGAAGAAACAATCCGTCGGTCTGGGGAAATCCATTCCCAACCAAGACTGGAAGCGAATGTTCTTTGTTCGGCGAGCTCTCGAGCAACGCTGGAAGGAGGGCAAGGCTGCGGCAATCTACCTCCACGGCCACCAAGACAGTGTCTACTGTGCTCAGTTCGATGAGGACAAGATTATCACTGGTTCTCGTGATCGCACGATCCGTGTGTGGGATGCTCACTACCCTTGGTCTTGCCGCAAGATCATTGGCCCGCCCCCGGATGATGTGTCTCTCGCGGGACCTGTGAATAACCCGGCGCAGCAAGCCATGGGCAAGTCTCCATTTGCGACTATCTGCCCGCCATCAACTCCGTCTGCTGGCATTGTCACGCCAATGGAGCAGCCTGCAGACTACCACAGTGCTTCCATTCTTTGCCTGAAGTTTGATGAGGAAATCATGGTGACTGGGTCTTCGGACTACACCTGCATTGTTTGGGATATCAAGAATGATTACCGCCCAATCCATCGTCTGACCGCTCACCGTGCCGGTGTCCTGGATGTCTGCTTCGATGACCGGTACATCGTATCCTGCTCCAAGGACACCACCATCTGCGTATGGGACCGTCGCACTGGCGCACTCCTGAAGCAGCTTGTGGGCCACCATGGCCCGGTGAATGCTGTTCAACTCCGCGGTGACCTCGTCGTGTCGGCTAGTGGCGACGGCGTGGCTAAGCTGTGGAACGTTACTGATGGCCACTGCGTCAAGGAGTTCCCCAGCAAGGACCGTGGCCTTGCCTGCGTCGAGTTCAGTGAGGACGGCCGAACCATCCTCACTGGTGGCAACGACCGGACTATCTATCAGTTCGATGCCAATACCGGCGAGCTGGTCAATGAACTTCGTGGCCACACTGGCTTGATTCGGTCGCTTCACCTTGACAGCATGAACAAGCGCATCGTGAGTGGTAGCTACGATATGAGTGTCAAGGTGTTTGACACTGACTCTGGCGAGCTCTCCATCGATCTACCTGGTTGGACTACTAGCTGGATGCTGAATGTCCAGTCAGACTATCGGCGGATCGTGGCGACTAGCCAGGACTCGCGGGCCGTTATCATGGATTTCGGCTATGGATTGGATGGCATTGAGATGCTGGAGGAGTGATTTTGGTTTCGCATTTATCTATATTGTCTTTCGTTGCTTTCGTCTCATCTTAGCTTTCATCTTTGCCAGCTTTGCTCTCATTTTAGCGTTGTTATTTGGTTATACCTGGAGGAGTTGGAAATGTTGGATACATGTGGAAAATTGGGTACAGGACGGGATACCACGACATAGATGCTCCGTGATTTTTTTTTTATCTTTTTTTTTTATCTTTGCTAGACTTATACATGGCTCCAAATCGTATATACAGTTGCATTGTTGCAGCGACTTGGGATTAAAACCTTCTTCATTGAACCTTATACTTTGTATGTACTCGACTTATTCAGTGGATAATGACAGGTCGCGAACCAGTGGGAGTAGTTTCTCGCCTCAGGCATCTAAATTATCTAAGCCCGTCTGATTGGCTGTCATGATCTCTAGCGCCATTGTGATCCGTGGGTTTTGGCATCAAAACAATCCCAGCCGTTTTTCCATCAACACTGACAGGCAAGCCCCGACGAGGAGACCCTGATCTTTCGGCGTTTTCTTTTTTCTTCCTTCTCTTCTTCTTCCTCCCGACTTTCCTCCCTCACCTCCCTTCCCTCGAAAACCCCTACGGCTACGGCCCATCACTACCCCACCATGGGTGAATCACGGTTCGATCTTCCCCCCCCCCCCCCCTTATCGACAATGCTTCCGGAACGGAATAGAACAAGCGACTAATCGAGTTCCCTCGATAGACAAGAACTCCTGGCATGGTTGAACAACCTGCTCCAGTTGAACATCACCAAGATCGAGCAGTGCGGAACAGGGTATGATCAATCAGTAGCCCCTCTTCCTTCCAGCTTGTCTACCCCCCCTGAGGGTCAGCATCATGGATTGGTCGGGATTCGACTGACGCGATGACTCTGGCGATATGAAATAGTGCTGCGCTATGCCAGATCTTCGATTCGATCTTCAGTAAGTATTCCTTTTGATCACGAGATTATCTCGAAGAGAAGCGGTCAGCCCGCCCCATCATTTTGCGATCAGACTTACTAATGCGATTGTTTTCATTACGATAGTGGACGTCCCCATGTCCCGGGTCAAGTTCAACGTCAACAGTGAATACGCCTACCTGCAAAACTTCAAAGTCCTCCAGAGTACGTCCCGAACAGTCACCCCGGCCTCCACGAGTCACAAAACACCATCCTAACGTTTTCCTCTTTCCCTTCCATCCAGATGTCTTTACTCGCCACACAGTCCAGAAGCCCATCCCCGTCGAGTCCCTCACCAAGTGCCGCATGCAGGATAACCTGGAATTCCTCCAGTGGGTGAAGAAGTACTGGGACCAGCACTACCCCGGTGGTGACTACGACGCCGTTGGTCGCCGCAAGGCCTCCGGTGCCCCCGCCGCCGCCGCAGCTGCCGCTCCCCGTGCTGCTTCCTCTGGCTCCCGCCGCGGTGTCACTCCCACCACTGCTGCTTCACGTGGACCCCGCGTGGCCGCCGCTGCCATCGGCGGTGGTGGTGCCGCAACCGCTGTCCTGCAGCAGGAAATTGCTACGCAGAAGGAGGCCATCGCCGGTCTTGAGAAGGAGCGTGACTTTTACTTCGCCAAGCTCCGTGACATCGAGTTGCTCCTCCAGAATGCCATTGAGGAGAACCCGGAGCTGGAGAACGAGGAGGATACGCTTGTCAAGCACATCCAAGGCATCTTGTACTCCACTGAGGTAAGTTTATACATAATCTGGTGCGTGGCAATATGGCAAAGGTGCGTGGACCTAACACCGTTATTTTTTTAGGACGGTTTCGAGATCCCCGCTGAGGATGAGGTGGCAGGTGCGGCTGATGACCTGGAGACGTTCTGATCAGAACGTGGTTCGGTCAGGGAGAGAGAAGCGTTTCCCCATCATCTAAATACCCCCCTGCCCGTTTCTTGTTTCTCTCGTCGATGAAAGAGTAGATGGTGCGTGCGCATATTCGGATTGCCCCCCGGAGAGGGCGAATTGATTTAGGGGGATTTCAACTGAGCCATTTGTGGAGTTTACTGTCTTGGTATAGGCTATGACGTAGAATATCCGATCCGTGGCATTACAAGTCACAACTTGGAACTTGCTGCCCGCATGATGATTATCCACGTGGATTCTACTTAAGATGAACCCTAATATGTTATCTTCTGCTCGAACACATGAGATGGCATCGCTGATGACTGCGACTTCGCCGCTGCCGCTTGATATGGTAAAGGTCACGGCGGAGATAGAAGGGTTAGGTACCCCAAGTAGCTGTATTGATGCATTAAAGCGTGGCGTTTGCTTCCGTCCGAGCATCGGCCTCATGAGCCCTTATCTACTTTGCGTTTATGATTCTATACAGGGCAAATGAAGTCTTGATACTGCAGGCTATGATTATTCCATACATTTATTTCGCTACCATGCGGTATTCCCATCACTTCCATGTATCACCCAGTAGGATCCGATTGCTGGATATCAAATAACAACTTCAATTCTTTCCTGTCCTCTTCGAATCCTTCTTCCACTTCATGACTGATATCTTATTTGATCTGACTTTGCTATTGCTACGAGAACATCAGATCAGAACCTCCTCTATCAAGATGGCTACTCGCAAGCATGGTATGTTATTCTGATCTTCTGTTATCTGCAACTTCAAAGGATTCAATCCACTCCATTAAGACAAGGCAGAGTCACCGAGGTGTATCGGCTGAAGTTGTGAATCTACATTCAAGGGCTGTACCGCCTTAGGAATGATGATGAGTGGGTTGCTGTGCCGATTGATAGCTCGAATGTTATGATTGAAGAGATCAAGATGGATACGGATCGGTTGGATTTCCTCTTGAATATTGCGCATCTGAGGAGGGTTGAGTGGGATAGTGCACTTGAGAGGGGGGAGGTTACCTAGTTAGTTAGGTCTGGGCTTTGGTGGACTTCCATTACTTAGGGGCAATGAGAATTTTGGACGTTGTGTTTGATGATGTGGTGTTGGGTAATTTGGAAACAATAGGAGTTTGAGTAGGCGGGTAGGTTGATGAACTCCTTTGACTGTTCATGGGATAATCATGAGTAGTTCGGATGGACTTTCTTTCAATCACATGGCAGGTGTATGATTGTAAGTCAGATTGAAACGAGAGTGGACTTCCAGAAGGAAGAGGGCTACGTAAGTAAATCTGTGGTGCGACATGGGGTCCCGGAGATGTAAAAAGCACCCGCCCGGTCACATCGGGAACACGCAGTGGTTGTTGGCTGCAAGAAGCCAGTAGTGCGGACGTGTCTTTGCGGAGTATGGGCAGTCTATGGATCAGTAATATTTACTTCGTGGGCAAATTATATGGCCACCCCGTACTGTGTATCGTACTGTAGTGGCTGATCTGAAGCTTTTAGGCGTCGAATGACTGGATTGGCTATGGATGGTATGATTGAAGATCGAATCAAGATCAACAACATACACAGGATGAAGAAGAACAGTCAAGTGGACACTGTCAATCCAGTCAGTCATCGCAATTAAACCTGCAGTGAGCGCTAGTCCATTTCTGGGTTAGTGTGGCTGGCCAGACCCCTCAGGCCGTCTCCACCTGTCAGAGACTCTAGTCTCTGATTGGTGGAGTTGGTCGTGTACCTGCAGCCAACGCTAGTCCCCATTGGGATTCAGGTTGGGCCAGAAATTGACTCGCAGCAACTCCCCCCAGCTGCAAGTTGCTGGATCGTCATGGATGATCATAACAAAAACATTCATCAATCGACAAGTTGACACTCGATCTATCCATCAAGAACCGCCTTCAATTGTCGAGTCTCGGTGTCGAGGTGTGACGGTGGGAAGAAAAGACCCAGGCTATTCTCGACCCGACCAGGAGAGAGGATCTCGGCCCCCTCCTCCCTAACGGCTAGTTCGTCACCACGGGTCGCCTGGACTTGGCTTCGATAGGGGAGTGTTTGGTCCGGTCTCGCCTGGTCCACTCTTCGTTTTCTCTCTTCTCTCTGCTACTCCAACCCTCTCAAATCCCACCTCTCCTCGCAAGAGTTCGGCCTGGGTTCGCCAACTGGAGGCTTCTGTGTCAGAAGAGACCAAAAAAAGAAGAGCGTGTGTTACATCGCCCAGTGCGTGTTTTCCTCGTTCATCACATCAGACCCGCTGGTTTGTCCCGAGGGTTCGACGCTGTTACATATTACGCTGTTCGCGTCTTGGTGGGTTGTTTCTTCGACAACGGCCATGGATTAGGCTACGGCCTCACGCTCTCTCCCCATTGATTCCCTCCTTCTCGTCACTCCTTATTTATTCAGGTACGTTGCCTAGTCGCATTCCAGTGGGAGCGGGGAAACTCCCGCGTGGGAAAAAGGCATGGCAAGATTAGATGGATGGAATGCTGACAGGCTACCATTTCTAGACAATTCGAGTCATTCGCACTGCTTGCTCAATTCACTCGCTTCACTCGCTTCGGATCTCTCATTGTTGGCAACATCACGGTCCAACATTCACTCCTTAGTTTTCGACCTCGCTGTCTCTCCTTTCCCCGAAACCTCGGCCAAAGCCATTCCTTTTCGCTAAAGTCGAATATCGCGGGCAAGTCCCTGCTTCTTTCCGGACTTTTTCACTCTTCAACATCAACCCACTTCATTTCACTATCACGCTGCAGCTGGTCGATCCAGCTCTGACCTCTGTGAGGACTTCTATCAAAGATTCATATTCAACTTCGATCGTCTCCTTCTGAACAGAATTGAGACCAACAGGATGGCTCATCATGGCCATCGACATGACCGCATCAGCAGGCTCATCCGAGCCAAACACCGACTGGAAGCGAGTGAGGAAAACCCTGTAGATTCGAATCTACTTACTGGCGTGGAAACCCTGCAGGACCCAATCTTCGCCTCTGATATTCTATCAGGTGATAAGGAGTGCGACCCGTTGCAAAATACCACTTGCGACGATTCACCGGATGCGACTGTAGTGGTACTTTCCAAAAGACAAGAGGCGCAAACGCCCACTACAACCGTCGTCGAAACCGTTGTGCAAGTGGTGGACACTAACTCTCAAACACTGTGGCAATCGTCCGGTGTTGATTTTCCCATGACCATCACGGACTCGGCATTCGGTACTCTCGTTCTGACCGGCAGCTCGGCCGCCTCGACCGATTCAGTGATTCCCTCGTCAAATGCAACGGCTACGCAGTCAATGTCCTCGCAGTCAACGGAAACCTTGGCGCCGACGAGTAAACAACTCGCCGCAATCTCATCACCAAGGGCTTCCGCGGCTATCAGTTCGGTGCCGTACACGTCGACTCGTCTGATTCCCTCGTCAAGCGCTACCACTACGTCTTGGCCCACTTCAACCTCACTTCATGCGGCTGGTAACTACTATTCATCAATTTCGAGCTCTTCTGCCTCCACAAATCCTTACACCGACGCCGCGTATAGCTCCTATACACCTGTCTCTACCTCCTCTGGATCTGGAGGCGCCGACGAGACTGGGTTTGGCACAGGCTCTGGCAGTGGCAGTGGCAGCGGATCCGCGCCAACCACCAGCCAGGCACAGTCTTCCTCCGGCTCAGGGTCAGGCATCGACCCTACCACTTCTAAAATCGTGGGCGGAGTCGTGGGAAGCGTGGCTGGTCTTGCAATGATCTTCCTAGTTCTCTTCTATCTCTTCCGCCGGCGAAAGCTTCTCCTTCAACAGAAGGAGACTGGGGCTCTTCCTCTTCCATCTGATGATGGAGGCACAACTCGAGAGGTGACAACTCGCTCTAGCAATGAACCTCTGTTCTCGGCATCATACCTCGCACCGGCCTTCATGAAGCGCTGGCGCCAGTCTACTATGACCGTCAGGTCTGAGAGCACCGTCTCTTCCTCCAACCCTAGCGAACGCGGATTCCAGAAAATCTCCGGACGAAAAATTCCTCCCGTCCTTACCCACGGTGGCGATGGCTACGGTGGTGGAATAGACGGCGACTCGCCCACCATTCCTGGCTTCCCTCCCATGTCGCCCGCAGGAGGTGCGACTACCTCACCATCATCACAAGCGCCACCTCCCACCTCTCCATATGGGATGGTCCTCGACACAAAATACACCCAGGAAGCCGAAGAGCGCGCCGAGTCTCCAGTCCGGCCCTCACCCGTCCACCTCCCCATTTCCAGCTCGGTGAATGTCGGTGTTGCAACTACCGTCACGCCGTCGACCCCAATCGCACAACCGCAGTCCGCCATCGCGGTCATGCCTCAACGTCCCGATGGACTGGGCCGCAGCCTGCCAAGCTACGATGGAAGCCGCAGCAGTCGCTTCACGGAGAGCATCGATCGGTAACGTGGACCGTTCTTTGAGACATGGGACACGCGATCACGACGACGGCGATATGCTTACGGGACCGGGAGCTCTGACTTTTACCGATAAATGGACATGACCGACCTTCTTTTGAACATGTAATATCATTTCCACAGCGCTTTTCTCTGTTCATTTTTTCTCTTCATTTTCAGCCTCATATTGTTTTTTGAGTCCTGTCATTTTTTTTCTGGCTTTTCTGAATCCCTTTCTGTCCCTTCATCCCTATTCGACTATTGTTCGAATACTGTTCATTTGTTATTTCTTTTAGATACCCCTTATTTTCTACCCCCTTATTCTGTCGTCAATAGCCATATTGATCTTTTTCTTTCCTTTTTTCAACTTCTTCTCTTTTCTCTTTTCTCTCATTTTTCTCTTACCTAAAACATAGTAACTTACACCTATCTAATATTATGCTAATCATCAGTGCTAGACTTTCTCCCTCGATATAGGACAAGTAGAAGATATACCTATCCAGTCCGATGAATGACATCTGTAACATTAGGAAAACCAGTTCTGTCAGCCTCGCTACGGAGATGATGTGGGGTGCTTAATCTGGGTCTCTGGAGTCTGCAATCATACCCCAGTCTGAACCTTAAATGTTGAGCCTCTTGTAGATCATGCAGACCCCTCACTAGTACTGTAAGTACGTGTGTTGCCCGGCAGCTCAACGAAAATAAACTCTGACAAGGCATTATGCAGGTTCTAAATCTAGCTAAAAGGCTTCGTATGCGCTTCGTATGCCTTTCGCCGCAGTTCAGGCAGATACGGAGCTTGTGTCTCGCTCAGCCTCATCATCCCTCGCGCTCTGGCATAAGCTATCAGACACCAGCCTAAAATCAAGATCTTGCAAGAGTTGAAAGCGGAATCTTGATCAGGACACATGTAAAGTAGTGGACGGTGTAATTGGGGGCTGAATGACAAGCCACAATGCTCGGTGCCTGTTAGGTACCTACTCAAATTAGGTAGGTACAGTACCTAGTTCGCAGGAGATTGATAAGAGTCACATGACTAGACATACCTAAGTGGCACCGCCACATGAGTTCACAGCCACATGAACAACTCCTGCGCCACATCTCATGTGGCAAGGTACAAGCGCATTAAGCATCCAACCAACCCCCGGGCCTCGTTACAACTGAGGCAAATGTGAAGCAAATCCAGAACCTGAACCCCGTATCAGATGTCAACCATAATCCCTGCACTGATCGATGACGCTGACCAGTCCAAATGATTATCATTGGCAATCCCCACCACCTGATTTTACCGCTCAGCTCTGACCGTCAGTCCGTGGAATATCACACCCACACCAAGCCGCGCAGATGACGCACTTCACAACATTCTCACCTCCCTCTTGATCAACTTCCAAGACTGGATTAGAACTCAAAATCTCCTCCGGCGCTATGTATCTACTTGATACAAAGTTTGAGCGGGGTTTCATGGCACTTGCTGGTTCGAGACGCCATTGGACTTTCATTGAGGCGCAGCAACTCCACTATGGGAACCGGCGGCAAGCCAGAAGTCGTCACATTAAACTGACATTGGATGGTTCTTTCGCGACGTGGAGCCTTCTGGTCAATAGCTGCTTTTATCTGATGTCTGACAACTCGAATCGGTCAGGTTCAACCGAGCTAAAGTCACAGAACGAGGCCGTCGGCGGCTAATATCTTCTCAGCAAAAGTAGATTCGTATGCGTAGATAGTCAGTGATGGTACCATGTCCACGTCTTTATGACTTCTCACCCCCGCGATATTTCTCGTCACTCTAGCTGGGATGCTGGGACTTCCTTGTTACATGTCGCCTCCTTTTGTATTCCACACCTCGCCTACAGAGTAGTATCCATTCAGCACGGTGAGCGTCGTTTTGCCTCTTCTGAGGCTGTGCCCCGGGTGTAATCATTAGCAAACCTGGAGGTGAAGAATTCTCTGCTCAGTGACATCTTTACCAAGACAATCTTTCACCTCGCCCCCTCTCTTGTCATTATCCGCTTGATCAAGAAATTCGCGCTTCCGCTTGGCAAACTAGTGACTCGCATATCATTTTCATGGTCCATTTACCTGGGCAGAGCCTGGGCATCAACACAGCCCCCCGATCTCTTTCTCTTGATAAATGCAACTGCACAACCGACCCCGGGGTTTTGAGTCCTCTTCACCACAACAATAATTCATATCTTTTCCATCTCACATATCAAAGGGACTCATTTGAGCCATCTTGGTGCCATTAGCACCTCATGGCCTCCTCACAGCATAACACGTCCCAGGAAAAGGGCATCTTCTTGAGCCCTCTCCAAGTTCCAGATTCTTCCGGAAGAGAGGTGAGACCCGCTCCTCACTTATCAAATATCACATTCCTAACCTCTCACTCGCAGCGATCTCTCTCCGCCTCATCAGCAGGCGCATCATCCTCTTGGTCTGGCCCTACAGATTTCAACCACAGCCCAACATCACCAACTTCATCTCTCTCCCCAGATATGGCAGGGAACCCAGATCCCTCCCGCCTGATGGTCCATCAATCCTCACATCGCCCCTCTTCATCCATCGATGGCGATACGCTTCGTCCACGCTCAGACTCATACGCCTCGACAGCAGTCATGCGTTCCAGAGCTAACTCCGTTGATCCCACTCAAGCTGGTAAGGCCTTTGATGACGTGCCGTTGTCAGAAGCCCTCAAGCCGGATCCTCGCGACGAGGTCGATTTCCATGTTGATGATAACCGGTTCGCGTTCTCGCCCGGCCAACTGAATAAGATGCAGAACCCCAAGTCTCTCGCTGCCTTTTATGCCCTGGGTGGCTTACAGGGTCTGGAGCGGGGTCTACGAACTGATCTCAATGCGGGCTTGTCTGTTGATGAGGGCCGGCTGGAAGGTACTGTTGATTTCCAGCAGGTTACGCCTCCATTGTACGAGAAGTGTCCTTCCATCAGCAAGCCCACTGTGGAAACTCCAGTGGTACCAGTGTCGTCTGGGGAGGGCTCGCCGTTTGAGGATCGTGTTCGCGTGTTCAGTGAGAACAGGCTGCCCGCACGAAAGTCTACGGGGTTCTTGAAGCTTCTGTGGATTGCCTACAATGACAAGATCATTATCCTGCTGACCATCGCTGCCATCGTCTCACTGTCTTTGGGCATCTACGAGACGGTAGATGGAGGGACGGGAGTTGATTGGGTTGAAGGCGTGGCCATCTGCGTGGCCATTCTCATTGTTACTGTTGTTACCGCAGCCAATGACTGGCAGAAGGAAAGACAGTTCGCCAAGCTAAACAAGAGGGTAAGTCACCAAGCCCTATGATCACTCAGTTTCATGCTAACTCTCACAGAACAATGACCGTGAAGTAAAAGTCATTCGATCAGGCAAATCCACCATGATATCCATTTATGACATCAAGGTTGGCGACGTCCTACACCTTGAACCTGGTGATTCCATCCCTGCAGATGGAGTCTTGATCTCAGGCCACGGTGTGAAATGTGATGAATCCTCTGCTACCGGCGAGTCGGACCAGATGAAGAAGACCGACGGCCATGAAGTCTGGCAGCAGATCGTCGAAGGTCACGCGACCCGGAAACTGGATCCATTCTTGATCTCTGGAAGCAAGGTCCTCGAAGGCGTGGGCACTTATCTAGTCACCAGTGTCGGGCCGTACTCTTCGTATGGTCGAATCATGATGTCTCTTCAGACCTCCAATGATCCTACTCCCCTTCAAGTGAAGCTGGGTCGTCTGGCGAATTGGATTGGGTACTTGGGCTCAGCGTATGTGAAAATCTTTTACTACTCGTGATACAATTGGCTAACATGGAATTTTAGTGCCGCAATCATCCTGTTCTTTGTCCTACTGTTCCGATTTATTGCCGACCTTCCAAATCACCCCAATGTCAGCCCTGCAGAGAAGGGCAAGGAATTTGTGGATATCTTGATCGTCGCCGTGACTGTTATTGTGGTCGCAATCCCAGGCAAGTAGTAATCCAATCATTCTACAATAATCATTGACTAACTTGTATTTTCCTTCGCAGAGGGTTTACCCCTGGCTGTCACATTGGCGCTGGCCTTCGCTACCACTCGAATGGTCAAGGAAAATAACCTTGTCCGAGTCCTGCGTGCCTGCGAGACCATGGGTAATGCCACTGTTATTTGTTCCGACAAGACCGGAACACTCACACAGAACAAAATGACTGTCGTCGCTGGTTCATGGGGCTCAGTTCTCAACTTCACCCAGTCCTCTGAAACTCGTGATGGTGAAACCTCCATGACTACCGCCGAGGCCTTCAAACAATGCTCTGCTCCTGTCCGAGACCTCATTGTCAAGAGTGTTGCCTTGAACTCCACTGCCTTCGAAGAAGACAAGGATGGTCAGCGGGGATTTGTTGGAAGCAAGACGGAAGTTGCTCTTCTTCAAATGGCCCAGGATCATCTGGGCATGGATCTCGTCGCTGAGCGTGGATCTGCTGATATTGTTCAGCTCATTCCGTTTGACTCGGCCCGCAAGTGTATGGGTGTTGTGTACCGTCACGCCGGTGTTGGGTATCGACTGCTCGTCAAAGGAGCATCCGAATTGATGGTCGATGCCTGCTCGATGCAAATCACTGAGATTGACATGTCCAAGGATAAAGTAAACACCGAGCCACTGTCGGAAACAGGACAGCAGAAGATCCTGGATACAATCGATCGCTATGCTCAGGGTTCTCTCCGAACGATTGGAATCGTCTACAAAGATTTTGATTCTTGGCCACCCAAGGGTGGCAAGAAACACGACGATGAGAGTTCAGCCGAATTTGGAGATTTCTTCAAGGGAATGACATGGGTAGGCGTTGTCGGAATTCAAGATCCCCTTCGCCCTGAGGTTCCCCCAGCCATTGAGAAGTGCCGTATGGCCGGTGTTCAAGTCAAGATGGTGACTGGTGACAACGTCGCTACTGCTACTGCTATTGCTTCTTCTTGCGGAATTAAGACCGAAGATGGACTTGTCATGGAGGGACCCAAGTTCCGACAGCTATCCGATGAAGAAATGGATGAGGTCGTCCCACGTCTTCAGGTCCTGGCACGATCCTCGCCCGAGGACAAGCGTATTCTGGTTGAACGGCTCAAGCTTCTCGGTGAGACCGTTGCTGTGACAGGCGACGGCACGAATGACGGTCCTGCTCTGCGAACTGCCGATGTTGGCTTTTCCATGGGTATCGCTGGCACTGAGGTTGCCAAGGAAGCTAGTTCGATTATTCTCTTGGATGACAACTTCAAGTCTATCGTGACTGCAATTTCTTGGGGTCGAGCTGTTAATGATGCCGTTGCAAAGTTCTTGCAATTCCAGATCACTGTTAACATCACCGCTGTGGTTTTGACCTTCGTCTCGTCTGTGTACAGCAGCTCGAACAGCAGTGTTTTGAACGCGGTGCAGCTTCTTTGGGTCAACTTGATCATGGATACCTTTGCTGCTCTGGCTCTGTAAGAAACCCTCCCCCACTGACTTGAAAATGACCACTACTAACGCTATATCACTACAGAGCCACCGACGCCCCTACCGAAAAGATCCTGGATCGCAAGCCCGTGCCAAAGAGCGCCTCGCTTTTCACACTGACAATGTGGAAAATGATCCTCGGCCAAGCCATTTACCAGCTCGCCGTGACATTCATGCTCTACTTCGCCGGCGACAAAATTCTCGGCGCCCACCTCGACGACACCGACCTCGACCACCGCTCCAAACAACTCTCCACCGTGGTCTTCAACACATTCGTCTGGATGCAAATCTTCAACGAATTCAACAACCGCCGTCTCGACAACAAATTCAATATCTTCGAAGGTATGCTCCGCAATTACTGGTTCCTCAGCATTAACGCCGTCATGGTCGGCGGCCAAGTCATGATCGTGTACGTGGGTGGCCAAGCCTTCGGCGTGACCCGGCTCAGCGGTATCCTTTGGGCTGTGTGTATCATCTGCGCATTGGGATGTCTACCCTGGGCTGTTGTTCTGCGCACGATCCCCGATCGCCACTTTGGTGTTGTGTTTAATGCTGTTGTAGGTGGTATGAATGCTGTTTTGCGTCCGGTGGTGAAGGGCTTTAATGCCCTTGCCCGTGGGTTGAAGGCTTTATTTCAGCCACTTGTGCGGTTTACCCGACGACTGTTTTCTCGTCGAGAGAACAAGACTGGGGACTCGGATGAGTCTTCTATTGAAATTCCATCGACTACTCAAACTGTCGATGAGGAAGCTCCTGCTTCCACTCTTACTCCTGCTCCGCCAAAGGTCATTCGGGAGGACGATCCTGAACGCCCTCGGACACCACCTGCGATTGCGGTTCCCCCAATCCTTGTTACAAGCTCACCATAATGGGTGGGTTTTTCTTGTTATGACATGATGTGCCATTTAGCGATTTTCGGCGTTATGGGCTGTACTACACATTGCATTGGCATTAGACCTCCTGAGTGGTTTTAGTCTAGACATTTACAAAAAAAGAAGACAGACACACTTTTGCACCCAACATTTCTGTACCCGTAGCATTTCAAATTTCAAACAGCCCATACCATTTGATCAAAAGAAAAGCACTTTGACTCGTAGTTATTTCTCAATTGGCTCTAATAGTTCAACAAGAGTATGAAATAGGATCTTTGTTGATCTGATAATATTGGCCCCCACGTTGTGGAAAAGTTAAAAGTCTATCTCGGCTAGTGGCTGATGCTAACAGCAGGGTAAACATCTCATCTCCCCTCTCCCCTGAGATTGTTGACTGCTCTCTGGTACCAAGTATCTTCCCCAATTCAGCGTGATGTCGTCAGATGAAATACGACCGGTGAGTGAAGGGCCCGCTTCGACTGAAGCGCAGACTCCAGCTCCATCTTCAGCTCCAGGCCCGACCGTGGAACCAACTCCCACCACGGCTCCTCCCACTTCGAACGCGCGACAAACCCCGATCGCCGGCTATCGAAACCCAATTCACAACCCATTCCCAGCCTCTCTTGCCAGTACGTTGACCGTTAAAGATCTGGGTGACGATCACTAATATCAAATATAGGTGAATGTAGAAAAGCAGGGCAAATCATCGATTCGTTCGTGAATCCCAAATATGCTGGTTTAGAAGGTGCAATTCCCGCTCGCATTCTCGCCCCAGCCAAAGTAAGACCAAGACCACTCCACGATACCATTCCTCCCAGACCACCAACCAAGCTAACCTCACCACCTCAGGGCCTAGTAATCTGCAGCGTCTTCAAAGCCGGCTTCCTAGGCTCCGTCCGCTTCGGCTCCGGTCTAATCGTCTGCCGCCTCCCTGATGGAAGCTGGTCCGCCCCATCGGCCATCTCGCTGGGCGGGTTAGGCGCCGGCGGCCAGTTCGGAATGGAATTTACCAATTTCGTATTCGTTCTCAACACTGACGCCGCAGTCAAGACTTTTATCAACTCGGGCACGTTGACTCTGGGCGGAAATATCTCCATAGCCTTTGGAACTGGTCGAAGTGCTGAGACTGCGGCTATGATTGGGACTAAAGGCGTTGCGGGCATTTTTGCCTATTCGAAGACTCGGGGTGTGTATGGCGGGTTGACTCTTGAGGGGGGTATGATTGTGGAGCGTTCTTCTGCAAATAAGAAGCTTTATGATCGAAAGTTGAAGGCGAAGGAGCTTCTTACTGGTGAAGTTCCGCCGCCGCCGCAGGCCGAACCGCTTATGCGTATTCTGAATTCGGAGGCTTTCCGGCTTCCAGCGGGGGGCCAAGAGTCTCCGGCTGCGGATGTGCCTGCGCCGGCGGCTGGCGATCAAGCTGCAGAAATTCAAGCGCCGGTTCCTCCAGTGGCGGTTGCTCCAGTTGCGGGAGCTTCAGTGCCAGAACATACCCGGGAAGCCCAAGCATCAGAGGTCCCAGTTGCGGAAGCTGCCTCTCAGCCAGCTCCGGCCGTGCCTGAGCTGGAAACCCAATTACCACGAGAACCGTCTACCGACAACGATGCCCACAATGTATCCCAAGAAGCTGCGGAACAGCCTAAGGAAGCCTCCGGCGCTCCCGAGCATGATGTGCAGCCTGCAGTCGAGGGCGAGGCTTCCAATGACACCCAATCTCCATCACAGGATACCCTGGAAACCACGATAGAAGCTCATCCAAGTTCTGCGGCTGATACTCAGCCCGCGCATCCATCTCAGCCGAAGCTCGAGCATGAAGAGTCGCCTGTTGTTAAAAATACCGGTGATGCTCCCAGAGAGACATGATCTTCGCAGGACCGGGCTTAATATCTGAATTCTTTAAGCCCATATGTTCTGTTTGATTGATTTCTGTCGTGATATCCTAATTTTATTCCGTTTCCATTGTTTGCTCATGATCTTTCTCGGCGAATGGAAATGGAGTGCTTAGTAACTGGGTTATACTTTAAATTTTGGGATAATTGAAAGTTGTGCACATTTCCTGTGGAACGTCTCTCAAGTCAAGATCCATTACCAATCTTCGAGCTTGAAATCGCTAACCATTAATATCTGTGGCGTTTTTATGCATTTTCGTGGCCCACTCTTGTGTCCATTATCTAAACCGAGGTGAATTGACTTTTTTGTTAGATTACTGATCACGGGAACCTCATGCATTCATTTGAATACAATAAAGACAACCTCATCTTTTGGATGCTATAAGGATCTGGCATCTGGCCACCTAATTAGTAGTGGTTTTATTCTATCACTATCAATTTGGCGGTCGTCGTCGGCTTGTCAACTACCCACACAAGCAACCATACAAGCCAAGATGCCATCAGATTCGACGATTCTCCACGAGATCGGCTTCAGTCAGGTAAGCCAAGGAGCATTCCTTCACTCGCCATCTGAGCAAGTTTCTCTGCCCGAAAAAGCCAACCCAACACATCCTACCCCAGATGTGATTATTATCTGCGTTTGGGGCTTCGCCCATGCAAAGCACATTGCAAAATACATCGCCGGGCACCAGTCTCTCTACCCAAATGCCAAGATCCTCCTCATCTACAATTCCGTCGCAAACATGATGTGGAAGTCAGATTCTTCCCAGATGCAATGGTTCCAGCCTGCTGCAGCCGTGCTTCGGGGGTGTATAGACTCAACGCCCGACCTAAAGGTTCTTGTTCATTTATTTTCCAATACGGGTTCGCATTCTGCGGTACAACTTGCCGAGGCCTGTGAAAAAAGTGACCCTCCATTTGAAATGCCGGTTACGTCGATTATCTTCGATTCCTGCCCCAGCATGCCCATCTTTGGACCGATGGCTAACGCGCTCGCGTTGGGCTCGCCTTCTAAGAATATAGTTATCACCACTATGGTGAGAGCTGTGGCATACGGTATCATTGGGTTATCACTCGCTCTCGAGAAAGCTGGGCTTACGACTCATGTGGCCACGAAGCTCTACGCTCAACTGAACTCTATATCCGGTGGTTTTCTCACGCGGAGGATTTCCGCTGGAGAACAAGTTGCTTTATGCCCAGTTTCGAGGACTTATATATACGGTCCAGATGATGATATGATACCCGTGGACCAAGTGATTCAGCATGCAAATATTGCAATTGCGAACATGTCGGCGTGTGGGGTCGCCGATGCGTCAAACTATGTGAAGATGGAGAAGTTTGTTGGAAGCCCACACGTCAATCATGTCAGGTTTGAGAAGGAACGTTATTGGAGAATTATCGAAGAGACATGGCAAAGAAGTGTCACCTACACTACATAGGAGATACTTGCAGCTGGTGGGCTTTGAGTACGGGAAGCCAATTATTCACCCAGTGAGGCGGAGGAGCCAACCTTTGCTCTTATTTTTGTATATCAAATCCAAATCTCATAGTTTCATAGAGTTGAATAGAGATTAATAATAAGTGAATTTTCTCTCAGCTGGCCTGTCATCATCCAAATACTCTGATGTCCACCACGACTGGTAAGAAATCATTAATATGCTGCTATCGAACGGAGGCAAATGACGGGTCGACCTCTACTTTGAGAGCTTAATCTAAATCTGATCATGACATTCATTGCATTTGTATATAGTCTAACCTTTCTATGGTTTATATACGAAAGACATGCTTCCCTAGATTTCTTTCCAATGGCCAAAACTAACCTCTCGATAGATAACACCATGTCCTCGATTGACTTGTCGCTACCAGAGAGGAATTTCAACCGTGTTGACATAGTCAATATTCTCTGCGTGCCCCTCGACGCGAGGAATCGACGTCCTGAACAGACGATCCCAAACTCGGGTTTGCTTGCCATAGTTATGGCTGTTCTTCCAGCCTTTTCGGTGATGAAGATCATGGTCTTCTAGCAGGAGTTCCATATCAAACATTTTCAGTAGCGAAGTCCATGGGTTCACCGCAGTGGCAATCATACGCAAACCGCTATGGCCCAGAACCTCTGTGAACACCACATATTGTTGGCAAACCCACCATTCATAGAATCCCATTGGGAAACCCATCAATTTCATCGTGCCGTAGGTGATAACAGGGGTACCGATGACATCGATGAACTCTTGCACCTTGTCTGCGTAAGCAGTCAGGAGAGGGTTGGGGTGTTTGGTCAAGTGGTGGGTGCGGTGGAATTTCCATAGGTGTTCCGACTCGTGAGCGGAGCGATGAAAGATATAATACCAGAAGTCGAGGGTGAGGGCGTACATTCCAGTCTCAAAGATGAGCCATCCCCAACGGATCGAAGCAGGAGACTCGTCGCCACGGTATGCGAGGAAGACTGTAACCATTGGCCGGAATATGATGACAGATAGCACGGTTTGCACAGTCTTGCCAACTCCGACATCAGGCACGCCATCGCGAGGATGCTTGTCGCCGTCGAAGAATCCAATCTTGTGTCCGAGACGGCGGAGGACTCGTACTTCGTGTACAGCATTGAATTCAAGGCATAGGCTGTAGAAGATGAAAACAACCCACGCCGGGGGTTGACCGAAGTAGTTGATGTAAAGTTGATGGAGGGCGAGGGGCATGAAAGCATGAGTGAGGACCCATCGATGAAACTGCATTTCCGGTGCGTATGGCACTTTCTCGGCCTTGTCGTGAACGGGAACATCCTGATCAAGGTTCATATGATGCACGTCCAAGACGTCCAATAGCCAGTGGCCGAACTTCCATTGCGACTTTTCCCATGTCCGCCAGGTGGACTTCATGGAATCTTTCGGATTTCGCATAGGAGTAGCCATTTTGAGGATGATGAGAGGGGGAAATGAAAATTCTGGGGAAGCCAGGCAGATCTCCATCTATATTTGAACATCTGTACTGACCACCTGAAGCCGAGGTGTGGGTACGCACTTGTTAGGGTCATCGCAGATCCATCCACATCCCCCTTTCCACCCCGCCACTCAGCCCAATGTCCGAGTTTTGTACTGCTTCTAAGCCTTCTACTGGTTGAAAGCATTGATACTAATTTTCTCCGACTTTTTTGACGTCACTAGTTGATAATAATTGTATGGCAACGCATGATCCTAGCACGAGATTTTCTCTGCCTGGCTATCGTTTTCTCAGATCTGCGCTTTGCGTTCACGTGAAACACCAAAATATCTTTCCAAGCAGTTCTGGTGAATCTTGTCATTGGTAGGTGCCTTAAAAGATTATTGGACCAGTCCATCTGATCCCGAGGTCGAGTCTGTCAAGCCACCCCGAATAGGATATTATGTTCCGGCGTCTAAAGATTGGCCTCGGTCTAACCCGATGAAGTTACGATCGGCACCAATCCAGTGGAGCTTCATGGACACATACTATCACTCCAGTGGAAGCAAAATAATACAAGCCATTCTCATCTAGAAATGCTAAAGCGACGATACAGGATTGCGAATTCTATGGTACACCTCATCTTCTGGCTTAGAATTACTATCTTTCGATTGGGATATCATAGTAGTAGTGTTTTGAAATTCCGAGTCAAGAAACAAGAGAAATAGACTACCCAGATATGCTTTCATGACTGCTTTCACGACTCTCATCTCGAAGATCTCTCTAAGTGTCTTTTTAAATGTCTTTTTAAATGTCCTTCGAATCATCTTTCTTGGTGGCACGGATACCATTTTGTGGTCTATCGTCTAACTCGTGCGCTGCTAAAATGATTGTGGGAATTTGTCGGGGTTTCAAACTGATGGAACTCCCCTAGTAACTATAGAAGATAGTAATATTACCACTATGTTAAAGCAGAATAATGGCGTTTCTTCGAATGAGCGATCTTGTACCGTCGCTTTAGTAACTCTCTTCTCATGGATACTACTTAAGGTGACTTCAAGCTTCCCCCCACCACGGCATCAACCTGCAAATGTCTCGTGTTTTCAATTTTGCCATCCCCGTTCAGTGCGTGTCATTACTCGTGCCACTGCCCCGAAATTCCTAGATTGTGTCAAAGATGTCTAGAAGCTTCCGCCTGTGTGCTGGAAGATTAGATAGTTTCATTTTCATTGTCCTCTTGCGAAGCTCCCTGTAACCGAGAAAAAAGCTCCAATTCCATGCGCTCAGCCGGAAGTGGCCCTATGAGGATTTCTCCGACCACTTCAGTACCTGGAGGAAAATCGTGCTCAAAGATGGGTTCGCCAGCTCCCTTCATGTTGGCAAGCACTGACTGGCAGAAGTGCCAACGAAGCAATTCATCTGCGACACGGATGGGGTTGTTAGGATCTCGACACACGATATCCAGTACTCGACCATCGACGTCCCATTTATTACCTCCAAAATCTGTGATCTTGTAGCCATCATAAGCGTAGACTAGCAAGCGACTCATCGCTTACCGAAGTTACTGTATGGTAACTAAGTTAACTCAAAAAGACTTGACTCATTTGACTTACATCTGGGTTGACGGAAACAAGGTAGCTATCGAATAGCTGGTGCATGGTTGCCGAGACTAACAGGCCGTTCTGTACTGAGTTGATTGAGTGGTTGAAATTACGCTGGGGCAAAAGTCCCTCGCGATCCACAGGGAAGATGTCCGCCGCTTCAATGCCGGCCCAGTCATCGTCAGTGTTGACTACCCCAGTCAAAACACATTTACCATCTCGTGACCGCACAGAATCCCGAAAAGAATCATTTCCTCGACCGCTTCGGCTAAGGGAAAAGATTCGTCGCACGCAAGTCTCCTCTGTCAATTTGATATCTCCTAACAAAGTTAGCCTGGCTTCTCATTATTTCATGGTCGAGGCTTCTCGCAGGATAATTTAGTTGCTCGTGCAACATCCTATCCCCCATCCGGAGGATATCAATAACGTGTACATCAATTTCTTTGCATAATCGCTAGACTCTTGCAGTGGGGTTTTATAAGTTTCAGCACCCGACAGATTTTCAAAAATATCTTTCTAGTCACGAGCTTGAACGGTAAACTAAGAAGAAACATAAATTTTGGAGGTTATTCAAAAGACATTCGAAAAGATCCTTTGAAAACCACAAAGTTTTGGGGGTTATATCGACACGCGAGAAGATATTGGAAGTTGTCGCGCGAGAAGCCCCGGCCTATTTCATTACACTCACCTCGAGGGCAAAAGACATCGTAGTCGCCTTCTGCGAGACATTCTGTATTCATTGGCACCAGTTGGCCCGTCCCTCAAATGCGAATCGAAATGATTCCATCGACAACAAGTAAGACATCCATCAGCATTTGGAATAAATTAGCGTTTGTGATGGAACCATTCTGTCGGACACCCCCGAGATGGGCACCCGTCGAACCATCGTAAAAGTTCACATTCCGCCTACTAAAGCGAGGCATCTTGACGTGCAGTGGAGAGAGATATGGCGTCTTTGGAGGGAGTTCAAGCGTTGATAGCGGCAACTGGGGTTCAACCGTTGCAGTCTGATTCCTAGTTGAGCGAGTGGATCGTCTGCATACAGTCTTCAGCAACTCCACCAACTAATGGTGAGATAAAGAATATATCGACATAGACCTAGACGATGGTAAGGTCTTGAAGCCTCTCGGTGCTTTCGAAGCTCCTACCATAATTTTTGATATAAAGCCGGATACCTGAAGGAAAACTACCATACCCCTGGGGAGATAGGATGGCGGGTATCTCCCGCCTCTCTCGGACGTTCATCGAAATCATATCATCATCATCCCATCATCATACGTCTGTGTGCACAGTGTTCAATGGTTTGATTTCAAATTTACAACGAAAAACTGTCTAAATGAGTACTTAAAGGCCTGTACAGAAAAGAGGATTTCCTTGCGTTCGAAAGCGTTAAAAAAAATGGACTCGTCCTGAGTTATTGTACTTTCAATTAGCCCAATACCTGGCACGCCCTTTCGATGACATCCGAAGCCGGATTGGGAAGTGGGGCCATTAGAATATTCCTCGAGGGCAACATTCACAGTAACAGTAAGGGACTAGGAATCAATGCAGCATGTCTTTTTGATAATAATAGCGCTTTAATCAGGTGATAAAAACGAAATATCAACTCTCGCAAAATTTGAGACCACTGTGTTCTTGGAAAGAGCCTCGGCAAGACTTTTGGCGGCTCGGGTCACATATCCCGAGTAGCTGGGGAACCTTCCCAGAACGATGAGTCTAACGCTTGTCCTAGAGGTTGCATATTGACATGGTGGATCAACCAGTAAATCATCTCGGTTATGAGTGAAGCAATAGGATAGAACCTTATAAATTGCGTCTGAGAATTGCATCGTCATCAGTGTCCAAATCAAATCTGCCAGCCTCGTCTCCGTCCTACCCCTCTTATACAGCCTTACCCCTCCGTCCCGCTCACACATCCCCTACCCCTGGAATACAATGTCTGCTGAAGAAACAACTCACCATATCGTCGCCCTTGAGGCAATTCACTGCCCAATACCCGACTTCGACCTCCCAGGTCCACACACCAAGTCAATCCACAATTGGACCACGCCCGCAGAGCTCAGCGAACGGGTCAAAGATGCCACAATCGTGATAACGACCACAATCCGGCTCTCCGCCGAGATTCTCAACGTTGAAAAAACTCCACGTCTGCGCCTAATCGTGGTCCTAGCATCCGGAACAGACTGTGTCGACAAAGAAGCCGCTAAAGCACGCGGAATTCCCGTATGCAATTGTCCCGGCACGAATATCGATAGTGTCAGTGAGCACGCGATCGGATTATACTTCGCGACGCGGAGGAACCTGGTTAAATTGACCAATGCTGTCACGACTGTACCTGCAGAGGGCGAAACGGAGTGGAAAAAGAAGGGTTCTCTGCACCCACAACTGCGGACCGCGGATGGCAAGGCTCCTTTACTATGCAGCGAGGAGACGGTCGGAATCATTGGGTACGGCGCACTGGGGAAACGAATCCAGATGCTGGCAACGGCTCTGGGGATGAAGGTGATTATAGCCGAGCGGCGAGGAGTGGAGCCTCGAGCAGATAGGGTTTCCTTCGAAGATGCCCTTCGACAATCGACCGTGTTGATACTATGTCTACCGAGAACTCCTGAAACCGTGAATATGATTTCAACAGAGGAACTGCGGATGATGCCGTGCCAAGCTGTGCTCATCAACGTTGCTCGTGGGGGAATAGTGGACGAGGAAGCGTTAGTCACAGCTTTGAAGCAGGGTGAGATCTTTGGGGCGGGAATGGATGTTTATGCGAATGAGCCTGTTGGAAGGGGCGGGTCACCTTTGTTGGAGGCAGATGGATTGAATCTGGTGTTGACTCCGCATCTTGCTTGGCTTGCGGAGAGGACCATGGGCAATCTTCAGGCTGGCGTTAAGGCAACAGTTGAGCGCTGGTGTATTGGTGATATGATAAATCGGGTAGCGTGAGATTAGATGGTATTTCTAAACAGCTTTTGTCTACTTTGATGGGATGAAGAAGACCATGGTACTGGGATCAATAGATCAAAGGCCCAAGCCTAACATTGGGGCCTACTACATAGAGATTTCTATTCCTACTGGTAGCTTTAATCCGAAGAGTTATTTAAACCAAATCAAAAGAAAAATCGAAAGCTTATAAGCATTACTAGTTCCTCTCAACTATGTCGTTTTCGCGCTGTGCCGTTTCTCAAATTTGATAAAACACTCATGTTCCTAGGATGAGGTAGAGAGAATTAGTTCTCGAGACGTCCAAAATTTAGCTAATTCGTATTCTCACCTCAGCTTTTGGAAGAGTCTCGTCGTAGAATACTTCAAATCGGCTTGTGATGACTGGACCGGTTCCTCTTTGCCGCTCATACTCACTGGTCGAATACCGCCTATAGATAGCTGCAAGCAATGTCGTCATCTCTGCCATAGCAAGACTAGAAAATTTCATTAGATTAGCCCAGAGAAAGCTTCAGTTGGATTCAAACTTACTGCAGGCCAATACACATCCGGCCTCCACTGGAAAATGCCCAGAACCATTTCTTCATCTCCGTTAAATCACCACACTGGCCTAACCACCGCTCGGGCTTGAACTTCAGGGGGTCTGGAAACACTTCTGGGTTTCGATGAAGTGTATATGGCGACATGCTCACAACTGTTCCAGCGGGAATCAAGTATCCGTCAATAGTTGTATCAACTGGTAGTGACCGCGGCTCCGAGGCTGGCAAAGGAGCATAGAGCCTAAGGGTCTCCTTTATGATAGCATCAAGATATGGAAGTTTGTCCACGGCTTCCGCAGTCGGGTTGCCGTCATCATTGCAATCCATCTTAGAAATTTGATCAACCTCCTCGATCAATTTCTTTTGATACTCTCGATTTTCTTCGCGAGAGATGGCCCAAATCGTGAACATCAGTGTATCGCTTGTGGTGTCTATGCCGGCGAGGAAATGATCTGCCAGCTCGGAAGCCATATCAAGGCCGTCAAGACGACTTCCTTTACCTAGCTTGCTCTGTTTCCAAAGCTTTTCGATAATGGCAAAATCCTGAGATGGTGGTTTTTCATTGACGGCGGCCTCAAAATCTGTCCAGGACTGGAGTGCGTGGGCTCGAATTCCAGTGTACGTGGCCGGCTTTTCCATCGGCAATAATCCGAGACTGGTGACAAGTCTCTCCATCATTCCAGTTCGATTATAAAGCCACTTTGTGTAGCTCTTCAAATGTGTAGCATACCAGCTCAGCTTTCGTCGGCTGGGATCAATAATATCACCAATGAGTTTTCTGTGGTCGTCATTGCCAGTGACTGCATGTGTTCCCCCATATTTTTCTCCGTAGAGGAACCCGGTGATGCTGTCCAAGCTGAACCAATGTAGGCTCTGGAATATCTCCTCGGCCACATCTTTTTCACGTTCCAGAAGCTCGAGGTAGCTCTTCACATTCTTCTCTATCAATGGTCTTGCTATCGCGTTAGGCGAAAGTATCACACTCTTTGAGTAGGCATGGGCAAGTAGTTTCTTCCTCTCGGCGTGCTGTTTAGTGCCAGCAAAGGTAAAGAGATTCTGGCGCCCATAGGCATCGAACATTCGATAGAAGACTGTTCTTTCGAAGCCGGATCCAGCGCCATAGATCGTTCTCAACGCACTTAGAGAGGAGAAGGATACTTCATTTGGGCCAATGCGTACTGCGGTACCGTATTGTTGATGCAACGAGTGAATTGTTTGCGTCCGGACACCGTGATAGTCAGCAAGTGCAAGCCGCCATTTAGTTGCTGAAAATAGCTTTGAACCTGGAATCTGTCCGAGAGGGTTTGCGTATAGAGGTTGGTAGATGAAACGATACAGAATCAATGCCAGGAACGTTGCCCCAGCGATGACCACTACGCTGTTTGACTGTAGAACGGCGCCTACTAATGTCAGGTCAGTATTAAAGGCCATTTAGATGGGCAAACTGACTGACCTCCGTTGGTGATACCCTCAGTCATGGTGTTATATTCCAGCTTCCCCTTGGCCAATCAAAGGAGATTTCCAATATCTGGTCGTATGGGATAATCCCTCGGGAAAGCTAGCTGTCGGGTTACCGTTGAAGTACCGCGAGGATTGGGTTTGCCTGTTCAAAGTTACAGACATCGGCAGATCCGAAGTGGAAGTTCTAGAGATTGCGACGTCGATGGTGAACCTCTTATCTCCTCCTCTGCACGCTGGCGGATTGCGCCGTGCGGGGTTGTAATCGGAACTCCCGATTTCGGACGAGCCCGCCAGACAAGGACGATTACCAAATGGAATTAAATCAAGGGCAGAATAAACTTCAGTGACACATCTAGAAGTTTATAATGCTTCGTGTAGATTCTTGGCTCTGTATATGGTTGTCAGAATGATTTTATAATCGTGGTCAGCAACGCCTTTGGTTTTCCTTAATCATCTGATAGTTATCTCTAAGAAGCATACCTTCTCTGGGTAGCTCCTTTCAACAATGTCTCCTACCGCAACCGCTTCTCAGGATGCTGAGGTGACGATTGCGCTAACTAAACTCAAAGATGCCGATGCTATGGCGGCCATGGCTCATAGAGGCAAGGCTCTCCCTGGCATTCCCAATTTTGATTCATATGCCGAGAAACGCGAATGGCAGCTACAACACATGGCAGGTGCATTTCGCGTTTTTGCTCGTGAGGGCTATGCAGAAGGAATTTCAGGACACATCAGTGTGAGAGATCCCGAGTTCGAGGATCGGTTTTGGATCAATCCCCTTGGTGTGCACTTTGGAATGTTAAAGGCGAGCGACATGATTTGTGTGACTATCGATGGCGACGTGGTGGGTGGAAATATGGCTGGGTCAATCAATGCTGCTGGGTTCCAGATCCACAGTGCGGTGCATAAATCACGTAAAGACGTGCATGCTATATGCCACACGCACTCGGTACACGGACGAGCTTGGTCAGCGTTTGCAAAGCCTCTCGAAATGATCAATCAAGATGTTTGCTATTTCTACAAGGCCCACGCTGTGTACTCTGACTATGGAGGCATTGCAAATGAGGCGTCTGAAGGCCAACGAATCGCTGGAAGTTTGGGTGACGGAAAGGCTGTGATCTTGATGAACCACGGCCTCCTGACTGTAGGGGAGACTGTTGATGAAGCAGCATTCCTGTTCTGCCTCATGGAAAGAAGCTGCAAAGCCCAACTGTTAGTCGACCGAACAGACCTCAAAAAGCAGATTGTGAGCGATGAAGAGGCAGCTTACAATTTCAAGGTGGCAAGCACTCCAGTAAGATAGACCTCAATTGCCTGGATACTCGGAGAAAGTAGTTTTGCTAACATAAGAGCATAGGAAACTCTCTTTGCTGAGTTTCAGCCGCATCTGCGGTATGAGGAATATCTTTGCAAAGGCGACTTCAAGTCTTAGGCATGACAGGAGTGGGTTTTGATTTTTGTTTTAGGAACGTGTTTAGGTGCGTGAATAGACTACACTTGTTTGAATATTGGAACTACGACTTTGGCATGGAGGTAACTGGTTTTACGCGGGGAATACTCACCTTAATTATTCGGTCATCCTACATTCGCCTGGTCTTTTCTAAAAATATATTTCTTGTGCTAGACCAGGTCTGCTTTTTAATGAAAAATTCATCGCTCTATGTTGGCTTCTCAAGAGAGATTCACGTGAAATGAGCGTAAGATATACTCAGCCCCTACTTACTATCGGTTCACACAAGCTATGGGTATCCTTTTTTTTCGTGTTGAAAGACAACTATCTGGTCCAATTTGACTTTCCCTCAATATGTTCTAAGGCAACGTGGCTACTCCCCCGCAAAATTGCAATTATAGTCGTGCAGGGGCCTCTCAAAGACTGTATTTGTCGGGTAAGCCGACCCTCCAGAGATATATGATAAGCACATAGCTCAGAGAGATAACCTCTATCGGGGCCTCCGATGATATGATAGATTGCCTTTATCTGCTTGGATGGACTTGTCACTCCTATCTCATTGATCTAAGGCGTGAAGGAAACGTATTAGCATTTCTTGGGGATCATTATTGGTCTGAATGTTTTCTTGAGGGGTATCCTACAAGAAGAAAACCACCAATCATTTCCCATTCGCTGGATAGGAAGGCTCGTGGACAATAATAAACGTAGAATTTATAGAAAAGCAGTCTTTTCCCTGCGTCCATACGCAGACTTTTATTCTCATTTTCTACGATTTTTCAAAAATATTGTATAGCTCATGAGATACTTTGTCAGAATCTATCAACAGGCGAAACATAATGACCTCAAAAGACCCCGAGAAACAATCACCGTTCCCCTCTACAAATAGCCGGTCTCCCTCAAACGCCAGCAATGTTGGTGTCGGTATCTTATCCAATGGAAACGCTGGATCTCAGGCCCTGCATCGTAAGCTGCGAGGTAAAGAGGTGCAGCTCTTTGCGATCGGCGGCGCAATCGGTACATGTGAGTCTAAACCTGCCCTACAATCCGAGCACAGATTTATGCATACAAACTATCACGGCGTCATCTAACGCACCAACCAGCTCTATATGTGCAAATGGGAGCTGCTCTTCCTAAAGGCGGTTCCGCAGGTCTTTTTATTGCTTTTATTATATGGGGCTCAGTGATGTGGGCAGTGAACGAGTGCTTTGCCGAGATGGTAACTTATCTTCCTGTGCCATCCCCTTTCATTCGATTCGGGGGCGAGTGGGTCGATGGTGCACTGGGATTTGCTATGGCATGGAACTTCTTCCTGAACATGGCATTCCTCGTTCCATTCGAGATTGTGGCTATGAACATAATGATCACCTTTTGGACGGACAAGGTGCCTGTTGAGTCGATTATTGTCGCAATGATTGTGCTATATGCTCTCCTCAACATGATCAGTGTGCGTTACTTTGGAGTCGCAGAGTTCTATCTTTCCATTTTCAAGGTAATTTTGATGATTGGGTTATTCTTCTTCACGCTTGTCACAATGGTGGGAGGGAACCCCTTGCACGACCGATACGGCTTCAGATATTGGAATAACCCTGGAGCATTCGTCGAACATCTGTCTGCTGGAAATACGGGGAGGTTTCTTGGAGTATTGTCATGTGTCTATCAGGCTAGTTTCTCGTGAGTTACCAGCTTTTCTTCTTATACTATCGGTGCTGACTTGCCAGAATTTGTGGACCGGAATATATCTCGATGGTCGCGGCTGAGGCCGAGACTCCACGAAAGGTTCTGCCACCTGCATTTCGATCATTCGTCTGGCGCATCCTTTTGTTTTTCGTTGGTTCGGCCCTTTGCATGGGCATCGTCATTCCATATAATGACGACACGCTTCTTTCTATTCTCGGAGGTGACATCTCTGGCTCCGGAACAGGTGCTGCATCGTAAGTTTTGGTCTCTCGCCGCTCGATTTAGCAAAGCTTAATTTATATCAACTATTAGGCCCTATGTCATTGCAATGGAGCGACTCAAGATTGGTGGCCTCCCTCATCTAGTGAATGCACTTATCATGACATCCATATTCAGCGCCGGTAACGGTTTACTATTCGCAGCGACCCGTACCCTGCACGGGATGTCAATTGAAGGCCATGCACCTCGATTTCTGTCGCAATGCACGAAAGCAGGTGTCCCAATCTGGGCTCTTGCTGTATCTCTTTCATTCTGTCTTCTCGCGTTCCTCCAAGTCAACGATTCCTCGGCAGTAGTCATGACATACCTCGTCGACCTTGTCACATGTTGCCAACTGCTAAATTACTGCTTTACAGCAGTGACATACCGCCACTTCTACTCAAGTCTCCAGAAGCAGGGAATTTCACGAGATGACCTCCCTTATAAAGGGCGGTTCCAGCCTTATACCAGTTATTTTGCGATGGGTGGCACAGTCTTCATGCTCCTGGCAGGTGGTTACGATCTATTCTTAACGGGTGGGTGGGACGTGATGTGGTTCTTCTTGGACTACGGGATGATTGGGTTCTTTATCGTTGCACTTCTTGGCTGGAAGTTGTTCTCTAGGACAAAATACGTTTGGCCAGGGACTGCAGATATATCTCTTGGTGGTCTGAAAGGTGAAATTGACGCTTACGAGGCTCTTTGCTCGGCCGACCATCAAGGGGAAAAGAACAGCTTGTTGGATAAGTTATTCAATTAAATTTTTGTATATGTTATGAGAATAAGATCTGTTTGGTCACTTGTTTTTTTCACGCCAGGGGCTCCACTCCCATCTGATGTGCTCTACGCCAATTGCCAGGGCTCAATCAAGGCTTCCTTCCCCCTCACTTTTTGAAAGTCTCTATGCCAGTCCTTCGGATGACTTGGGGCCCAAAAAGGATGATTCTCGGGGCATTGGTCATATGATATCTAGTCTCAATGAGGTCGAAGCAGAGTACATTTTTCTCTCAAGTTCATGAGGTTGAGAGAATCACTCGAGTGCATTCCGTGGGCCAATTTCTCAGTCAGAACAGGGAGCCCTACCAAAGTTTAGTATAAAATCTGGAGGCTGCCAGGCGTTCCTAGAAAATTCTTAGGCTCATTTTGCCATATCTGGACATGAAACTTAAGGAAATATTACGTATTTCGGTACGCTGGTGTGCATCTCTGGTGCCTCTAAGTATTTCAAGTTCTTCAAGTCAAGTATTAGGTGCTCGCGAAGAAAAAAAAAGGTCATTGGTCTCATCTTGGGGCTACTCAAGGTCGCAGCAGATTTGCACGGTATAGCTTACAAGTCTATGAGGAAAATTGTATCGACAAAAATGGTTACTGACTTTCAGTCTGCAACAAAATACCGAGTTTTGGTCTTGTTATTCTTAGTGGATGAAGAAGTTGGAAATACCTTACAAAACGCATCATATATCAGATTCTGCAAAAATGCAATAAGAAGTCTGAGTCTAAACGCACATAAAGCACCTATGATGAAAATCCTAGCAGCTTATCTTGTAAAAGGCACCAAGAGTATACTTGCTTATATTTGGGTCCAGGCAGCGGAATACCAGTTTCTGCCTGAGGCACAAAAACTCCGTCACCCCCACAGCGGCGGTGCTTAGCAGCTCCGTCCATCCCCCTCCTTATTGACTGTTCAAGGCAATTGACACTACACTTTTGCAATCTACGGCATCTAGTCACTTTAAGGTAGACAAGGCAATTCCGACCTTGTTCCTCCCGCATCTCTCGTCTCTTCGTGCCACCGGGTACCTTCCTCACCTCCGATCTCCCCGCTTCCCGTCCACCGTACCGCCATACCAAACAGTCCACGACCGCAGCAACCGCCAAAGTCTACAGCCAGGGCTCTTCGATTCCTTGCGGCCTCTTCCACCACTGATCACTACCTGGATCCTCACGAACTACAACCAAAAGCCACAGCGCACCCGCCATCATGTCGCAAATCAACTACCGCACCATCAATGTCGACCAGCTCGACCCCGAGTCGTCGGTCAACTTCCCCATGGAGACCCTCCTCCCTGCCACGCTGCCTCAGCCCGAGACCTCCAGTGATGCCGCCAATGTTGCTACACAGGTTCGCCAACTGCTGCGCAGTGGTGACACCGAGGGCGCTCTCCGCCACGTTCTAGACACTGCGCCGCTGGGCGGCGACGACCGCGCTAAGGAGGTGCATCTTGCTACAGTGATCGAGGTGCTGCAGGGTATCAGGCAGGCCGAGATGACTCGTGTCCTGGAGGGTGTTACCGGGGGCGAGGGTGGGTCAGAGCGAGCGGACTGTCTGATGAAGTACATGTAAGTGTGGCCGTTTGGATGTACCCGCATCATATTTGCTGAGATCTGTGCTAACATTAAACAGCTACAAGGGAATGTCCTCGCCTGGTCCAAGCAGTGATGCCCAGTCCCCTCGCAAGACCGTCTCTCCTCAAGCCACCGGTTTCTCCCAAATCCAAGCCCGGAACTTGGGTGAGGGTGGTGGTGGCCAGCAGATGAGTGTGTTGCTGAACTGGCACGAGAAGCTCGTGGAGTTGACGGGCACTGGGTCTATTGTCCGTGTCATGACTGACCGCCGGACGGTTTAAGCGGAAGCAGCTGGGTGAATTCTCCTTTATCGTTCGTCTTGGTAGAGGCTTGATTGTATTTCATACATTTCTTTTGTAGACAATCTTCCTCTGTGTGTTGCTTTCAGCGTGGTTGTTTTACAATCGATATACTATGACATTATGTTGAAACCCTCCAACTGCTTCTTTCCTCCGCGGGGGATTTCAAGGCCTCATGATTTTTGGAAATCACCACCACCCAAGATATCCTTCAAATTGAGCTCACCACTTCCACGCTGGAGAGGTTGCGGCTGGTTGCCACCTTCCTTCCATCCGATCATGTAAATCATGCGGAAGGTTGCTGGGATGCCCGGAGCGTCATTCTCCATATACATCTCCCTGTAGATAGCTTCATTGGCCAGCAACACATCCCGTGGCAAGGGTCCAGCCTCACGGTGCAGGATAGCATTGCTCTCGCCCATGGCCTGCAAGTCTTTCATGAGCGCGAAACTATCCGGGAACTCCACCACGATGTCCTCGACATCAACAGTAAGCATCTTAAACCCTGCGCGGTTCAGTAGATTTCCGACGTCTCGCACGTCAACCAGCGGTGATATGTGAGGACTGACACCTCCGCGGCGCTCTAGATCAGCAAGCTGCAGCGATCCGCGTAGCTCGAAAAGAGTGTCGCCGCCAAACATTGCTGCAATGAAGGGGCTATCAGGCTTGAGGATAGTATTGACCTGCTCCAGCAATGCGGGCAGGTCGTTGATCCAGTGCATGGATAGTGACGACAGGACAGCATCGAATGAATTTGGCTGGTATGAAAGTGTCTCGAGGTCGGGGATCACATCACGATGAATGTTGATCTCTTTATTGAATGGCAGCTCCTCGTCCCGGTGCAGCAGCGCATGTGATGTTTCCACGCATGTCAGCTTCGCGATCCGTTCTGCCAGTGGTGGTGATGGAGTGCCCTCAGGCACTGCGATGTCGAGGTTCGGTGTAGTCAATGCTCGTGCGATATTGCAGCTGTTTGCGCCTAGATCGAGCACACTAGAAAAATCACGCTTGATATCCTAATGACCGAAGAACATGCCCATGTCAGCAGCTGTCTCCTAGGTCTTTCAATCCCAATGCCCTTCTTTCGAGGGATTGCTTACCAGCAACCGTTCGCATAAGCGCAGCGCCACTTCATCTTTCAAGTAGTCCGTTTTCCGGCTTTCTTCGACATTCCGAGCAGCCCGATCTTTCTGTAGGTGCTTTGCTTTGCGGTTGAAGATCTCTATCATGGGATTGCCGGGGGTCTGGCTAGCATAGGTTCGGACGCCGGAGGTTGCGGCGACGCAGCGCCGGGAAAAGGTGGCGCGAAATGTGTGAATGGAGATCATTGTAGCTTAACTCGAGGTCAATGTAGTCCGTAAGTGTGGATGTGGGTTCAGCGGTCTAGACCATTCTGCGAAGTGGTCGAGTTGAAGGCGCCGAAAGAGGTGTCGAGTCCTAAATTTTGTTCTGGCGTCGATTGTTGATTGCGGAACCTCCGCCGCAGCTCCCTCTCCGCGATCGCGCACCCTTCCACGACGCGCCAGCAATTGCACTAAGTCGCTCTGGTTATTCTATGCAATAGGAAGCTCAACTCTGAGCTTTCAAAACTTGCAGGGTAGCAACGAGGAAGAATTCCCTTCGGCTGTATCGTGATCAGTCCCTACAATTAACACGCTCCCCCTCCTCCGAGTTGGCCCGACTTGCCAGCAAACCGGGTTTCGAGGTCAAGTGCAAAGACTGATATTTGAACTACATAAGCCTCATTTTATTGACTGGCGCGCTACAACATCACCTTTGCTAGCCCTTGTTCTTCCCACGAATCGTCCGGTCGGCGCGAAGCATGAATTGACCGAGCATCACGAACACCTTTCTTTCTAGCACCGTTACTACCAAAACCCTCGCATACACAATGTCCCGCCCGTTTCCATATACCTATATCTCCTGTCCCTGTGCGGACACACCGGTCCTTGATCCAGCCAGGAAGCGAAGGTCGAGGGAATCGCCACAGAAGCCTCCCCCAGAGCGGGACACCGAAGCCAACGAAGGTCAGGACGATGCGAAACAACCAGCCAACAAAGATGATGAAGAAGACGAAGAAGACGAAGAGCAGACGTTTGACCCGCGATCACCACGGTCTAATTTCTCTTTGTACCCTCCTGAACAACTTTTGTACTGCGAGGACTGCCACCAGATCAAATGTCCTCGATGCATAACGGAGGAGATCGTGAGCTGGTACTGTCCCAATTGCCTGTTTGAAACACCAAGCAGCATGGTGCGTAGTGACGGGGGCCGGTATGTTTACCTATATAGAAGTTCCTCTACTAGCTTATTCGCTGACTCGCACTACCAGTTGCGGGCGAAACTGCTTCAATTGCCCCGTCTGTACAGCCCCGCTGGCTGTAAGTACCATTGAAAATGTCACTGGAAACGGTAATGGTCAAGGTCCTTGGGTGCTCTCATGTGGTTACTGCCTATGGACGACACTTGATATTGGTATCAAGTTCGACAAGCCCACCAATATCCGCAGCCAGTTGCAGAAGATGACTGATTCGACAACTGGACCTGCGTTTGACGCACGTTCGCGACAGGGATCGCGCGCCTTTGGAGATTTGAAGTCGCCTTTGTCTAACTTCGCATCCGTTGACGAGCAAGCCAATCCTAGCGAACGTGATGCAGAGCAATCTACTTCCAAGGAAGACCAGACACCTACGCCTCATCTCGGCGCAGAAGCTCGTTTTGCTGCCTTGAAAAACTTCTATCGCACACAGATATCAGAGACATCGAATTCACCCAGCGACTCTCTCGGCTCGGAGTTTGGATTCTCCTCGCCTGGAGCACTGAACCGACTGATGTCTCTGTACGCCTCTTCTTCACGACTGAGTGGACTGTATGGCGGTACAAAGAAACCCAAATCCAAGCCGCCGGTCATGCGTGAAGCTCTCACTGCCACTGAGGGCCTTCGTATTGCTTCGGGGGACGCCGATTCGGCACTAGTCGAGCGCATCGCTTCCCCAGATTGCGGCTGGGACGGTGTCGCATCACTCATCCAGCGTACAGAGCAATCGCCTGATGTACGATTCGTGGATGAACTCCTCCCACTTCCAGTCCTCCTGCGCACCAAACGCGCCAAGCGCTGCAAGTCATGCAAGCATATTCTAGTGAAACCCGAAACCAAGCCGCAGTCTACGCGCTTCCGTATCCGCCTCATCGCGTTGAGCTATATCCCCCTCCCGACTCTACGCCCTCTTGCTCAGCCTTCAGCAACCTCAGTCTCAGGCCTGGCTCCGACCCCAGATCTGAATGCACTTACCCCGCTTCGGCCCTACCATGTCCTTCTAACTCTGAAAAACCACATGTTTGACCCAGTTCGCATCACACTTGCTACACCCTCCGTGACCCCAGGCATTGTAGCAACCAAGGTTACCGTGCTGTGTCCACAGTTCGAAATCGGTGCCAACAGCGACGTATGGGATGAAGCATTGCAGAACGCGACCGCACCGCTCAGTGATCGAATCACAGGCATGCGTGGCGGCGAGAAAGTTCCCGAGGCCGGAAAGGTCTGGGAAAAGGGCCGAAATTGGACTACGGTTGTGTTGGAAGTGGTCCCAGGAACATTGCCTGGTTCTCAGGCTGAAGATGGCCAGGAAGGTGACAGTGATATCGCGGCGACATTCCAGAAGGATGAGGATGTACTCGAGATCCCTGTGTTTGTGCATATGGAATGGGATGCGGAGGCACAGCTTGAGCAGCAGAATGTCGGGAAGGCGTCCAAGCCGGATGATCTAGTGGCTCGGGAATTGGCTTACTGGATGGTATTGGGAGTTGGAAGGATTCAAGCCTCTTTGTAGATAGATGGGGAGGTGTTGGTCTGTTCATATTTTCCTTAACCATACCCCCTTGAGTGTTTTTATCTTGTTGCACATACGTCAGTTATCATTCTTGTACAATAAACCATGTACTGTAGGTCTTCTTCCATGGAGTCGCCGTATCTACTACTTCTTCGCATATACATCGCTCCCGAATACAGGATATTCAACGCAAGAAATATCCTGACTACAGGCGCACTTTGGTTGAAAAGTCGGAAAAAATCCATTGGAATGTTATCACATATCCCATCCCATCTTCATTAAGAGAGAAACACGGCCTGAATGGGATATTCAGCTCCCGTCGCCTCACACCGAGGAAATTGAGAAGCCGGAGGACTAGAAAAGAACCATGCACCAGTCAATGGGGGAGGCAACATAACTCAAAGAAAACCCGTGAATGCATTTTTTGGTCTTTCACCCATCATGCTCTCTCCTTGAATCTAGTGAGTTTCAGACCTAGAAACAAGCAAATTCCCAAAATACACCGATATCTCCTCTTTTTTCATCCCACTCCATACACAGCACATGCTTAGTACTCGGCGCCGCTCTGGGGGAACTCGAACACGACAGTACGGCCGGTCAACCGACGGTAGACCTCGCCGTAGGCATCGAGGCGGTGGTCAACACCACCCTTCTCCTTCTCGTCCAGAACGACCTTGAGGGTCTTGGAGCCGTCCTCCTTGGTGCGGATGCGCTTGCCGACGATCTCAACGGGGTAGACCAGGTCAGCGAGGATGTTGTCGTGGACAGCGGTCAGAGTGCGGGAACGGGGGCGCTTCTGGGTCTGGTTGGTGCGGGAGTTGACGGAGCGCTTGGGGCGGGACAGAATGCGGCGCTGAGCAACGAAGAGGACGTGGCGGTCAGAGAACTTCTTCTCCAGCTCGCGGGTCAGGCTGTCGAAGAGAGAAAAATGTATATGTTAGCCCCACTGTCTTTGTTCGAATCGCGGGGAAGAGATCAATGGTCGATGCTCCAGGGGGGCTATTCGTCTTACCGCTGCTGGATCTTGTGGAAGCTCTGCAGGAGGGGGACGGGGACGAAGACAACGATGGCCTTCTTGCCGTGGCCGACCTCGACCTGATAGTGAAAGTGCATGTTAGTATTTCGGTTCCGTCAAAAGTGCGCGCACACAAATTGCAAAAATTCGATGCTCTCCGTAGTCGACGTCGAGGAATTCCTTTGCCGGTGATCGTTTCCATATTTTTTTAAATATCAATGAATATCAATTCCCACCCGAACATATTGTGCGGCATCCCAAGTCGTAATTTGATATATGTCCACAAATGTTCGCGAATTTCCATCTCTTGTTTCGATAACTGATCACCGCACAATGGAATTTCTTCGGCGCAATCTCTGGAGGTTCTGATTGTCGGAGGAAACTGCAATTCTTACCTCACGGGCAGAGACGAACTGCAGGGGGCGAAGGGAGGCCTTCAGGTCCTGAGTGTTGCTCTCGAGGTCGAACAGAGCACCGGCAATCGCGGTCTCCAGCTCGGAGGGGTTCTGCCGGGAGGGCGAGTTGGTGGCAATCTTGTTGATGGCAGCCATGATTGCGAGCGACGGAGTGCTGCGAAGGTGCTGGGTTGAGGTCGGCGGAGGGGAGTGGTTCACACAGTCCGAAGAGTTGGTGAATTTGCTGTGGGATCGCCGGCTTCGCTTATACTGCGCTAGTGCCTAATTGGGTTTAGTGGGCCGGGCTCGTTTTGGGCTTCTTTTCGGGGGTTCTGTGGTCCCGTGATTTAATGGTCCCGTGACACGACTGGTCCTTGGCTGGCTTCTAATTGGCTACGCAGGCTTCATACAAAAGTGCATAAGTTGATGAAACGGGCAATTTACAATTCTAACATCGCGAAAACTAAAGAAGACGCATGGCAAGGCGAGGTATATAACCACAAGGGCAGATAGTCAGGATGTACTGCCAGGATGAGCAATACAGATCAAGGAACGCAAAGGAAGGAGACGCCTGGACCCATGAAATTGCAAGGCAAAAAAAAAGAACCACGATCCGGATCAACAAGCGCAGCCCTCCTTGGCCGTCGCCGCGTTCCGGTCTCCTAGATTCACCCGGGAATCCTCGCCTGATCGGCTTCCCAGCGCAGTCTGTCCGGCACCTGCAGCACCACGGCCGGTCTTCAGGTTGCTCTCCGGAATGGCGTTGGCAATAGCCGTAAAGACTTCCACGACATTAGTACCAATCTTCGCACTAGTCTCGAAGAACAGCAGTCCCTCCTCATCGGCGTATGTGCTTGCTTCCCGAGTCGACACTTTCCGGGCGTCGCCCGAGGCAGGAAGCTGCCCCTCGGCCTCCTCGCCAGCTCCCTCCTCTCCATCTTCTCCCACCGACTCGGACTCAGCCTGGGGAGCGGCTGCGGCTCCAGCAGAATCGCCTCCATCGTTGGTCAAGTCCAGCTTGTTGCCGACAAGGGCAATGACAATCCCGGGGCTGGCCTGGCGCTGCAACTCGGCAACCCAGTGCTTCGCTTTTGTCAGCGATGACGGCTTGGTGACATCGTAGACGACAAGAGCAGCTTGTGCATTGCGGTAGTACATTGGTGCGAGGGAGGCGAAACGTTCCTGGCCGGCGGTGTCCCAGATCTCGAACTTAATTGTTCGCGTAGGGAGAGTGCATTTCTGTGTCAGGAAGGCGGCTAAAATATGACGTTAGCACATTGTACCATCACTGCCAAACGTTGCATTCTCTGGTCTATCTCATCTAAGATACCATCCTCTTGTATGACCCGGCAAGACCTCCATTCGCATAAGATGGTGGACAAGCAGGGGTATGGTCGCTCTCCTCTCGGAGGTCAAGAGCTCATTGGGGGTGGGGAAATTCCTTACCGCCGATCGTTGGCTCCTTGTTCTCTTGGAAGTCGTTGTTGACGAACCGAAGGACGAGCGAGGACTGTAAGCAAAGGGAAATCGCGGTCAGCCATTAGTTCCAGTGTAACATGGTCTAAGAACAAGCGTACCTTGCCAACTGCGGCCTCGCCGAGCAGGACTAGCTTGACACTGCTGCTCGGCTTCGGCCCATTCGCACTAGCTGACTCGGACATGACTGAGATGGTGAAATTATGTGTAATGATGTTGAAGCAGACTGCGGGTTAGGCCGTCGTGCAGGAAGCGACGCCTGTTGAAGTAATCGGGCGATCAGGCAGAAGGATGAGCTGGCAGGCTCGGCTTTGGTCGCGGCGGTGTAGGCAGAAACACCAAATGTGAGGTTGAAACAGGAACACGAGTGTTTTTGCTGCCCGTGTGAGTGAGAAGAGAGGAAGAAAGATATCGCAATCCACGGAAAGCTGGGAGTGCTGGAAGTGCTGGAAGTGGAGGTCGATGATGATGGCGGTTGTCCTAATATGGATTAGCGTGGACGGAGGTCACGGCAGTCACGGGGCTCTACAAAGCCAAAGATACCGTCACATAGATCTGGCTCTGAAGTCACTCGGGATTGTTTACTCGCCTTTTACACAATAGAGACAATTGCCCCAAATCAGGTCAATCTCTACTTGGCAAATACTAATCCTCGATCCCTTGCGCCATGATCCTTGCCCGATACAGCACACACCCGCGGACTGGCGATGCAGCCTGATTGCGTCCAGGCTTAAACGCCTGGTGTCAACGTGCTAGCTTTGTAAGGATCTATCCACGAAAGAAATCCTACACAGGTATTAATTGGGCTCTCTTGTCGGCTTCTCTGTTTCAATTTGAGTTCATATTGTAGAGGAGACCTCAGGCCATGCCCCATGTATATATTCGTTCCGAAGTAATTTTGATATTCACTTTACCAACCAATATATTACTTTTTATTGCCAATCATAGATCACACAAAGTAAACCGAAGCTCTTCTGAACACGACCAGGGATTAATATGCCACTGTGTATCTTCTCATCTCCCACCCAGTTCTGGATAGGTCGACATAGCCCCAAAAGGGTATGTTCAATGAATGTCTATACCCTCTGTAAAATGGACGTAGGCCAAGAGTCTCACTGGAAAGCGGGATTAGTGACTGTTTCGTACTCACATCAAAACTATCTAAAGGTTTTTTAATCCTCCACTTGAGCCAGGTGTTTGACTCGTAGTCAGCCGATGAAATTTATCTTTTATCAGCAGGGTAATGTAGAGATGCTACCAAGAAACAGGCGGTGTACCTGCATGAGGACTCCATGCAATAGAGCAATAATTAACTTGACCCCAGTCGGGGTCAGGATCCTGTCAAAGAGAGATCAGTACAGCTGTTTGGGTGGATGTGTCTATACTCGCAGCATATGTCTATGGGACAATTCTTTTTCATTTCAATTTTGGAACATGATATTCCCCGGAGTAGTTATAACTGCTGGGCTCAAGTCTCATCGTAGCATGTGTTTGGTTTAAGACAGTATTGTGAAGCCGAAAATAGCTCCCCAAACCAACTTTGTGGTCTTGGTGCTGAGTCTAAAAACATATTTGATCCTTAGATCGTGCCTAGGCTAGGGAACTGGCATTATCAATACCATGTGAGGCTCAATTGCCCTATAGGGATTCTCGAACATGAATCATTACGGTTTGCATGTGGAATCACTCCTCATGAAGTAGAGTGTTCCAAGCCCTAGCTTATCTCCCATAGAAATGGTCGGTTTGAGGAGAATGACAAAATATAATTGAGTCATTCCAGGCCCTGTGGTGTCACAGGATCTTCTGACTCTCGTTAAGCTCTCCATATTCCAACATTCTCCAACTCGGAATGCCGCAAAAAGCCACTTGAAGGACGTCACACAGAATCTTATCAGTCTGCAATAGGCCAGAGGATGACATGAAAGCACACTGCGAGCATAAATCAATCAAGTACTTTCAAACCAGTTATCAAGAACAAAGGAATTTGTCACATATCTTCTAAAAAATCTTCACTTACGAGGCCAATCGAGCCAATTAGCCATTTATCCATAGCGCAGAACGAGTTTCCTTCTGAATTTCCAATATTGACCTAACTGCGTCGTATTTATGTCGAATCATTTTCTCAGACCAAGCCCATGCGCGCCTGCACCTCTAGCATGTGCTACTGCATTAAAGTAATGTCTGGCTAACTACTCCGTAGCGAGACATGATAAATTCAAAACAAGCGCCACGAAGCTGAATCAGGTGAGAATCAAGAAGATCTGGCATTCGAGGTAGAACCAGCTAGCTTCTATACTCATTGAGTTAGTGGGGTAAGGCACGGCAGCATAATTCCAGAGCTCGTTCCTGACCACGATAGAAGAAACTTGTGCCCAACCAATATGCGGGGTGATGTCGAGCGCCAGCAAAATTCCACCCATCAGGCCCGGGACCCATCTGCCGATGCGCCGACAGGGATCCGCGTCAAAAACCAGACTGGCGGTTCCTAGCTCGACGTCGGTCCTCAAGCAAATCTGCCCGACGCTTTCTGCTCATCCACCTGGTGCACCTGTCAAACCCGAGCGACACGACATGTTGGCCGACGAGAACCGGTCCTGATCTTTTGGAGATCAGACTACTGTATTGTATGGGTCTAGACCGGGGAAAGCGGAAGTAGAGAGACAACCAGGAGGGGTATGCATTTGTTTCCCAACCGTGCGCAAAAAATATTGTACAGACATCAACATCAGAATAAACATACAATACAAACATACAAGTACAGGAAGAGGCCAAATGCAAAAGGCACTGTGTGCTCCAAGAAAGTAGAATCAGCAAAAACGTGGTATTGACCGCGAGGTCGAAGGTCTAGGTTCTTCTGGTATCAGCCCATGCATCCCATGTAACAAGTTCCGTCCCGTCTATGCCATAACGCCGAGAGATAAAAACGACAGAAATTCAGAAAACCACAGAGACAAATGAAATAACAACGATAAAAAGACACTTTTTGAGGGATCGACCGGGTGAGGTGTGTGTCATCGGAGAGCCCGTGGGACTCGTTTGTGGCGGGAAGAAGAGAAGGCGGGGGTGAGGCGGAAGCGTAGAAGGTGAAGGTCGAGGATCCGAGATTAGGTATAAGGCGCACATCCGAAGACAAGGAAGTGAAAGGCGAGAAGAAGCGTCGACGCTGAAAAAATCCGAAACCGATGCAGAGAGAGAGAGAGAGAACGGAAATTAAAAAGGGTATATAGGATCGCGCAAGGCCAGTGGGCGAATAGACAAGCATGATGACCGAAAGAAAATGCCAAAAAAACATTCGACCGAGTGAGATAATGTTACAGTTGTCTGCATGAGCTGTTAGTTATTGGTGCCCGATATGAGGCATGCAATGCAAAAGAACCGGACTGACCGAAAGAAGAGATAAAACGCCAAACATTTGAAGCGTCAGAAAACTCCAGCCTCCGAGAATGCGCCAGAGAAAAAAAGCAAATTGCAGAAGCGATTACCTCCAGAGCGCGGGAGTATAGAAATGAATATGGGTCGAGGGTATCGTAGAGAGAGTGTTGGTTTATTTCGGAGGTGGTGGAGGCGCGCCAGGCTTCTTCACGCCGGTTGTGTCATAGGCGCCACGACCCATGTTGCAAGCAGACAAATCTCGGAGAATCATGTTGAGATCTGCAGAGGCAATCATATTGTTAGATTGG